TCAGCTGATGAGGGTTCAGGGTCGAGGCTTTGAACGGGTCGCTTGAGCCGGAACTATTTTGGACGTCCGGCCGGGGACGAGGGTTAACGTATCTCGGGAGGTGCCGATGCAATGGGATGACCTCAAAAGGACAGAGAGGTAAGCGCGCGGCGCATTTGGTCGCCTCTGTTGGTTAGAGCTGGAGCTTGTGTTGCTGAGCACCTGGGATGAGGGTGGCTGTTGTTTCGTTAAGGAGGGCCTGAAGTGGATAGTCTGCGGGAAGAGAGAGCAGCCTCATGATGGTTGCACGCACGCCTTTGTTCGGGTCCGTTCGGCAAGGCACGGCGGCCTTTGGGTGAGCCTGCAGCTCTTCTGCTCCTCTTTGACCGAGGCGTATGTGTAGAGGTGTATGGTGCCTGGGATGCTCCGTAAAGAGAAACGTAATTGCAAGGAGATGTGGGGATGACCAAGATGAGGTGTTGATGGGCCAGGGCTGGTGTTGGGTCCAAGTGCCCGGACCGCATGTCTGGAAACTTGTCCGCAGCTGGTGATTGTGAGATTATGCTTCGTGATGACGATACTCAGACGCAGACAACCAAAGACAGAACGACATGACGCAAAAGCAAGCAGCCATTGCGGTCCAATGAAGCTCATAACCCCATGTTTACCCCAGCTCTCTCCATTCTCCCCAGTTTCCCCGGGTTTCTCGGCTGCCTCCTCGCTCAGAGATCCGACAGAATGGTTTGGAAACTCTGGGGGAGGAGAATCGTTGCATCGGACGCCGCCGACGGCCCTGGCGATGTTTGCGGGGGTGGAGGAGGCGCGGACGGAGGAGGCCGAAGGACCGCAAGGCTAGAGCAGACAGAGCGCGCGTCCGGATGGCGTCTGGCTGGTCTGGAGAAGGCCGGATTTCAGCCGCACCCTACCCTTCTGCTGCTGCTCAATTCCCGTCCTTGATTGCTAGTCATGCTCCATGCTATTTTACTTCCATGGTTGTCTTTCCCCCCCTTGGGGAAAAGAGGCAACAATGGCAGTTTGGGGATCTCTGTCGATGGAGTTGGTAGGTAATGATTAGCAAATCCCGGAGGCGCGGGCTGGAAGCGGTAACGTAATTCGTATCGAAGCGCGGAGCTGGCTTGGCCTCTTTGGGTGGTTTCTCCAGTGGATTGACGGACTAAATTGCCCATGGCCAGAAGATTCTTACCGAGAAGAGTTCGAGCAACCGATGAACAAGCAGCGCAAAGCTTGGAAGCAACCCGGCCGACAGCGAAGTCTGTTGTGCTACGGCGTAGCGTTGTGTAGCAGAAATAGTCTCCGGGTGGCTTGCCACGAGCCAAAGGCCGTAGGGCGTAGAGTCTCCTTTGTCGAAGCGGCTCACCTCGTGGTGAAGCTGGAGAATGATGGGGCCGGCCGTCAAAGGTGGCGACGATATTGTGGGAATCAAGGCGATGAATGAAATGAAGTGGAGGTTTCTTCATTTGAAGATGAGGAACAAGGGAGAGAAGTTGCGGTATGGGCAGATGCGGCTTGACGCGGGTAGCGAAGAACCAGCAGTTTCGAGTCACGACGGATCTTGCTTCTTGCTAGTATGCCGACGAGATCTGCTTTGCGAGATTATACTCTTCTTTGCCTTGGTGTTGAGCATGAGGTCCTATTTAGCTGTACGCAATGGATGCAGGAAAACTCCTGCTTGAAGTGGTGTGCTGGTTGAGTCCAGGCGAAGGCACCTTGCTGGGGCCGGGCTCGTTTTCGCTTTGCCTGTGCCTCGGAGTTTAGCTGATTATGCGTGGTTCATGATTGCTTGACTGACTGATAGATGAGTAGGAGTGTGAGTGGAGAACAGGCGACTGATTGCTGGGGTTGGAAGCCATGGAAATGGACCAGAGCCGGTCCGTTTGAAATCATCGTGGTCGCGTGTCTGTGAAAATCCGGAGAGCAGCGTCGTGTTGCCCCCACACGATTGCGGGTTCCAGTATGATATTGACATTCATGCAGCGCGGATAGGAGGGCGTACATGCTGAGGGTATCATCGTATCGTGGTGTTGTTGGTGATGGATCGGTGGGCGATGGCTTCAGCATCACACTCGTCCCTCGGTTCCCGGCACAGAGTGATCACTTATCAGAGCACGTGTACTGTAGCTGTACGTGCTGCATCTCATGTATGATGACAACCATGACTTGGCTTGTAAGCTCGAACCCCCCCAGAAATCCGAAAGCCTTTCGGGGTAACAAACGTCCCTCCATTCCTGTCAAGCCTCCCGAATCATCGATCAGCGTGAGACACCAATTGGGAGGCTGAACTGACACGCCACAAACCAGGGCTGCCCGTCCTTGGCATGGCTGCCATGGCCTAAGTAGCGCCACGCTCGACCGCAAGGAACTGGATGCCATGCATTATCGAAGGACACGACCAAAGCTCCGAAAGCTGTTGGCTTGCCGCAAGGGCTCGAGTCCGCCGGGACTGGCCGAAACAGTCGTAGGTGAAATTGACCAGTTATTAGCGCCTCTGCTGTGCTTGCTCGCGTCTGCCCAGCGAATGACACTGGATATCGCCATGCTCCGGGCAAGAGGCTGAGCGTTCGGTCTTGACTGGGATTCCTCTGGTTGGATTTGGCGGCCAGCCCGGATATCAAAGACTCAACGCGAGACAGTGGAGGAAGCTGGGGAGATAGCACTACCTACTAGATAGCCTCTGGGGCCTGCATCATCGATTCATCACGCCTCTGAAACGTAATCTCCAGGCCCGACATCGTCGTTGGATGTCTTTGCAGCTGATCGATGCAGAGCAGAAGCTGATTGACGAGCAGCACGAGCTAGGGGTGGAAAAGCTGGACACTTGAATCGAGACTCGGCACCACGGATGCTGCATGATTTGCTGCTGGACGCTGGCAAAAGGTCCCTTTCTTCGCAGCTCGCAGTACTACGAGTGTGTGCTATGCAAGGCGAGCCTTATCACGGACCTGGCGAGCTAGTCAGTCCTCACCGGGCTTTGGTCCCTCCCATGTGCTGGCGGCTGCTTCTGGATTTTGGCTGCATGCTTGGCACCGCACTTGTGCATCACGGCCTTTCTCTTATCGACTTGTCAGCTCGTGCACCCCCGGAGAATGATGGCCCCTCCTCCAGCAACGGGGCTGGCCAACTAGAGGGCGGAACGCAGCGCCACCAGCAGAGCCGGTCGATACGCTTCGTTGGCTGGACGGGAGGCCTTGGTGGCTGCTGTGCGAACCTTCCACAACGGGCAACGACTTTCAGTGAACGCCACCGATCCTAGCATGACTGCGTCCAGGATCTGGACGAATGTGTGTCGATGTCCGTTGGCCTGGTTGCTTGGGGAGGGATCCTTATCAATGCCAGATTAGACTGCGAAGCCGCGAAGCCTTATCTCGTGTCGACTGGGGGAGAAGCTGACGAGGCGATATCGCGTGCAGTTAATCGTACAAGATAGCATTTGTCGGCAAGCCTGGACCAGAAGCCCTGACATGACAGATTAGCGGAGAAAACGGGGTCTGGCTTTGGACTGGCCTGGAGCGAGAGACGGCAAGGGGTTGATGGGGCCAACGAGAAGCCAGTTGTTAGACAGAGGTCACTTGTGCGTCTGGGATGGATCGTAGGGTGTACTCGTACAGTAATACGACGTCTCATAGGCCGCGCCACTGATAGAGACAAAGGGGCGATTCCTCTCGCCGTGTCTCAACCGTCTTTCGTATTGTGTGTCGATGACGAGATGGCTGAGATCGGAGAGATGACGACCGTCGTCTTGGTTCCGGCCGGGAGACTGGATGTTGATGGCAGCCAAGCTCTGATCGTCAGCATCAACTTCCAAGATGTTGTTATCACTGGCGATATCATTGGCATTGGCTGTTGGATCAGATGCTTCACATGGAGACTGAATTTTTTCCTTCTCGAATGCTGCTAGTGTCGATGGTCGGTGACGGGACTAGCAGGCGCAGAAGTACCTCTGGTCGGTGGAAAAGGTCCCGGCCGTGGTGATACAGTGAGGATTGGGTGATTTGCGTACCGTGCACAGACATGCGTTGACGATTGCGGGGAGAAAGAACTTGCCAGCACGGGCATTGGAGGTGGCGAGAGGAAGTACCGACAAGGCTGGGCATGTAAGGTATCGATAGGCGAACGCTCGGCTGTTTCTTGCGTTGGTCGAGGTATGTAGGTAGACTTTGACGCTGCCAGCCAAGCAGCCAGTAGGTTGGCCATGAAAGAGTGTCAAAGGACTGCTGTAAATACTGATACCAGGTAGACGGATATCAATTGACACTCCAGATCCTCATTGTTGCGAGTGTGCCAATACCTTATCCAGATGCTTCATGATACCTCTCGCAAACGGCCGAGGTAGCGCACAGTGCGCACAGCGACCATCCGTGTGGGGTGCCCTGGGCGGTACATGACGGTGCCCTGCCCTGCCCTGTGCGGTGGCGTGCCGCATTGAAAATCTACGGGCAGCCAAGAGCGACGCGGGCTAGGGCATTTTGCAAGCGCGCTTTTCCTCGGAGCAGCGCTGCCGCTTTGGGCTGGACCCTCGGCTGTCCAGGCGCTGGCACCCCCTGGAACACGCCCCGAGAGCCTCCCAGAGCCCCCCCAAGGACCGCCATAGACGCCCCCCAAAAGGCCCCAAACAGGCCTAGGCAGCGCTAGACGGACCCATGCCGTGGATAAGGCCCAAGGCCAGGGCTTCTCCACACATTCTTTTTTTTCGTCGTCAACAACCAGAAACGATGCTGGTCTGGTCGGTCCATCCTCTGCGAAACGGCGTTGCCGCTGGTGCTCGTGTGGGCTCTTGACAAGTGCTGGCGGCCCTTGTTGTACCTGGGCCAGCAATCCATGCTGCCGTCGTTACTTGTACGAGTAAGAGCGCGCATGACCCGGTCTGGCGGCGCTGGCGATCGCCCGAGTACAAAAACGCCAGCCTCGACCCACGAATCCGGCGATGCCTCTCTCTTTTCTCCCCAGGATTCTCGGGTTCGAACGTCACGCCGTCATTCGTCCGCTCCTTTGGGCTTCCTCCCAGGTTCAGCGTCCCTGCTAACCTGCTCTTGCTTCTTCCAACCCCTTTGCTTCCGCCCTCTCAGTCTGGTTGGCTGACCTTGGCTCATTTGGTTCAACTCCAGATCAGCTTCGTGTTGCTTCAACAGACCCTGATAGCCTTGCTCAACCCAAGGCTACAGCACTTCGGCTTTGCGAAGCGTCTGACAGACGGACAAGCCAACCCGGGGGAGAAGAAGAGAAGGAAAGGTCGAGTCGACAACGACTTGACAAGTCTCTCGAGACAAACACAGGAGACGACAACCAGAGTCTAGACTGACAAAAATCGCCATACGCAATGGCTGACTCTGCCCCCCAGCAGAATGCCGTCGACGGCATTCACCACAACCCGGATCCGGCCCTGGAGCCCGCGCACCAGCACCAGCACCACCACAAGCACCACTCGTCCCGTGTCGACGCCGCTGGCCACGACGATGCCGTCTACACCAAGGGCGTCAACCTGGACCCGGACCTGGTGCCGGTGCAGGACCACACCCACGACGAGAAGCACCACATCCCCACGCCCGAGTACAGCGACCACGAAAAGATTGGCCAGACGGACATTGTGCGCACCGGCATCGACTCGGACGAGGCCGACTCGCAGCGCCGCTGGCGCTTTGGCATTGCCTACCGCCACTACCGCGCCTTTGTCCACATCTTCATCTTCCTGCTCTTCACCGGCTGGTGGATTGCGTCGCTGATCCTGCACCGCAACGACAAGAACTGGGTCGTGCCCTTCCTGCTGTGGCTGGCCATCACCATCCGCCTCTTCTTCTTCCATGTGCCCATCCGCTACGTCTCTAACGCCATCAAGTGGGTGTGGCAGCGCACCGCCCTCGTCATCTATGCTCGCATCCCTCCCAAGGCGCGCACGCCTGCCGGTGCCGCCGTGGCCCTTGCAACTGTCCTGGTCGGCTCCTTTGCCTCTGAGGAGAGCGCCGACAACACGCGCGAGAACCGAGCCGTCAGTCTGTTCGGCATGCTTGTCATTCTCTTTGGCTTCTGGATCACCAGCAACAACCGCAAGCATGTCAACTGGCGCACCGTCATTGGCGGCATGCTGGGCCAGTACATCATTGGTCTCTTTGTCCTGCGCACCGGTGTTGGTTACGACATCTTTAAGTTCATTGCGGACCGCGCCGGCGACTTGCTCGGCTTTGCCCACGATGGTGTTGCCTTCCTGACTACCGCTGATGTGGCCGCGCTCCCCTGGTTCTTCTTTGGCGTCATCCCCGCCATCATCTTCTTCATCTCTCTCGTGCAGGTCCTGTACTACATTGGCTTCATCCAGTGGTTCATCAAGAAGGTGGCCACTTTTGTCTTCTGGGCGCTCAACGCCTCCGGTGCCGAGGCTGTCGTCGCTGCCGCCACGCCCTTCATCGGCCAGGGCGAGTCTGCCATGCTGGTCCGCCCCTTCGTCCCTCACATGACCAATGCCGAGCTTCACCAGGTCCTGACCTGCGGCTTCGCCACCATCTCGGGTTCCGTCCTGGTCGGCTACATTGGTCTCGGTCTCAATGCCGAGGCTCTGGTGTCGTCTTGCATCATGTCCATCCCCGCCTCGTTGGCCATCTCCAAGCTTCGCTACCCCGAGACGGAGGAGACGCTCACCGCCGGCCGCGTTGTCATCCCCGACGACGATGAGCACAAGGCTGAGAACGCCCTGCACGCCTTCGCCAATGGCGCCTGGCTCGGCATCAAGATTGGCGGCACCATCATCGCCTCGCTGCTCTGCATTCTCGGTGCCGTCGGTCTCATCAACGGCCTCCTTACCTGGTGGGGCCACTACATCAACATCAACCACCCTACGCTCACTCTCCAGACCATCCTGTCTTACGTCTTCTACCCGGTTGCCTTTTTGCTCGGTGTTCCCCGCAACGGCGATCTCCTCCGGGTTGCCAAGCTCATTGCCGAGAAGGTCATCACCGTAAGTGTCTCCTCGATCCGTAGTAATCACGGTTGCGTCTCCTTGCTTGTGATGTGATAATAACTCTGGTGTCTCTTCAGAACGAGTACAATGCCTTCAACGCCATGGCCACCGACCCCTACTACGAGGACATGTCTCCGCGCTCCCAGCTCATTGCTACCTATGCCCTTTGCGGTTTCGGCAACATTGGCTCTCTGGGTATCCAGATTGGTATCCTCAGCCAGCTGGCCCCTTCGCGTGGCGGTGACGTTTCTCGACTGGCCCTCTCTGCGCTCATTTCTGGCGTTTTCTCGACGCTGACCTCGGCCTCTGTCGCTGGTCTGGTCGTCACTACCCAGCTCTCCCACTTCACCCGACCTCCTGCGTCTGGTTAGAGTATTCTTTTTTTTCTCTCTTGTGCGAGCAGTGTTGATGATTTGTTCCATGTTCGGGACGACATCGTGTGAGTTTTGAATGAGCAATTAGCAGAGGATGAAGAACTCGAGGAAGTGGAAAAGAAGATACCCCGCCACGATCTGAGCTCGGATGTGAGCGGTCAACTTAAGGAGCATCTTTAATCGCCGTGATGAGATACCATCAATCCAACAAAGTCGCCCGTAAACGAACCCTCTGGGTCGGGCATGACAAGTTTCGAGTTTCTGTTCCCGTGCTGTCTGTTTTTTGTGCGTATGAAGTTGGCTGCTCTAGCCGTGAGTGGCTGCTGTAAGATGATTGATAATTGCCTTTCATCAGGTGCCGCCTTTGCAGTGATGATTGCACACAAAGCTTTTCTCTAGTTCTCAGCTCTCACCCACTGTCTGTTTCTGGTCAGATTAGAATCGGTTCCTGCGCCTTATTATGCCCAGATTTATAAGAGCTAACAGATTATAAGATTCTATATAAAAGAGACTTCTAACTAGTAAATATTATAAAGCACAACTCTTATACTAGCAGAGGCCCTAGTCATAAGGCTATTCTAGATTTATTAGTTATAGGTTTACTGCCTTTAAGGCTATTCTATACTATATCTCGCTAAGGTTAGACATTTCTGCAGCCTTCTAAATTAATAATACCTTAAAATATATATATTTTACCTTATTTTAAAGGTTACTATAAGCTAATAATTAAAGAACGCATTACAGGGCGGCTTGCAGGGGTTATTGCCTGCTATTTAATAATTAATAAACTAGACATTATACTTCCTCTAGCTGCTCCTTAAAGCAAAGTATAACAGGCATTTAAATTTAGTAAAGGCAATATACATATAGCAGGCTTATAGTAACATGCTTAAAAAGCTTAAAATACACTATCCTAGGCATATTTAAAAACTAAAAAGCCTTAAAAATAAGTACTAGGACTGCTAAAAGTTATAGCAGGTATAAAAAAAAGCTAAGAACTTATTAAGAATAACCTATAATTTTAAAACTAGGCGGCTAATAATAAGCAAGGTAAATAAAAAGCTTATTATTTAACAGCATTATCCCTATAGCCATTAGGTTATTAAAAGTAGCATCCTAGTTAGTTAAGGCGTTAAGATTAAGACTTAGGAGGAGATTTTCTTAATAAATATACCTACTGGCTGCTATATTTATAAAGTAATAAATACCACTAGCTTTACTTAATTAAATAATGCTAATAACCTAGATAATAATATTATTTTTAAGCCTTAGGATAAAAAGATAGAAGAAATAAAAACTTTACCTGCTATTAGCAAGTTATTACTATTACCGCTGCTGCTAGTAATACTATTAATGCTAATGCTATTAACTCCCTTACTATTAATAATCTTATTATTATCTTATATATTAAGCGCTAGCTAATAAGAAAGGAATAAAATAAAAAGGCTTATAAAGGATAATAAAGCTGTAATATTTAAAGGCATCTGTTAGGCATTAGCTGCCTTATTAAGCTGCTCTGCTAAGCTGGCTGCCTAGCCGCCCTGCAAGCATATTATAAGATTATAAGTAAAGGGCGTAGAAGACTTTAAAAAGGCAGTGTAAAGTTATTTCCTCCTTATAAATAAACAGGGCATGCCTTTTATAAACTGTTTAGTTTATTAGCTTTATTAAGATCTGCTAAATATTTTAATATAGAATTTATTACTATTAGGTTATATATAGAATATATAGTTAGTAATTAATTTCCCTAATAATTTATAATATCTCTTCTCTTATAACTTCTAGTATTCTAAATAGCTTTAAAAATCCTATAATAGCATAAGGTTATTATTATCCTAGCATTATTAATTCACTCTTACATAGCCTAAAATTAACTATTTACTATCTCTTACTGCTTATTAGCTTTAAATTTTACCTTTTTTAACTGCATTTTTATATACCTCTATCTGCATTATTAACTTTAATACTAAATACTTTATTTTCTATTTATTTTAATTCCTCTAGCTAATCCTAATAATTGCAATATGCCTTTTAAAGCCAGCTACTAATATATTCTTAAAGCTAAAGGCTGCTTATAATTAGGATAACCTTATTAGCATATTAAGCAGCTTATTACAGAGCTTCCCTTTTATCTAGCATTAAAATATTAATATCTTCTTACTAACTTTTACTAAGACTCTTACTATTAAGCTTAATAAAGTTATAAAGACCTATAACTGCATAAATAAGCAGAATCTAGTTATTAAACTTATACTTAGCAGCGCTATTATAAATAACCTTCTACTTCCACTTATATCTGCTAAATACATTCTTAATAATAGTTCTCTTTTAAGCATGCTATAAGTTAAATAGTTCTTTATAATCCTATAGTTATTAATTAAGATCTCCCTAGTCTTTTAAATAGTAATAAGTCCTAGCATAAGGAATTATAATGCCTTACTATATGCTAAATCTAGCATTTATAAGCTAGAAGCAGCCAGCCAGGATTACTAATAATTATATTAGCGCCTGCAGTAAGAGATTTAAGTTATTTAAAAATCCCTTGCCACTAGTAAGAATATAGGTAAATAGGCTATTAAAGGTAGCGCTAATAAGTATATTTTATAAGATATTATTCTTATATAACTAGAATCTCTATTACCTTACTATTAAAATATATGCCAGGATATATATGCTATTAATAGCCCTAATAGCTTTATTAAAGGCGCTATATTTCTAATCTAACTTAATAAGTAGTAAGATATATATTAAATTTAGCTGCTAAATAAAACTAATATATAGTTATTATATAAAATCCTTAACCTTATAAAAGATCCTTAATACTAATGCCTGGCTTATATAAAAGCAATATGCTATATTATATTAAGGTTTATTATATATGTAAATCTATAAAAATACTATCACCTTCTGCTTAAGGCTTTAGGTCTAATTATAGCTAAGACCTGTGTTTATCCTTAGCTATTTATAAAAGCTAATAAACACAGCCTTTTCTATATAAAATAGATTATTAAATATTATATTAGATCCTTTAAGGAGCTTGCTATAATATTTATAAGAGGTAGTATAAGTAAAATTCTAAATAATATTGCTATTTTTATTCTATTCCCTCTCTCTCCTTAAGCTAATAAAGAAGCTAATATAAGCTAATAGGAAAATAGCATATTAAAGGTTATTATTAATATTATTATTATTATTTATAATAAATAAATATATAACATACTCCTTAGCCATAGCTAGCGCCTTAACTATTAAAGTTATATAAAAGTGCGCTAGTTATCTTAAATAATCTATATTAGCGCATTACACTTATATAAATTATTAGGAAATACTAGCAGAATTTTATAAGATTTTTAACTGCTATACTTATTATAGGTATTTACACAGCCCCTGCTAGCTTAATATATTACTAACAGGGGTTTTAAGGTTTTATCTATAGTAAAGTTAAAATATATAATTTTATATATAAAAACTATACTAAAAAAGGTATAGTTGCTCTATTTTCTATCCTAATCTAAAATCTTACAATCTATCAGCTCTTATAAATCTAGGCATTAGCAAACTAGAAGCTGATATCAGAGATCTGTGACAGACTAATCATTGGAGCTATTACTGGTGCGTCCACATCGAGCTTCGGACGCCTTGTTTCTCCACAAGCTTATGTTGTCACCCCGCAGACAACTTGGGCTTCCCGGCTTTGATTCGAATAGCGATCGGCTGCTCTCCGCATTTCTGTCTGTTTTTTCGATCAACATACCTTCGTCTTGAAGAAGACCCAGAACGAGAACTCTGATCTTCATTTTAGTCAGGTGAGATTACGATGGCTGGTATCTCGTTCCGCAAGTTCATTCGATGGCTGCCGGACGAGGCGAGCGAGCCGACGTCGACCCTCGTTTTGACGTCGCCCGAGAAGAGATTTGTTGATATACGAGTCTTGTTGGCAAATGGCAGCGATGTTCTGCCCGACACTGAGCGTAATTCTACCCCGATGAAGACATCCCAATGATGGCGGGGTCATTTGGCGATGTTCAAGTCCTAACGCTTCTGTAGAAATTCTCCCATTGAGTCGTCTAGACTGGGCAATAGCAGGAACATCCTCCTCGACTGTCCTTGGAGAAGGGCATTCCCATTCAAGATGGGCACACTGGATTGACTCTCGGGCTTTGGAAGCGCCGGCTGATGAGGGTCACATGTATGCTCAGCCGGATGGACTGAGCACTCTCGAAAAGGGCAGGATGGTGAACCCTGATACGGGGAAAGAAACAGACTATGAAGAAATGTGGTTTGATCCGCCGCCGAAAGCGACGAGCGGTGGAAATAAGGCGCTTTGCGTTGTGCTTCTGATGGAGGATGAGGAGAAGGGGAAGAAGGGGATGTTTGTCAGGTTGGGGGAGTGGGCGCAGGTGCTTGTGAGGGATGGAGCAGGGAAGGGGGACGTCGTTGCTGAGAGATGGGAGTGGAGGGATGATGGGCTGGGGTGGAGGAGGAGGGTGAGGTTGGGTGATGAGAGGAGGAAGATGCCGTGCGAACAGGTGTTGCTGGGGGAAGCTGAGATGGAGGTCGGCGGGGAGGTGGAGGTTGGGGATGAGGCTTGGAGGGTTGTCGAGGTTGCAGAGGTGTGACGGGGCTGTTGAAAGTGTTAGGCTCGTTGGATAGGGGGATGGACGGTACATTCTATTTGGACGAAGAGGTGTATGAGGTGTGTTTTCTAGAGTCTATGCAACTGCACTCTTGCGAGACGTAAGCTCGCTCGGCATCTGTCGAATAGCCCGCGCTTCCTTCTTGGTCAAAGGTAATAGGAACCACTTGTCCAGCGCCTTGACTCTCTCCTCCTCGTCCTCCATCCTCTCAACCACTTCCATGTCCGGCTTGCCTTCAACCCGCCTCCTCACTTCTCCCTGTACCATCGTCAGAACGCCCTTGAGTCCATCTCCCTTGTCATTCAAAATCCCCCTCAGCGCAATGACCTGGTTCACGAAGATTGACGCGCGGTTGGTGCTGCAGTAGTAATTGGCGACTTGATAGTCCTCGCGAAAAAACTCCATGTCCGTGAAACAGTACCTCTCGATCCATTCGGCTGAAGGATCGTCTTGCGAAGAATACACCCAGACGGACTGCGTGGAAGGGCAAGTCGATTGCGCGAGGGCGCGGAACTCGAGTTTTCCTCGACGGGGGGCGATGTTGTCGAACTCGAGGTTACGGGTCAGAGGGATGGGGCGGAAGATGTTGTAGCTGCCGAAGGCGACGTCGACGAGGTAGCGGGTTTGGTTGATGGTGATGATGTTGGCGCAGTGAGTCCTGGGGCTATGAGTCCTTTTGCACTTTTTTTCCACAATGGCTCTATTCGTGTGTACAGAGATTGGATGTTATTAGGAGCATGAGACGACTTACATGCCTCCGTATCGAAGACCAGTCTTGACCCTTGCGCCGATGCTGAGGACCGTAAAGCCCAAGACGCGCAGCATGTCGCCGAAAAAGGTATTCATCTCCAGGCAATACCCGCCTTTGCTCCTCTCCACGACCTTTTCGAACAGATCATCTGGGTCGATGGAGAGTGTCCGGTGAGAGGAGTAATGCAGACCAATGGACTCAAAGGGGACCCGGGCGAGGTGGTGGGCGTGAAGCTCGGTGAGGAGCTGGAGCTCATCGCGGGGATGCTTGGAGCGCGGATAGGAGATGTGGTTGAGGTAGCGGGTGAGTTGGTCTTGGGTGTAGGGCGCCTCCATTGTGTATGACGAGGAGTTGAAGGTTGAGAGGGAGAGAGATGAATTGTTTGGCATTGGCATCCATATGCTTCCCTACCTCTATATACATATATACATGAACCCTTTAATTACCCCTGCTACTAGTCTATACGAGATTTGATCAATGTTGTGAATGTAGAGGCGACATGAATAGCATGCAGCTCCCCAGAATTTGTAAGGCTGTCCGAGCTGCCATCCAGTCGGATACCGTACCGGTTCGTCAAGCTCCTTTAGCCCCCGCAGAGTCGCGATTCCGATTCCCGATCGGACAGCCGAAAAGGCCGGACTTGTCAATGACATACATTACGACTCGGGAAACATGTGGGATAAATAGGTAGATGGACGGAAAACTTATGAATATGGGATTCCTGTCTCGTGAGCTGGGGTTTAATGTAGTTCAAGCGGCACGAGGCGGAGGATTCGATATCGATTGTGTTTGTACACGTTCGCATGTGAGACGTGGCGGACGGAGAGTCGATGCCCAGCTGCCCAATGCGAGCGAGGTGGTGGGGGCGGAATCCGAAGGTGTGTTGATATATCTGCTTCTGATGGAGTCGCGGCGATGATGCATTGCTTGGTTCAGCAGCATCAAGTGAGAGAGACTGGGAATAGCATCATGGAGGCTCCAACACCAACGAGCTCCGCCAAGGCCGTGTCGCCAAGGTAGGGATAACATCAATGCGACTTGATCATCCACTTACAGCGATTAAACATCTCATAAACCAACAAACAGGTCCAAGATCCCCGTCAAGTCCGCTCTCACAAAGTCCCCCCTCAAAGCCCCCCTCAAGCTCCAGCCGAGCACCCCCCGCTACACCCAAATCGCCTACTTCAACATGTCCGACAGCCTCAAGGCGGCATCTTCTCGTGCCCCTTCTTCCCTCAAGAGCCTGGACATCACGCGTCTCCCCGACGACCTCAAGCTCATCGGCCCCGAAAACTGGGCGCCCTGGTCCAGCGCCATGATGGCCGTCGCCGAGCTCTCGGGCTTCGACGTGGCCGCGCTGGAGGAGATGCCGCGGGCGGTGCACGTGAGCTGCTGGCACAACAGCGAGAAGACGCCGGAGGAGGTGCGCGAGGGCAAGATGCTGGGCTTGCTGATCAAGTTTAACATTTCGGCGCATATGAATGACCTGGTGAGCTTGACGATGGATGGGTATGAGGTGTGGAAGGTGTTGAAGCTGTATTGCGCCAGGTTTGTGGAGACGGATCCGTCGAGGGTGTTGAAGAGGAATGGGGGGTGTATTCGCATTTCGTAGGGGGGGACTGGTCATGAAGATGGTGCCCTGATGAAGGGGATATGGGACAAAGGGGAATCCGCATCTGCCTGCGGAGGAGTATGATTTCGTGACTTACATGAGGAGCTTGGTCACTAAGGTGCTATAGATTGCAAACTCCATGTCGAATCAACAACAGTTGATTCACTTCATTCCGCCGTGATTCTAGGTAGCTCGCTGATGCCAAGGTGTCTTCCATGTGTAAAGATTACTCACGATGTGTCAGATGATCTGTAAACGGAGGTGAATCCAAGTATCATGGAATACCAAACAAGCTTCTTTGTCCCACAGTTTGACCCAAAAGCAATACTTGTCCAAGTTGATCGTGGTGGTGTAAGCAATGTCCATAAGCAATCCAGCTTGGATTCACTTCTGAAGTACGTCTACTTAACCCCCTTCTCTTCGCCGCTCTCCATTTCTCAATCCTTGCTTTCCCAACAGCTACCGCCCCCCCTCTCACCATATAACACACACTCCAACACCAACACCGACCCAAGGTTCTCATCGCATCTCGCCTTCGAAATGTGCAACTAGGATACATACATTTACCTGTGCGGATGCTTCAAGTGCAGATTCAGCTGGCAGTGCGCTGACGCCGCCGCCGCAGGCATACCCTCCTGCACCCGCGGCCAGTTGGTATACGAGGCCCTCTCCTACAGGTTGAGGATCGTCTGCCCGAAATGCGCACACCTAGAGATGGAGCGCGGCTATCCGGTCTTTCGGTACAACGTCAACTGGAGCGACATTCAACGGGAAGCGCAATATAATGCGGAGAGGTCGGCGATGCGTGCTGCCCAGGGGCGGTAAAGGGGGGCATCAGCGCTGTGCTTGCGATGGATGTTTATGACGGTGGTTTTGATGAGTAGAGGCCGTTGACTGTCACTGGAACGTGATGGGTGGCAAGATCTTGCGAAAGACGCATAAGTGACTGAGGTTACTGGAGCAAGGGAGTTTTACTGTAATGAGCCCAGGACAGGATGGTAATTACCTACATATTCAACAAATTTCCCACGTAAAAGATGCATTCCCACATCATGACAGTGATACGCCTTTACATATGTGGCATGACTGACAGACAACGATGAACAAGTGTCAAAAATGCGAGAACAGACAGACTTCAAAAGCAGTATTTCGCCGTGGCCTCACTAAAAACTACGTGATCAATACTTAAAGCAATATGATGGTGAATCTGAGCAGGGGGGTTGTAGCCCACCAAAAACAACATCAATTACATCTTGTGCACCACATCAGTCTTGTCTTTTGACATCAGGGCATCAACACTCAGTCAGGAGACAGAAAATGCGCCTTGTCTATCCATCTCCTGTCATGAATCATCACCTTGATGCTGATGTTGGCCCTTTCCAGGTTTGGACTGCGTGTCACCGGCCAGAAGTGACTCTTTTCCTCCAAGGGCGGGTTTGACTGCATGTGTCCCCTTGTGCTCCACTGGCTTTCGTCCTGGTGAAGCAAGCGGTGGTGACATCTCCGGCTCGGTGAGGCTCGTTCCGTTGTCTGAGCTCGACACCTGTTCGTCTTCACTCGAAGCGTCGGCGATGGTGCGCTTCGATTGCTTTCCTGTGCGTTTTGTGCACTCTTGCAGATGCTGTGAGTAGTCGCGCCGCAAGTCGGTCAGCTCCTTCATGGATTTGAAGATGAACTCGGCTTGTGCTCTATATATTTGGTAAGCAACTGCTGGAGGACTTTGCCAGATGGCTACAGCGACCATGTAAGTGACTCACTCATGGTATGTGCTCCTCAAAAGCTCCACGGAAGAGATGAAGGAGTTGATCTCGTCGGGCAGCCTTTCAATCAATACCCCTGTGCCGACATTGTACACATTGTCGTCTTCGTCTCGCAGTACTGCTTCAATCATGCCCTGAGTCTGGACAAGGCTGTCATGGCAGATGCCGATGCACAGGTCGGACCCCGGCACGGTGTCGTATTGCGAGAGTTTGCGGTAGATTGTGCCTAGAAGCAGGACGCTGACTTGAAGCCGTTTCAGGAACGGCGACAGGCGTCCAAAGTTTGTCATGGCGGCTGCGGTGCTGCGGACTTGGCTGATTCGAGGGAGAGAGTGCTTGATGAGGCCTTCTAGGCCGATTACTATGGGAGGAGGGACATCCATGCTGTCTGTGGTGGATGTTGATTGGAAGCAAGGAGAAAAGGAGATGGGCAGCGTCGAAGAAATTAATGACGAGAATGGAACGAACGAACGGATGGCGCAGTATACACGATTGTGTAATGCACTAGAAGACGGCCAAGGCAAAGAGAGACAAATGAGGGTAAGAAGAGAATGATACTGAAGCAAAGGAAGCAGGGAGGACCACGGTGAGACTAAATGAGAAGATGCTGTCGTACGTGATTGATAAGAACAAGAGTTTATAAGACACGGGATATAGAGGTGTTGCACAGTGACCACACTTCAGAGTCACGAGCAGGATTGGCAAGGATAAATCATGTCTTCACCAACGTAAGCATAAGGTATCTTACGGGGGTGGAAGATGTGAGACAGAAAATGGGATGAGATGAATCTACTATTCATAGCTCACAAGGATACACATTCGCTTTGGGCTTGCGTAGTATAATCGGTGGGCATAAGTAGTAGTAGACTTCTTTCAAGGGGTGTCCCAATCATGAAGTGTGTTGAGCAGCCATAAATCTTCAAGCCGATACGCAGCTGAACGGAGCTGAACATCTCTACGATGGTGGGCACAGTCATGCGAGCAACCAGGCACCGATCTTACAGGCCATCGGGGGCAACGCCATGTTCCAAACAGGCAGCCACCGTCGTGCTTGTCTCATCGATACCGGGTTTGGATATGTGTCGGGTGTTACAGCACCTATCGGAAGCTGAAATGAAGGCGCGGACGCTGTGCAATGTCTCAGACGCCTCTTCGTGAAGCAGGACTGATCTCAAACCAAGGAGACGTGATGGGGCACCACCTTACTGCCCGAGGTGAATGCGTTTGGATCTCATCATATAGGCATTGGTTCGATCGGTCTGGAGTACCCCGATCAGCCTTTTAAAGCTCATCGTCACCCTGTCAGGGAGTCTCCTCGTCAACCAAGTCTTCATCCCTCGAAGTCGACACCTCGGTTCTGACGTTATGCAGCCCTCCACCAGCAGGGATCCTCCTCGTGGCTTACCCCCCAAGCTTATGTGGGATACAGCCCTCCCTTGCCTACCAATGGGGATGCAAATCCGCCCGACCTTGCACAGGATCGACAGGGCATTACATGTGGCATTTCAGCTAAAGCATCAACGTTTGATGCATGAAAAGCGAAATGCAGGTAGTATGTAGGTCCTGCAGAGAGACGGAGAGGCCGATGCCTTTGCGGGCTTTGTCACAGATCCTGGCTGCTTCACGAGTTATTTGATCCCCTTGATCCATCTTCCGTAATTGCTCCGGGTTGGAGAGAGGCCCTCTTCTGTCGACTGTGGTGGCTTCACGACAGGAGCAACACGTCACGTTAGTATCACAGGTGCAACCTGCAAGGAGTAAGTATGCGATCAGTCTCGTGATTGGTCTGGATGCCTCTTGACGAGCACATGTTTGCAGTGAGAGATCTCGATGACGCTTTGTGCCTCATCATGGCGATGCGAATTCCAGGTACATTCAATGTGGACTGTTGCTTCAATGATGCCAAACATCACTATCGGCGAGTTTGGAAATTTGACTGCTTATAATCATATTATTCTGTACGCGATCGCTATCCGTACATCATAACAGCAAGCATCATCTCAGAGTTGTCAAGGCAAATCAATCGCTCAAAATGGAAACCACCCAAACACAAACATCCCGTACTTCATCCCTCTCTCCACTATCGCTCGCATCGTATACACATCTCTAGACTTTTCTCCCAACACCAGATACCATCATCCTCGGATTTCGTCCCCGGTATACTTTCTTCAACATCACCAGTTTGTCCTCATATCCATCTTCTCCTTCAGAAAAGCCTTCATATCCTCCACCCCCGTCGGCGAGTTCAGATACGGCCACCCGTTCATGTACTCCTTCCAGCAAACGACCTCCACGCCCGCGCTGTGTCGGAGGTACTCGCGCAGAGCCCTGCCCCTCTGCATATAACTGGTGCCGCCGTTGTGAAAGTGCTGCAGCAGCATGGGCGTCTTCTTCAACACCTGGGGTCCCTCGGGCGAGACTTCGTTGGGCGTGAGGAGGGGCGTCGAGATGAGTGTTGGGATCGAGGCTGGTAGTTCGGCTGAAATCCCAATGAAGCTGCCCAGGGGCTGAGGTCTGTCGTCATCCGAGATGCCTGGTGAAGAAGTGTCGTCCAGATTGATCAGCGTCATCAGGGCCATGCCCGCTCCATGCCCGATTCCCCCAAGAATGACCCTGTCCCAGCGACCACCGAGCATAACGACCTCTTTCCGAATGACCTTTTGTAGCTCTCTCATCCTTCGCCCAAGCCCATGCATCATGTCCCACAATCTCTCCGCCTCATCCTTCTCATCCTCATCGTTCACTGCTTCTTGCCACCAGCTCGGCTCTCCTCGCTGTACGGCATGTTGAACTCCTGTGGAAATCGAGAGGAGCGACGGCATGAGGGGCTCATCGGTGGGCGTCTGGGGAAACACCCATCGCGTGGAGGCGTAATTTTGTATGATGGAGCGCCAGGAGAGGTCAGTTGCTTCGTGGAGTTGGTTGACGGTCTCGCGGGCAAAATGCCTGTTTCTGTGGAGGAAGATGACGGTATGGGTGTGTGCTCTTGCGGGAGGGATGGTGTGGAGGGGAAGGTCTGCGATCATTGTGTCTGACATTTCTCGATCGATGCCTCCTAACTTTGTGTGTTCAGGAGAGCACCAAGCGTATGTCTTGATAATGAAGAGAGGTGGGGATGAATAGAGCTGTCCGCCTACTACAAGAGGACCAAGATTAGAGATGCCCTTATAGACTACCCCAGAGTAAGGAGAGGACAAACAGCCACCTTGATTCACCGCAGCACAGTCCTACTTAACCTCATCCTCCAGCACACAAACACAAACCAAAAATCATCTCGATCGATCTCTCTCTCCGAGTCCAGACCACCACATCGTCTCCTGTCTGTCCCCAGCACCTAAATCTGCTGCCCAAAGCATCACAGACAAGGCGTCCAGCAACAGCAACACGAACAGAGCGAGCACAACGCCGATGAATGGCGGGGCGGGAGAATTGCCAAGGAACGAAGATGAGGAATAGGAGCCAATTAGGTGTAAGGCCAACTAGAGAGTGTCTCTCTGTATGGGGGACAGAGAATGACAGCTGTCAGACCAGTGTAACGGTTACCTCGACTCACGAGAGGGCCAACAAAGAGTTGTTTCTGTAGGAGAGAGGGAGGAAAGGGGGAAGAGGAAAGAGGAAGCTGGCCGAGACGTTGAAAGCATGTGCTGTCGGATATGTATATCGGCGTATCCGGGACTCCACGATCTGAGCACTCCTTTCTAATCTTCTTCATCTCCCTCTCCCCTCTTGTCCATCAGCATGTTCTCCCTCTCCCCTCTTTCTTTCTCATCCTCGGCTTCGCCGAAGAACCGCATGTCCGCGGGCTTCTGCCACGTTCTTTCAACCGTGAGACTTCGGATATGAAGCGGCTATTGAACACCAGCCGTCCAGTAGTCCAACGGACAAATCACTTGGAAGGAAAAAATGCAGTGTATCATCTGTACAACGGAAAAATTCTCTGCCAAGATTCATGCAAAAGCATCTCTCATTGATTGAAACAGGTATAACCAAAACAAGCTCTCAAGCTTGACCCAAAACAAGAGTCCAGATAGAAGTCTAGAATTCCGGAAGCCATTATCCGAAGCTTGGCCCCCCCAAGAATCCCCAATAGGATCTAACGGCACACCCCTGCCGTCGGGGTCAGCCCTTTGTTCCCTCCTGTCCTTCCCGCTTGCTCTCTAAACCAGATACTTTTCGTGTGATATGCATGCCATATAAGTCAAAGGTCTGGATCGAGCAGTGATACGCATCCTTTCACAGGAGACACCCAGGGGTAGAAATTGATGTAAGGATGATTAAAAGGTCGTAAAAAATGATGGATTTGGCGCTACATGTATGGTATGTACCAAGCGAGAGAAGGAGAATATCATCAAAAAGCAAAAAAGAGGAGGAGTAACCATCGTCAAGGGGAATGAAGAAGTGAAGAATGTAAAGAATTTATCAGAATTAGGGAAGAATAATAGGGGTATCATCAGTTGTCCTCCTTGATTATCACGGCATCATTTTGGATCTCGTCCTGGATGCTGTTCTGACTGCTGTCGTGGCTCCGGCTCTGCTCCTTGGCACGCTTCGTCTCGAGGTGCTTGATGGCATCGCCCGTCAGCTCCTGGCGCGTCAGCAGCTTCCACACGTCCTTCTTTCTCGTCTTGCGGTCGCCCACCATGATGACGAGACCCGCGGTGATGTTGCACGTTATGCTCACACAGAGAATCACGGTCGTGATGGCAAAGGGACGGTGGTGGTAGTCGATGCCCCAGGTGGTGGCGCCAAGGGAAATCTGCAGGCACGAGTGGCAGTCGAGCAGGATGACAATGGCGATGAGGTAGCTCAGGGGGAAGGCGTGGTGCGTAAAGGTCTCGTCGGGCTTGTAGAAGCTGTGCGACTTGGCCAGCTTCTTCTGGTGATGCCGCATGCGCTTCCACTGCTTAAACGTGAGCGGCGAGTCCTGGTCGTACTCGATATCAAGCTTGGCGGCCTCTACGTCGGCGTTATGGTCCACCATGGCCTGCTCAAGCTCGGGGGCGGGTGCAGGGACAGGGACTGGCATTGGCTGTGGCTGTGGCTGCGGCTGAGGCATACCCGACGGGAGGTTGCTGCTGGTGGAGGCGATTCGCTCGACCGAGACGCCGGCGCTCTGGGGGTTGGAGCCGAGACCGGCGCCGACCTGGGCGGCGTTGTCGCGCAGGGGGTCGCCAGAGGCGCAGTGGGTGAGCTCGACGCTGTCGCCGCCCACGCCCTCGCCCTCGATGACGGCGGCTTCCTTGTCCTTGAGCTTCTGCTTCTGCTTCTTGGCCTTGGCAATCTTGCGCGAGTAGTGCACGACAAAGGCCATGTGATACGTGTCAACGGCCCGAAAGGGGGCCAGGCCGTCGCCCATGATGGCGAAGAGGGCGACCAGCACGCTGTCGATGATGTGTATCGTATACACCTGCTTGTCGCCAACGTAGATCCAGCCGATGAGGAACAGTACCCATGCCAGGCCGAACAGGGTGATGAGCGTAGCATAGAGCGTGACAAAGAAGCCCAGGGGCCGCCGCACGTACTGGCCGAAGCCCTTCATGGTGCGCTTGAAGCGAGACCGGCGCGAGTGCAGCATGTGGCGCACGCGGTCGTCGAGCTCCAGCTTCTCCTCCTCGGTCCAGCCCTCAAGGCTAAAGCCATGCGGCAGCGCGGCATAGTGCGAGTCCGTGAGCCTCGACGTGATGGTGTCCGACCTGCGCAGCGTGGTTGGAGCCGCAGTCTCAGCCTCGGCCGTGGGCTCGACGCCGGTCTCGACCCTCGCCTCCTCATCCGGTATCTCGGGCAGACGCTCCTCCTCGCGCTCTGCAGCGCGGCCCAGCCGACCATGCGGTCCAGCCTCACGCTGTGACAGCACGTACGTCGGGCGACGGTTGATCCAAGGGCCGAGGTCAGGCACGAACAGCGAATTTTGCACGTTGGTCAGGGTCGAAAGGGTCTGGACCTCGGGATCTGGTCGCACAAAGATGGTCAGCATCTGCCGGCACTGGTTCTAGACTCTGCACGCAACTTACCAATGATGTCGAGCCAGTCTACCAGCCCCTCGCCGTATTCGTCCGATTGCGGCTGGGGGCGTCCCTGTGCTTGTCCCTGTGCGTGTCCATGCGCGGACTCGCCGCCGGTCTCTGTGTCGCTGGCGGGAGCAGGCGAGCCGCGGTTGAGGGAGCCGGGCCAGAGCAGCTTGCTTAGCTTCCTCTTCCTCGTCAGCCGCCGCCCGGGCTCCGAGCCGGCGGACAGGCGGCGGCGCTGCTCGTCCTCGTCCCCCCGCTGATCGGGCAGCGACCTCGCCGGCGACATGGGAACGCCGAGCTCGGCCATGGTCGGGCGCGATCCCTCCTCCGTCAGCCGGGGCAGCGCCAGCTGGGGCACGCGGCGCGAGTGCCGGGCAACGTTGCCATCGGCGTTGGACTGGGCCGTCGGCGAGGGCTGCGAGATGCTCCGGGGCCGGATGCCGTAGCGCGTCCCGGTGTCGGTGTCGCTGCTCTCGGACGCATAGTCGATCGGGGGCGCCTGCGAGCCGCTCGAGCTGCGGCGGATGCGGATGCTAGGCTGGCGAGTGCGCTCGTATGTCGGGCGGCCCGCGTCGGATCCTACTGTGGAGGGAGCGTGGCCACGGATGCTCGAGCCGCGCGAGATGGCGCTGGATGTGACGTCGAGGGTTGGGAAGTACTCCGTCTCCGAGTCCTCGACGGCGTCGGGCGTTGCGGGATTCAACGATTGGCGAGACAGCGACCCCAGGCGACGGGCGAAGCTGTATCGCGGCGGTGGCGGCTGCAGGCTGTTGCTGTTGTTGTTGTTGGCTGCTGAAGTGGATGATGTCGGTGCCGTCGATGGTCGTGATGCTGCTGTTGCTGCTGCTGCCGCGGGCGGAGGCGCTGAAACGACAGTGTGCGGATCAACCTCTTCGTCCTCGACGCGCCGCGGCGACGAAGCAGAGCGCCATCGCGATGATCGAGAGCGGCGGTTCGAATCCATTGCGTGTGACTCTGGCTGAGGACGACGAAGAGAAACAGAAAGAAGACAGAGGCGAACGGTGCAGTATCGGGCCTGAGCGTGGCTGCGAGTGACCGAGTGACGCACAGCTGTGTGTGCTTAGTCAGGGCACTTGGACAGGCAAAACAGACAGAAGGAAACAAGCAGCGACGCCCAAGTCCGGATGAGAGAAGAGAGAAGGATCAAGTGAAATGAGATGAGCTGAGATGTAACGTTAGAGAACAAACAGCAACAGCTGACGTGAATAAGGAAAAGGTTACAACACACGCCTCGATTGGTTGCCAACAAACAAGGGGGGGGGATCAAGGGTAATAGCAAGTCGAGAGGGACTTGGCGGGCTATGAGCAAGGCCAAATCAAGCAAAGCACAGTAAAGAAAAAAAAAATTGCCGCCGTGATAACAAGTGGTTTGCCGCCTCTGATTCTCTTTCTGTGAGTCGCTTCTTCTCCCAGTCCGGCAGCCTCTTCTTCTGCTTCTCTCTTCCTCCGGGCGGCACGACGGATCCTTCGGTTCTGGGCAGAAAACCTTAACGAGCAACAAAGCAGAGGGGAATAAGAAGGAGAGGGAACAGAAACAAAAATAAAAAGCCACGCTCCTTTTTTTTTTTTTTTCTACCTTTATTATCAAGCCTGGTTCTGGCGTCTGCTTCTACGCCTGTTCGGCATATTTCTTAGCGCTGGGAACGAGGAAACAAGGAAGCCATCGCTGCTGAAGAATCGCCCGGTCGAATCACGCCAAACGGTGCCATTACGTCACCAGTGCCAATCGAGTAGCAGTTTGGGCTGCTTTGTCAGACGAGGAGGATGAATTAGAAATTGAGGCTAAGCTTTGTTCGATGCAGGTTTGAGCGCTTCTGGTTAGACGCGATGATGGTTAAATTGAGAGAAGATTGATAAGTGAGGTGGTGATTCGGTGGACTGTTGACGAGGGTTCGCTTCTCTCGCTCCAAGTTGTTTCTTTGTTCTTTTCTTTTTTTTCGCCCTCGCTTCAGCTGGCGAAGGCTTGAGACAAGATACATTGGGGCTAATCGCGTTGATCCATCTCGATCAATGATTTTCGAAGAGCAAATAGCCGAGCAGTATATACATAGGCACCTACATAGGTGGTCTGTGGTATCAGACTGCAAATCACAATATATTTCTCACCAAGACTGCGCACGGCCCCGTATTTAATCAAGTAAAACCGCCCTTCTTATAAACTGGAGCCCTCCGGCACCTCAAGAACCCGCTACCGGCACTCCGCGCACCTGCAAGACGCCGTCGCCGGTACAGCTACTTTGTCCCCCAAGCCATGACGGAGTGGCATCATGCTTGAGACGCGGGACCCCGAAATACGTGCGGCGCAGCTGATGCCGTGCGTGAGCAAAGCGTACAGTATCATAGTATATACGAGGATGATGGTTGTTTTTCCCATCTATATATCCCGAGATTCGCCTCCCGGGTCCACGTGAGGAGCTGTCAGCGCAAGCCATCATTTGGCCGTTTCGCCTCAAGCTGGGGAATTATTACCACATCTGTCCTCGCTTACCCGGGAGTCACGGCTGGTATTGCCGCGGCTTTAACGGACGGCCTCAGACCTCCATATGACAGACAATACAGAACCATACCGTGAATAAAAGACCGAGAACGGCTATAACGGACTCAGGCCTTCATGTGACGGACAATAAAGTCTCATACACGATGAATGAAAGACGGAGAAGTCGGAACGAAGTCAGCATAGTACTAGGTATATTCTTGTAACGAAGAATCTGACACCGTCCAAGTAGCAGGGATCAAAATGACATCGAATATATGCATACTTTTCAGCAACAAGCATCACATTATATAAACTGGTATATGATCTCAATGAAACAAATCCCACGCTCCAAAGTAACATCTCATAGCAAAATCATGTCGTGAAAACGCCCAGAATCCCATCATGAAGAAGAATCGTCATCCTGCCTATATCGCTCCGCGTTCGCAATCGCAGACTCAACCGCCTCCTGCAGGTCGAAGTGAAAGTACGGCCTGTTCAATCCCCTAATGGCCACCAGCCTTCTGCTGCTAGGGTGCGGCGGCACGTCCTTCTCGTCAGACGCCTTGGAGATGTCGTCCGAGTGCGTCCGCTCCACGTCGTACTGCACCCGGCTGGCCTTCTCCTCCGCCGCGGCAGCCGCTGCCGCGCTGTCCGAGCCACCCAAGTCCGCGATGCTGAAGATGGTCTTCCAGTGGCCCGCGCCCTCGCCATTGTCCTCGGCGATGTGACGGGGCGTGCGGTAGCCGAAGCCGGCGGCGGCCAGGGCGCGCTTCGTCCAGCGGTTCTCGATGTGGGCAAAGTGCCAGTCGACGGTGTGCGGCGCGGCGTAGCGGTCCAGCTGGTTGCGCACGTCGATCAGGGCTTGGGCTGCTGTCACGTCGACAATGTTGACGGTGGAAAAGTCCAGGATAATGGCCTTGAGCGTGGGTCGGTTGTCGTGCTCGTCGTTCTTCTGGTTTCGCGGCGTGGGGTCATTCCAGGGGCGATCCTGTTCACGACTGTTAATCTCACGTATACGTTATCTACAGGCCTAAGGGAGGCACTTACTCCAAGCTTGGCGAGCGTGTTAATGTCCGTTCGTCGAGTCTCCCTGAAGATCGTCTCCGTCAAGTGATTGAGATAGCGCGTGGCGTTGGGGTAGTTGAAGCCCTCGGCGAAGCGGTAGATGAAGATGCCGGGGTACGGGCTCGATACCGTCACTCTCGGGTTGGAGCCGTCCTCGTGGCCCAGGGGCAAGAAGCCGGTTCGCTCCGAGTACTCTGACGGCTCGGCCACGGCCTCCGTATCTCCTCCCTTCTCCGAGCCCTTGGTCGCGCGGACGGTGCGCACGCGCGCCACGCCCAGGAAGCGGCCGCGGCTGAGGAACAGGCGGAAGATGACGACAGCGAACGACATGCAGATGGTGGTGTAGATGCCGTTCTCAATGGTGGAAAAGACCGTCACCAGGACACCCGCCAGGAAGATGATGACCTCGATGGGCGACACGCGCCAGAACTGGAAGACGACGGGCAGCGGAGTGATGACATCGCCGACGGCGTGGATGATGACGGCAGCCAGCGCGGCGTTGGGGATGTAGAAGAAAAGGGCGGTCAGGGCGTAGAGGGCAAGCAGGACGACCATGGCCGTGATGACACCGGCAAAGGGCGTGCGAACGCCGGCCTTGGACTTGATGGCGGTTCGGGAGAAGGAGCCGGTCGCGGGATAGGCGCCCAGGAAGGGGCCCAGCAGGTTGGTGATGCCGATGGCGACGAGCTCCTGGGACGGATCGATGATGTAGTTGTTGACGCGGCCAAACGACTTGGAGATGGAGATGTGCTCGATCAGCATCACGATGACGGCGGCGGGGAGATCGGGGAGAAAGGCCTCGACGATGGACGAGTTGATTTCGGGGACGGCGGCGTGCTGGAAGCCTGTGTGCTGTGTTAGAGGTCATGACGGAGACAAGCATCAGATGCTGAGAGCTCAACATACCACGAGGAACCTTGCCCAGGATGCTGATCCGGGGGTGCGCCCTGTTGTGCATCGTCATGCCCGCGCTGATGCCCGTGTACAGCAGAATCACAAACGCCGTCCGCAGCGTCGAGATGAAAAAGTACAGCTTGGCCCGGTGCGGCTGCTTCTTGGCCATGTGCGTGCAGACGCCCCTGACGAGGTACAGAAGCAGCAGCGACGTCAGGCCCAAGGCCGCGTCAATCGATGTCGTCGGCAGGCCCTTGAGCGTGTTGATGATGACCTTGTACGGCGCCTCGCGCGTGTTGACGCCCTTGATGCCCATCAGCTTGGGCACCTGGCCGGCGGCGATGTTGACGGCCGAGCCCGTCATGAAGGCGCAGATGGACGGCAGCGGGATGAACTCGACGACCCAGCCCAGGCGGGCGAGGCCCAGGAAGCAGATGATGGCGCCGGCGATGATGGCCAGGGCCGAGGCGATGACATGGCCGGGGACATCGGGGAGGCGATCGGCCGCCCTCAACACGACGTCGCCGGTGACTTGAGACATGACGGCAACAGGCTGTGGTGTTGTTAGTGCTGGGCTTCGTCTCATCGTACCTGCAGCTTATCCCGTGGATGATACGTACGCCAATGGTGATGTCCTTGGACGTCGCGAAGAACCAGTAGATCAAGACACCCATAAAGGAAGAGTACAGGCCATATTCGACAGGCAGCTGGGCAAGCTGTGCATATGCCATGCTCTGAGGCACAACAACAGCGCCAACGGTGATGCCTATAATATCCTCTGGTCAGACGGCCGTATGTAAACGGCTTGTAATGGAGGCCACTCACCCGCAATCAAGTCACCAATGAACCACGTAAAGTTGTATTTGCCGATCCAGTGGATGAACGGAAACAGGTTGTAAAAGTAGCGGCCGACATCGTGTAAACTTGGTCGAATCTCTTCGAGAAACTCGCCGACGGTAGGCTCCCGCTCGATAAAGGGGTCCGCGTTCGTTATTGACGGGATGTCGCTGTCACGATCTTCTGTCTTCAAGCCAAACGTCTTGGCGAGCCGTTCCTTGGTCAAAGGCATCTTGACGATTGTGATGTGAGGAGGAAAAAGTAGAGGAAGAGTGACAATGGAATGCAGAGACAAAAACGCAAGGGAAAAGTCAAAGTGAAACAGAGTTCAATGAGGATGCCGCCGCTTTGTCCCAAAGCTTGATATCAACCCGCAACGATACAACGAGCCTAGCTCCTCACGGCACGGCGTTGTCCGTGGTGTTACCCAAATAGCAACACCAGGAAGCTTGGAGGCGACCCCTATGGAGAGGCAACACGTCCTGCTGCTGGAGAAGATAGCAGATGATCAGAGCCTACTGCTGCAGTATCACAGTCGAGCAGCGTGTTGAAAGAAGAATGAAGAGGGAGAAAGGGAGGGAGAGGAGGCGTGTAGATGCGGGTCGAGGAGATGGCAGGGCAACTTTATTTATGGAGGTGGCATCGCAAATGGCAAGTATTGGGAGGTTGTCCCGAGCCTTGTCCCTGTTGCTGCTTGTCATGTAGGTAGGTAGGTAGGATGTACCTACAGCTAGGTACCTACATCCTCCTCGACATTGCATCCATGCCATGTGCCTGTTCTTGTGTGTCCTGGTCCATCTCGTTAGCTTGACCGAGTAGGATCAGCCACGCAACCTGCTTGATGCTGCTCCAGCTCATGATTCGCGGCTGGTTGTACACGCAAAGTAACGCCCTGGCCGTGGAACTTATAGCGGGTACCGATGGAGTACATCTTCGATCATTGCCTTTTCGATAAGACACGGGCAAAACAGGTACATTGCAATACTATCAACAGAGCCATTCGATTAGTTGCCGCCATCTTTTCTAGGGCCAGATTCAAGAGCAAGATGGAAGGAAACTACGGCATCAAAATCAGGTGCGCGGGTCCCCAGAAGCTCCAGAGATTGGCAAGCCTCGAGCGTTTGCCTCTTTGTCTAGAGAGCCACCGGATTGCGTGCTTCTGGCTAAGTATTCGCTTGCAGCTAGAGGGCGCCAGGGGGGGAGGAAGAGCGGCTTAGTGTGGGTTGGACGGCCCATCTTTTCGTTCCTTTTTTGCACGTCTTTTGTTTCTGGGACCTGTTGATTAGCGGGAAGAGATGACAGGGGGCTTTTCTGGAAAGTATCGGCCTCATAGTTGTGTGGCGGTAGAGGTACATACTTGCGAGATGGGCCGGCGTCTGTGGGCTTGGGGGCTCCAGGTTGTGTAGGGATTGCGTCAACAGTGGAATGAATCTCTCTGCCTCCCCAAGCCCACTGATATCGTTGGTATCGTACGGGTGACAATATGTTATTCGCTCTTTACTTCTCCGGCATCATCTGGATGATGGACTTGTAGCGCAAGAGATTCCCGGAATCAAATCTCGAGGATGTGTTACTTCTCTCTTTCAGGTCTTTAACAGCATCGTCCAGCATCGTCACAACCATGACTACATGTACGGTAAATGGCGAGATGGAACATCACCATCTAAACTGAACTCCACAACTCCACGACGGCCACGGCAGCGCCCTGCGGCGCTACACGGCCCCTGTCTCCCAATGTCATCACTCGGGCTGACACACCTCTTTGGGGGCGAATATCTGGACACATTGCCGGCGACCCGACGCCCTCAGAATGTGCCTGAGATGGCTTTGCCGTTCTGGAGGTTTTGGCTCTGAGAGACTTTGTTATGATGAGAACAAATGCCCAATTACTGGCTAATTCGAGTGAGATCCCGCTGTATTACCGCATCCTGTAAAAGCATAGATTTGTATATCATTTCACCACAAGTTCCTTGCCCTCCGTTGCACACGGCGCTCGCGTCAAGCTCCCAAGAGATCTGGCCAAGCCATTCGGACCATCGCCGTCTAACTCGATTTCAAATAAGCTACGACACTAGAGCAACTGCTGGTACCGACGAGGCTCCGGGTATGCGTATTATTCCGTGTTCCGCGTCGTCCTGCCTGTGACGGGGATTACATTGCATGAAGACGGATGGCAGCGTGCAAATCCCTCTCATCCCACCATCTCCGCTCTCCAGCTCATCCCACAGGAGGAGTGTGAGGACAGCCGACAGCTCTCTCGACAACTTCATCCTGCCCCCCATGGACCTATCAGCTTCCTGGCATATTGGCAGATGAGCTTACACCAGGGCACGCTCAATACACCGTCCGTCTTGTGACTGATTGTCTGTCTCTAGCTGCATGTGTTGGCCTCATCAGCCGCCACCTCAGCTCTCTTGCACTCCCATCACAAGGATCCAAACCCTCGTTCGTCCGTGTTGCACAGGTCCAGCCGACATGGGGTTCCCAGAATCAAGCCTGACAGACGGACAGAACTCCAATCAGAGTTGAAGGAAGCAAAAGGGTCTTCCGTTATGGAGCCTCGGGTGGTCGCCCTTTTCGAGCGACTTCCAGCACCTCCATAAAAACACGCTGTAATAGCGCAGATGGCGCAATCTTCCCATGTACTCTCGTTATGCCCGCCTTGCTGAATCCCACCTGCAGGGCTCCAAGAGTTACATGCAACAGGCGACGGGCTGAGAGCAAGGGGGGGCGTCAAGCACCATGGCATGGCCTTTGGGACCGGCGACGGACAAAGAGTTCTAGGCCATTGACGAAGAGGTCATGACCAATTGATAGCGATCTATTGCGTCTTGAAGGTACGATATTGGCCATTTGGCTGTTGCATACTTGCCACCAGGGCTGTTGCCGCCCTCTCCATGGCGCTGGTGGGCTCCCTATCAGGCCGCGGAGAAGCTTGAGCAAAGGCCATCACCGAGCAAACGGGTAATGGAGGATGTTAGCTGCCTTTGACAGATATCAGCTATCAAGTTCGTTGCGGGATGGGTGCTATGCATGGCCCCAGATTAGTCGACCGAGCCTGTGGAATGGGAGAGACGGTGAGCTGCTTGTCTTCTGCTGTAGGACGCATTGCTGCGATACTCTGGGCTTGTATATGCCAGAAGGAGAAGACCGCATGTCGTCCTACGCTCCTGAACCTGACAATGACACGATGGCATCACTCGTTTCATAAGCTGACAATGATATGCGACGGAATGACATTGTTGCCTTGATATGCTTTAGTACTTACTTTCGAGATGCGACGGGATCCGAGGTACATGGATGTACTTCATCTCCGGTCTCCAGCTCCTCTCTTAATACAAGTCCTGTCCTTGTCTAGGCATTGGATCGCTTCCTGGCACGCAAAACCGTCTCCGGCCTCCTGTCTACCTAGTCTCTCAAGTGGCAATCTTTGCCTATTGCCTTGTCATAGTCCGCGGCCAGAGGCGAAGGGAAGCTCGAGCTCAAGCAACGGTCTCAGCTATACACCACTCCTGTCACATCTAAGGCAAACTATCAACTGTTTGCCATGACTTCTCGTTGAGTGCTACTCGTTACATCTTCACATGCTCAACTGGAGACTGGTGTTATCTCAATCTCTGCCCCCCTTTACGACGAGTTGCCTCCCCATTCAACACACGGCAAGTTCCATCATGGCACCATGGCGCCATCGGAAGGCGCAATCTCATTCATTGCTTGTAAGATTGGACATCAAACATGCCTGCTAGTTTATCAAGCCCAATGACAGTCTCTCAGCCGCATCTTGGGTTCGAGAGCATGATGCGTTCACAAGAATCGTTGCGCTATGAAGCAGAGCCTAGACGGACGCCACGATGGCTAGCTTCTATCCACGTGCTATAGTATGAATACTCTTGCTCCTGGGTTGAACTTGCGAGTGACACTTCTCATAACCCTGCATTGATTGGGCTGCTGGTGGATTCTCCGCGGCACGAGGTTGGCCCTGAGATGAGAGTCGATGCAGGCTTGGCTTTGACTCCACGCTCGGACTGTCGCGTGCGTAGGTGGAGAGACATACTGGGCTGTGATGAGCCATTGCAGTCTTCGTGGCAAGGACCATACCCAATGAATCGAAAGAGAGACTCGAGCTGAACCTGATGGCAAACATTCGGCACGTTATGCATGTGAAGCACTATTGAAGTAGGGGGCAAAACCTGCCTCGATAGGCATCACGCAATCAGGAATCGAGACCGCTGGGGGGGAGGTTAACAGAACTAGGGGCTATATCGTGCGGTCCAATGGTTTGAAAGGATCATTTGATAGATTGACGTAAAATATGACATTGGTGGAAGGCGCGTAGAGCAGTGTCATTGATCAACATGTGGGTGAATGATGGAAGTTGATGATAGAAGGACGCATAGCTGGGGTTGCTGATTCTCGATTTCGTTGTATACCAATGATACCCTTCAGACTTCCGCAGATACCAAGAGGCTGTTTCTAGGAATTTAGACCTGTTCAATGATGTTTTCTGATTTGCGGCAATGGCTGGACTACGCATAGTAACCATGAAACGAGCAGTATACATAACAGCAACTCCAAAGCTGCTTGTGAATAGCGGTGGACAATTATGACATCTTCATACATTGTAAAGGCCTATGATGATTGCCCATTCGTGTTTACATGACACATTATATCGAGGCGTAGCACTAGATGATATATCCCCTTGCCACGGACCTTTGGACGAGCTCATCAACAGTCTTCTGCGCCTTGTCGCCACTTGGCGGCTCCAGCCCAAGCTTCTCATTATCTGGGTTCTGCCAGACGGTCAAACCTCCTGTGAACGGAATAGTGAGAACACCTGCAAACTCTTCCCACGTAAATGTGCCGTTTCGCATCCTCTCGTCTGCAGCCTTCTTTCTCTCGGCGATGGAGAATGACGTGATTTCCCACGGCTCTTGAGTATCGGAAGCTTCCTCAAAACTCTTCACGATGCGCTGCAGGGTAGTCTCGCCGTCGCAGATGTAGACGAAGCTATTCTTCACTTTGGGGTATCTGGTCAACAGGCCGTCCAACCCTCTGCCAAGTGTGTCAAGGCTGGAAACAGAGATGAGGCCGTGTCCACCATCGCCCAGGGAAGCACTTCGTTTGCTCAGATCCATGGGTGAGAAGGGGGTTATGTCTGAATGAAAAAATGATCAGTGGATGGCGATGATTGCGATTGATGGGCCGACTTACTCAACAACAAATTGCCGACATGCAGACTGACAAAGTCAATTTTGCCCTCAGCAGACCTGGACATCAGATAGTTGTGCACCACTCTCTTCGGCGCAATGGCCGGGCTAGGTGGTAGAGTATTGGGTCCAATTCTCTCCAGCGTCGCCCCGTTTCCGCCTGCAGTATCAGGGGCCCATTCTGACGGCACGAAGAGCTTCACCTTGGCTTCGATGGCCGCATTGATGAGCGCGATCTCGATGATGTCGAGGTCTCCCCCGGGGCCGAAGTGGGTGAACACCACGACGGCATCGGCGCCAGTCAATGCCTCGACGAGGCCTTTGTGGTCCTTCAGATCGACCTGGACGATTGGAATGCCCTCTGGCACTTTGCCTCTATACTCGGAAGGATCTTTTCGTCCGATGAAAGTGATGTCGTACTTTTTGGTGGCAACGACGCGTGGTCGGATCTGGCTGCCAAGTCGACCTGCCTTCAGAAAGGGTCAGTTCAGAAGCACTGGTGGTCTCAGTTGGTGGAAAGTTCTGTACTCACGCCGTACCACACGATCTTCTTGATCATGAACTCGGATGCCATGGTGAGGCAATATGGAAAAGACCTGATGTACCCAAAATAGATTGTATGAATCCGTCTGTGCTGATTGCTCACGACATGTCGTCTCTCGTCCTTTTGACCGGACAAAGACTCGTCTTAAGGTTTTTCCACATGGCCACAATAGCCCAGCATACTTCGACTGATTATTATTTCATGTTGGTGCCATCACGAGTCATTATCGCATCCCGCCGGCGATCAACAGCTTGTATGAGCATCTGCTGTCTTGTTGTCGAGTTCACATAGTAATTACCAAAAGAGAGGCTTCTCTCCCACTCGGTGATTAATAATCGTGGTATATCTTCTAAGGGGTGGGTTGGGATCCAACAAGAAGAAGCCTGTACCATGTTGTTGAAGATGGAGCAAGAAACTCAAGAGTGGGTATTTGACAGAGCATCTGCACGGAAAGAATCATTCAGCAAAAGATTCCGAATCCCCCAGTCCCTTCCATGATGCGGCCGATGAATAAATGCACAGATTGGGAGATCAGTCTTCTTGTTGAGAATAGTGACGTACCGACCTAAGGCCGTTCGAGTCCAGGCAAGGACGATGTTTTCTACTTGTGCTGCGATAAACTTGAATGGCCTCAGCAGGCTATGATCCGAGCTGTTGGGGAGTCAAAGACACGATGTGGCTTCGCGCAACTCCGGAGTAGCTTAAAGGAGGAAATTCACGAGCCCGCTGCTTGATACCAATGTCTTCAAGCTTCGGTTCAACTTGCAAATTATCCAGCATCGTTCGCTTCTCAAGCTCTACCCTGTAAGAATGTCGGCTTCTCTTGAGTCTCGTGTGTTCGATCGGCCGTTGTTTCGCGACCTGCTGGTACGCTGCTGATATCGATGCACGAGGTGAGGAAAAGATGGAACAATCACTACTTCCTCCTCAAATGAGACCTTACTAGTCTGGTCTCGGGTCATCAAGTCGCCTTCGGTGCCATGTTGTCTCTGACAGGGCGACATCAGGTTAGGTAGGTGAGCCGCAGCATCATTTCGATAGAGTGGTTCGTCTCGAAGTGACTGTGATCAGTTCCATGTCTTGAGGAGAGGAGTGGTAACACTTCGACGAGCATATGCTGGCAAAAGCAGGCTCTTCACTTATATATCAGATAGCTATCTCATCGTTATCTGAATATTCCCATTCCCTCTTCCAGTTTGTTCGTGTATCTACTGACTAATATCATGTTAAGTTCTCACTCTACGCGACTCTGATTGCGCCAATGGTAAGCTGATTCGCCCCCCTTCAGCTGTGTTTCCCACGCCGCCGAGCTGGTCCGATGCCCCGCTTATCGATCACGACATCTCTCGAGGGCCTTCGTCATTTTGCCGGCTGCTGAAAAGAGCAATAAATAGAGAAGCGAAGGCCTTGAATACAGACATCGTGGTTCGGCTGGAGAATTAGTAGTGGGCTGCCTCTGAATCTGGTGTATGAAACATGTCGGGCGTATGTATAACTGCGAATGACCCAACCAGCTGTTACTTACCTGCAAATGCGGCCACATCAACTTCCCTGATCCGATCCTTCGGGTCATACGGCAGGGATCGGTTATCATCAGAATGCTCTCACAGCGAAGAATGAACATACGTCAATAGAGAACCTGCCAGATTTGAAAAGGAAACATGAATAATGAATGATCTTGCTTACAGCATTCGCCCTGTTCCTTTGGCTTGTGATGACATACGCTTGTGGCTGGCTGAGCGAGTATGAATCAAATTCGGGGATATCCATCCGGCTGCTACTCTGCCGCATAGGTCTCCTGTTGCCAAGGCAGCACTAATGTTCACTAGGGTAGATGCGTGCTGACCATGCAAGGCGTACGACGATTCGCCAGACAAGTCATTGCATGATCGTACTCATTTAGCCTCGAGTAGATAAACTGCCAGGAGCTTGAGACGACCCTAGGCACAGCAACTCTGCTCCCATCACGCAATTGCAAGTTGAAGACAGTGGCTCGCCCCCCGCAGATGGCTGTGAATCAGGTCCATAGCCTCGGTACAGTATAGCAATCCCATCATGGTCATAACATCGTCCAGGACCATGATGACGATTGCTGAGGCTTCCACCCTCACATCGCTTCCGGCGGCCACGTTGAAACCGATTCCCTACTCCCAACGGCAGTTGCTGCTCCTCGACCCTCGGAGACCGTACATGCTCCACACTAACAGAGAGATACCCGAGCTCAAATTCGGAGATTTGTTAGTTGAGGTGTATGGTATTGGCTTGAACCAAATCGACTGGGAACCTACGTGCGTAGATGCAGTCTCCCGTTCCCCGCCAGGGCACCCGCCTCACCTGTCCCCCGTGAGGACCTATTAATTGACATAATGAGTCTGGCATCAGAGACACCGGACATACTCTTCCCCCACCACCGTGTCTCAATGGACGCGAATTTATCGGCAAGATTATCGCCTCAAACGTGGACCGGAAATGCAGACTCCGGGCTGGGGAATGGGTGAGTGCTCGAAGTTCAGATAACACCACGTTGATTGTGACTCACAACATATTGGTCAAGGTTCTCGCTGTATCTACAGACCACCGCGACCTGAGAAAAGCTGCGTTCCAGGAATATGCCATTGTCTCCTGCTACAACGCAATCCGGATCCCCAAGCATGTCGAACCATTTCAAGTCGCTTCAATGGGAGTAGCCTATGTCACAGCAGGCCTCGCTCTCGGGGTCTGCTTAGGTCTTACGTTCACCAAGGGGCCCAAGCAGAAAGAGTTCAATTTGCTGGAGAATGCAAGGATGTACCCGGAGAATGTTCCCGATGATATCGCCGACGAGGTGTTTGATGCTATGGCACCTTGTTATCAAGCGCAGCCCGGTGAATGGCTCTTGGTATCCGGGGGTGAGTAGCGCTATTAATGATGCAATCGTAACTGAGTGAGCGACGTAGAGTTGACTCTTGTGAAGCATCGACGATTACCGGGCAAATTCTTATTCAACTGGCGAAGCTGGGAGGACTAAAAGTGGTGGGCGCTGCCGACCTTAGCAGCCATGGAGAGCTTTTACAGTCATTGGGAACCGGTGAGTCAAGCACAAGATATGACGGCGATAACTCTGACTTACCACAGCGTCCAGACGTCTTGATTGATCTCAGTAACCTCGATCAAGCAAAGCGTGACATCAAACGGCTTACTCCAGGATCACTCAGACTCGCCATTGATGCCGTTGGACCAGAATCCGCAGAGTGGTGTCAGCAAGTCCTTGCAGAGCGGACAAGTTCCAGATACTGCCGCCCAGGGCACGAGACACCAACAAAACCATTGCCGGTCGATGCGGCTGCTCGCGGGGGAGGCAGCAAGCTGAGCCACCTTGTTGCCATGTCGGGCAAGCCCGGAACTTACAATCCCAACATTCAGGTGCATACGGTACCCATCAAACTGTTTCATACAAGCCCATACGTTGGAGGTCATTTGAGCAAGTGGCTATATGAGCTGCTCGATACAAATAAGATACAACCCCCTGAAGTCGACTTTGTACCGGGAGGGCTTGCTGCGATAAATGGAGCCTTGGAAACATTGAGACAGGGCAAGATGTCGGGAAAGAGGCTTGTGATTCGAGTCAAGGAGCCAGATGTGAAGATTGGATCTCTATCGCCAACCTGAATTGAATAGACTCATAGTGAGCGATCTAGTCACACAGCCTTTCGCCTGTTGTTTGACAAATAGATAGTCATGGCATACAAATTCTGTCATTCCTATACGATATCAAGAGGACGTTGTGAATGGTTCGGAAAGCACAACAGCAGCGCCCAGACAGGCGCAGACTCTCTTCATTCACTGGCCCCAAACTTGTCATCGGAACCTCGAGGTGGTACCATACCTATCATTTCTTGATTCATATGCAGTTTCTAGCGATCTGGCCACTTAAGCAGTCCTAGTACGCTTCTTGAGGAAGATTTTCAACGGCATCCGCTCCCACACCAAGAACGTACGCAGCGCATCGTGCCAGCCCTCCTGGCCGGGAACCAGCTCGAAATCGAATCCAAACAGCAGCCGTGCAAGAATCAAGCGCATTTCAGAGTAAGCAAGGTTCTTACCCAGACAGTCTCTTGGTCCGTAGCTGAATGGCTTGAATGTGGCACGATTGTCGTTCTTGAACTTGTCGTCGTACAAGGGATGAGACTTGGGAAGCCATCTCTCAGGCAGGTATGAGTCGGGCTCAGCCCAATGGCTGGGGTTGTGGTAGGTGGCCATCTGGAATACCGTAACAGTAGTCTGATCATAGGTGTGGTCAGTTCCTCAAGAGCCCTGTTCTGCCTGGGGAAATACATATGGGGATGACTTACTCCTTTCGGGACCCATTTGCCATCAATCATGCCTCCAGGACTCTGTCGCGGAGGCGTCTCAGGAACCGGAGGATACACACGAAGAGCCTCTTCAATGCAGGCATGAAGATACTCTAGTCGCTGCGTCGAGCTGAGCGTAATCTCTTCTTCATCAGAGAAAGCAGACCGAAGCTCCCTCGTCAGCCTCTCGTACGCAATCGGATTGCTACCAAGGTAGAACACCAAGGCGGACAAAGAGGAGGCTGTAGTTTCGCTGCCTGCTGTAATGACAAGAGGAGAAGAAGCCAGGATCTCGGGCTCAAGGAAGCCAAATTCGCCGTCGCGGTTCTTCTTGAGCATGAAAGCGATGAAGTCACGGTAGCCTTGGATGGCAAAATCGCCTTGCTTGATTCGCGCCTGGGCCTTGCCCACAATATAGTCTCTGTTGTCGGTGCTGCTGTTCAAATCGCCAACAACTCGTAGCCATTTGACAACTTCATGAGCCAGGGGAAACTGCCTGAGGAAACGGCGGTAGGAATCGCCGCGAAACCCATTGAAGAAAGCGGATACCCAAGGATGATAGCCATTACTTTCGAGGCAATGAAAGGGCTCCGAGTGGTAGAGGTGGCCAATGATGTCGAACGTGGTGAAGTCAAACCATTTGATGACATTGAAGCTCTCCCCAGTGTCTGCCTTATTGGCGAAGCGACTCATGAGCAGGTCGACGTACTGCTTCATGATGCCTTCTTGGCTTCTTAGTGCAGAGTCACTGAATGCATGGGCTAGTTGCCGTCTCTGTCGCCTGTGCACGTCTTTGGGAGCCGCAATGAGAGCGGTGGTGTCCCCCTGGAACAGGAACTCGGGCACTTTCCCAAACTCCTCTTGGCCTGCCTTGTGCCCATAGACGTCAGGCCAACCAACGGATCCATCAACCGCCAGATGGTTAGGGCCAACACGCACAATCGGGCCATACTTATGATGAAGCTTCCGGATTGTGTTGTGCATGGTGCCACGGATGAAGCTGTCGTACATGTAGGGGAGATAGAAAGCAGCCATATGAGTTGGGCCGGGAAATTTGGAGAGCGGATGCAACCAGATATTGTAGAAAGCAACTCCTACACGCCATGCAATAAACTATGACATTGATATGTCAGTTCGGGAGCAATCGTCATGATCCGGCACTGGGCTGTAGTTCAATGATAACTGACCATCACAACAAATATGCCCAGCAACTGAAGGCCACTCTTTCGGGCCAGGCTCTCGGCTGCTTCTTGCACAAGGCCCCGAAGTTGTGATCCGACCAAGTTTGGCCCTTTGTCATAAGTGAGAAAAGTATTCATGGTGCCGTCGAAGCTTTGTGTATGATGTCTCTGTCTGATTGGGATTGACTTCGGGATGGGAATGATAGTGCGATGACGCCTCTATATCGAAGGCTCTCACTGTATTTGTACTTTTCTAATCTAGATTCCACTGCACGACTTGATCTGGCACACTTCTCCGCTCAACAAACCACATGCATGAGATAGGAGATAATACAGTCAGAGAGGATCATAGGGGTAGATCTTAGAGACAAGGACTTGATTGCAGAGTAGGTTTTGTAGCTACAACGGGAAAGAGCGCGCGCGTCAAACCTATACTCAAAGAACTTTGCGGAGTCTCGGGAAGTAAACACTCTCCGGATCAATACCACCTTTTCGAGGTCTCGTCCATACGAGTAGGCTTGATCACTGACATCCGTTCACACATCTTTACGTCAGTGAATTGCTCCGACAAAGTGCCTGCAGAGAAAACTGATAGATTTGCAATATGGTAAACGACCCTGGAAAAAAAACATCCATTCGCTTCACACATGATGAGTGTTGTTAAACAAGTGACAGAAACCTTGTTGGCAATCAACCAAGAGACGGGATCGCTGCTTCAGCGGCTCAACATTATCAGATAACTTAGGACATAGTTACTTCACTTGCAGTTGAGCTCACCTCATAGATGAATTCAATGCCAACATGCTTGGCCAAGTAACCGCTATTGAATCACAAATTATGCTATTGTAACTCTCGCCTAGTCGGAGGTTACATATGCTCGGGATGCTGGGCATGGTTCTCATACTCCAAGCACGGCAAGGATCCAAATTGCTGCAGACTATTTTACCAACGCCTTGATAGCGCTCTCAGCCGCTCCTTTTGGACTTGAGTACTACCTAGATCCATTCGATCCCGAATCGGCTCTATTCCTGGCTTGCGAATGATACATACGTTGCCGCGGACTTTGCTCCGCTGCTACGTGAGCATGCTGGGGTTAACTCCCTTGTCAAATCCTACCCTGCTGATCTTTGAACGCCTTCTGTTTCTTGTCTTGCAGTTGAAGGTTGGCCCTCGTATGCAACCAGCAGGCAAAGTGACCGATAACGGGAAGCTCTGAAGGAATATTTTCGAGTTGGACGAAAGGGGTCGCAAACAGTTTCTGGTCCTAGATGCTGAAGCAGGCAACTGCTCGATTAAGATATTATTGGCAGCTACAATCGAGCTATATCCATTCTCTTTAATAAGAGGCAGTGTTTTTTTTTTTTCCGGCATTGCTAAAGCCTGAGAGCTGTTTACGGCATACGTACAATTGCATGGTCTGCTGCCATGCAGAGTACTTCAGCTTGTAGCTCTTGGCTTAACTTCCTTACTATTGATTACAAGATTATCAAGACTACGACTCGAGAGTCATCACAATGGCCCCTTTCCCTATCCTGAGACTTTGCAGCCCGCGCCGCAGCCCTCGAGTGGGAAACAAGTGCCATGGGGGGACGGGCGGAGCATCAGCACCGGATGTAAACAGTCCGCTGGCTTCTGTCTCAACCCTCTTGCACACTTCTCTCGACATTGTATGGTTACAATTACTATGGAACTAGGCAAGCTAATCGTGCCTGATGCAAGAAAGTTGAATCTCGTCGGACAAAATAATCTGCCAAAGCAAGACGGAAATAGGCTGCATAATAGTTCCATAGGTGTTTGAGAAGGGCCAGAAAGTCGTGGCCTCCATAAGACATGTACGAGAAGTTTAAGAGAGCATAGGAGTTTTTTCCCGTCTTTTCTAAAGACTGGATACGGGTTCGAGGATGTATCCATCTTACGGTTAAGTTGAGAAGATTCGTCTACCTGTGTACTGCAGACTACTTAGGTGTATACCCACGGCCTGAATGATCATGTCCCATGCTCCTGTGCAGTGTGACCTGTATTTATCCCCTTATTACATATGATTATACGCGTATCAGTATGTATTGCGGTTATAGCAACAAACGAGCCATGTGAATTGCCTCAGAGTCTGCCGGAGGAACCAACTCTGCACTGTCGTTCAATGCACTCATCTGCTCTTCATCCAGCCCAGAACTCGTACCCATCTACCGTGCAACTGCATACTGCCAATCATACATAGCGTAGAAGGGAGCGTAGAATTTAAAACATATTCCTTGCGCCTCAGCGGCTTAATGGCTTTTCATTTCCCTCGCAGGTCCTCCGGAGTATCGGGTTGATTCTGCCAATGCGCCTTGATAACCGCTGGGTGCTTGCCCAAGTTGTCGCTAATCCTGGTGATAATGGGAAACGCATCCAGATCAACGCCGTATCTTCGGGCATTCCACACAGCCGGCAGGAGACACACATCAGCCAGGGTGATGGCATCTCCAACCGAGTACTCGCCAGCCCAGCCCTTGACGGCCGCCTCGTAGGCTTCGAGCACCTCTGTCATGATCTCCTTGTTCCACTGCTCTGCATTTCCCCCAATTGCTCGGACACGCTTCATGACCTTCATGTTTGTGACGGGCTGAAGGTCGCAGGCAATTATTGCGGCCAGGGCTCGTGCAACAGCTCTCGCCTCTGGGTTCGACGTTGGTGGCAAGACGTGGTAGCTGTCGGGGTAGATTTCCTCCAGGTACTCGATGGCAGCTACTGATTGGCCAACTGAGAACACATTTCCATTGCCAGATGTGCGCACCAGCAGCGGCACTGTGGCGGTTGGATTGCGAGCTTTGTAGTCGCTGGCCAAGTGATCGCCTTTCAGTAGGTTCACGGCCTGAAGTTCATAATCAATGCCCTTGAGATTCAGCACAATTCGAAGCCTGGCCGAGCAGGAAGAGCGGAAGTAGCTGTATAACGTGTATGTAGGGTCCGACATGGTGATGGGTTCAGCCGGGGCTTTCTGAGAGCGGGGTTGCAGGGTCTCGGGTCAGGTTCGGTGGTGCCTCGTAGTCTTTGCTGCTGTTTCTACAACTTGTCGCAGACGATGCAATTCTCGGGATGAGACGACAATCTTCGAGATTGAGATAATTGACAGTTTGAAGCGCGCCTCAATGTTAAATCCAAGGATGAGCCTTCTTCCCTGTATGTGACCTTGGAGGCGCCGCGCGGAAAAGGGCCGCAGAGCCGATTCCGAGCCAAAGATCATCCCGTCGATAGCCTCCCTGGGCCGAAATCTCGAGTTTTTTCAGACGGTCTCGTTGGTTCTAAGGCAGATGGGCAAACAGTACTCTGGAAGCATGGCTCAATCACTTTGGTAGACATTGGGTGCTACAGGGCTTGGTGCACACGAGACTGACTGGAGGATAATCGGTAGGACCTCGCTCATGCCTCCTGGCGTCTTTGACCACCCACTATAATGGGCATGGCAAGATGAATCATACTACACCTATGTACGCGTACGTGACGGGGACCCGGCATCAGCCCGAAGCCACAACCGCTTTCGACGACGGATAAAAAGCTTGTAATTCCTCGGACTATAATGGGCTTTGGTTCCCTAGGTCGAAACTTGTCTGCAACTCCTTGGACACGGCAATCACTCAGAAATACTTTGTCTGAGCATTCAGCTGTGGGGGGAATGCCGAACCTGCTGGGCTCGGGTAGTTGATGTTGGCTACCAACGACATTGAGCCCGGGGGTCTCAACGATCCGAATATGTGCTGCCGAGATAATGATATCAGTTCCACGCCTCAGTTGGACACTCCGCAGAGCTTTTACTTCGTACCCTGCATCTTCCAGCGCCAATTTTTGGGGAGCCCCAACCATCCAAGCAAATCTCACATATGTAAATGGCTCCACGGTTCTTTGCTGTATCGTTCGGCCCCATAATTCGTCCGCCTTACGCTTCCCCGCCTGGCTCCTCAACACCATCTCAACTGAACCAATGTCAATTCAAGCTGACATCCGCACTGAATACCTGAAATGGCGACCCCTCAACCTCGCCTTGCCTGTCTTGTTATGTCAACTGGTAGGATGAACTAGTCAAGAATATAGTCTGAAAGCCCGTTAAAGCATGTATATTGCCTCGAATGAAATCGTGCAGCACTAGGCGTGCTTTAAACCGATTTAACACCATCTCGTTTGACACCGTCTTTGAGCTAGTGCTCGTCCCATGAGTTCAGAATTGTGAAGACAGGCCATCCTTGCGATCAGTATACAGGCATATTGACAAGTCTCAATCAATCCGGTCATCAACTTCAAGTCAATTTAGGTAAGACAAGATGAATTGACAACTGGCCTGAGAGGGCAGTGAGCAGTCCCATGAAGCACATGGTAATGGTTCCTTCTTGGGGCATCTCGTATTCGGCGTGCTGCCCAGGGAAGCAACTCGCTCACCCAACCATAACGTTGCCGACGACAATCAAGGCTTCAACAAGGAAGGCAAATGCAGCGTCGATCCTGAATCCTAAACTTGAAGCCAGTGGAAGAAAATTGTCTATGTGTGTCGGCTGATGTATGGCATGAACAATGGTGACAGACAGTTTTCAGCCGCACGCGCCCAATGTAAGAAACGGCTGCCTGTCCTGAGGGACAATCAACAGTGTGGAGCAGAATCCGAGGGATTATACATAGTCAATCGGCATGTTAAAGCAGGAGCAGGAGAATAGCACAAGAAGAACAATTGGAGAGCTGATTCGGATTTGACTGAGGATCACCTGCGGCGCGAATTGATGTTACGCCTGTTTCATTGAAGGAATCAGTCCGTTAGAAGGGTTATTGAAGCTGGACAAATTTTCAAACGACGTCGAGATCGCTGCGTCCGGGTCCCATTAATCCACGAGATAATGGGGCTCCTAGAGCAAGGCTGACGAAGGTTAAAAATAACATCATGGTTCCTTCGTTCGGTAAACGTAGCGCTCCCGCCAATGGCAACCTGACTCGAGACTATTAGCCGTTCTTTCTCTAGTCGTTGGGTCGACCTCACGTTGAACCATGCAACTGTGCAGTAGTTGGCGTTGAAATGCTTCTTGGCTCTTTTAGCTTAAATGCCCTTGATGAAGAAGTGTGTTGCGGTCAGGAAGAGGGAGTTAAAATGGGCGAATACCCCCAATTGTTGACGCTTAGGTCGAAGTGCTCTCCTTGTTGATGACCTTGAGTCTGAAGGCCATCAAGATGCAACTCCGACTGTTGATGCTATGTATAGCCACTCTTACGAGTGCCCAATTCTTTGTCAACTTTGATCAGCAACTGGAGGACCGTCCTAGGGTATACACAGTGGTCAAAGAAGAAGTCGGACGACTGGATATCCCGGCAAAGTCCAGCTCCAAGAACGACGATGAAAAGGCTCCTCTTGGGTCTGAGCTGACGGCGCGCCAAGCCCTCGACGTATTGCTGGGCAAGCGGCAGTCCTGTGCTCAAGGGTTTGGATACTGTGCCAGTATGTTCCCGTCGACAACAGCGAGATGAAGACTATCGTGAGAACGAATGGCTGCTGACCATCATCACATATATATAGGCGCCGGAGGTTGTTGCGTTGCGAATAGCCTCTGCTGCTCGTACGGATACTGCCATACCCAAGGGTCCGCCTGCTGCCCAAACGGACCGTGTGCAGCCGGCCAAACATGTTGTGGCTATAGTCACTGCATGCCTAAGGGGGACCAATGTTGCTCAGATGAATCCCATTGTCCGGCGGGTAACCACTGCTACCTCTCCGGTTTGACGCACAGAATGGTGTGCTGCACCGACGCCAAATGCACGGCACATGTGGACGATGGAAAAACGACATATGCGCCGACCACGACGAGCACACATACGTACACCACCACTTACTATCAGTACTATTACTGGACTGTGACCTGGTGAGTCGAGATCAAAGCGGGTTGACTTGAGTAGACGCTGATCATCTCCGACAGGTATTACTGGTATTACTACTGGACTTACTCGATCGACATCCATGCATCGATCGTGACCTCGTCCCGTTCAACCACCTGGACTACATTCAGTGTCAAGACAACGGATGCCAGTGCCGCTTCCGAATACTTCAGTTCCAAGTCGAGAACACTGTCTCTTCCCACGCCTGCCGCGGCTACTTCCCTTGAGTCTCTGGCTGGGAGCACATCATTCGCGTCTTCGCCGCCCTCCGACTCTCCGAGTGAGAGCCCTAGTCCGACTGATAAGCCGACCTTTTCGATGCCGCCCCCGCCAAGTGCTACTCCATTTGTGCCGGTTGATGGTACTAGCAGTACGAGCAAATCGAAAAGTAGCAGTACCACAACTCTGCTTCGAAGTGGTGGCGATGATAATGGCGGCGACAAAGGTGACGGTTCGTCCGGGGCAGCGCCTTTGTGGGCGGGATCAGATTGGAGGACGGCTTGGGTCCTGGTGCTTGGTGCTGGGACTGGGTTACTAGCTGTGATCCTATAAGACGATGAAAGAGAAGACATGCATGCTGACGTATTGGGAATACCAATACTGAAATGATGACACACTGGTTCGATCGAGGAAGAAGGTTTGCATATTTGATTGCTTGTTTAAGGAAGTATCTAGGTAATGATAGGTGAAATATACCATTGACCCCGTTCCAAGCGATTAATCCTCCACAAACCACATGGCTGTTGTCAACCATTCTCTTATTATAGCTCTTCCTTGATTGTTGCCTCCAAGGTGATGTGCTTTTCCAAGATGTTCTTGACCTTGTCCAGAGGCAGGGACTCTACGTGGAAGCCCTTGTGACCTGTCAGGCTCTCAGCCATACACAAGGTATTATAGATGGCTTCCTCTGTAGCATCAGCAGCGCCCTCAAACAAGGCATTGATTGTCGAATCGTCAATCGTCTCAGTGACGAGAGCGTTGGCCTTGAATGGGTCAACAGACCTGTGGTTCGCGCCCACTGTCTGTACAGGAATCTCGTTGGCCGTGCTGAATGCCATGAAGATGTCGCCGCTGGGATTGTGGCCGTAGCCTCCAACCCGAGAAAGACCACCGGTGGCACGTTTGGCGAGACGCTGCAGCTGGATCGGACTCAACGGAGCATCCGTTGCGAGGACGATGATGATACTGCCGTCGCGTTGATCCTTGGCGGCATCGTACTCAGCTTTCGCCTTGGCTGCCTCTTTCTTCTTTTCAGCCTCCGCAGCGAGGATCCTCCCCACAGGAATTCCCGTGATGTGAAGATGCTGCATTCGGCCGTAGTTTGCCTGAACCAGGGCCGCCACAGTGTAGCTCTTGTCGTTTCCTTTGCTATCGTAGCCCGGCACGACTCTGCTCGAAGTTCCAGTGCCGCCCTTGAATCCCTGACACAACATTCCCGTTCCGCCGCCGGTGTTGCCCTCAGGAACCGGGTCGGAAGAGGCTGCCTTGATGCCATTGACGACGTGTTGCGGCGTCACTGCAAACTTGGTCAAGTCGTTGAGGAAGCCATCGAACGTCTCTCCTACAACAGGCAGTAGGAACCAGTCTACGCTTCCATCGGCTGCACCGTGGTTTTCGATGGCGTATTGGTAGATGCCAGTATAGCAGTTGCCGACAGCGAAGCTGTTTGTCAGGATGATGGGACTGTGGAGGAGGCCCGTCTCTTCGATCCAATGGCTGCCTGTCATCTCTCCGCTACCGTTGTAGCGGAACACACCGGCGTAACAGGCATTGTTGAACCAATCTTTACGAGGAAGAATGGTAGTCACGCCAGTGTTGACAGAACCGTCGGGGCTGTGGATAGATTCCGTGTGGACTAGCACTCCTGCGACGTCTGTGATGCCGTTCTTGGGGCCGGTGGGCCAAGCTCCCACTTTGAGGCCCGGAACAAGATCGCGGAGGCGGACTCGAGCGGACGGCGAGCGGGCCATGATGGAGTCGGTCATTAGACGATCGCGAGTAGTACTCGTATAAGTTGAGGCGGCAGCTGGTTGCCGAATCTGACAGGGGTGGGTGCTCGGATGGCTCGTTGATGCTTATTCTCAAGCTTGAAACATGCAACTGCCCGGAAGTATCTTGACAATCAGCGCCGAGGCCGACGGGCAATTGCTGATATTATATACACTACAGATTGATAAGCATGGAGCCCTTTGTCCCAGGTTCGTGATCCTACGCGGGTTACATAGTCGCAGAGCACTCTAGATGACTCACGCCGTTACTGAACTTTTGCAAGCCGGCTATTAGTGCTATTAGTCACAGAAGAGATGGGGTGTAGCGTCTTGCGACTCTAGATGCTATCTTAGCAGGTATGCGCTTGAGAACATCGGCGGACAAAAACGTTGTGTCTTCAGACGTCGTCTTTCAAGCCGAGATCTTGATGCGTGTGCTATTGGGAACTGCATGGTTTGAAGCCTCTTGGTGTGTAGACGAGAGCTTTCATATCCTCAACGATTTGGCCCGGTGCTCCTCGTGCAGCCTCCAGAGTTGTGTGGACGCATTGTTGACTCAGAGGGTGCTTTCTCCGCCCACTAGCCGTGGGGTAACGTCTTGGCAACCATATGGGAGTGATTGAGTGCTGGTTGATGAAAACCTCAGTCTCAGAAATGCGCTGGATCGGTAAATGGCGTTGGCGGGCTAGGCGGCTCTCTGTTGCGATTTACCGTTTGCCACCTCATGGGAAGACACACCTATTCCAACAAACATACGAGTATGCGGGCAAGGCGGGGTATCATTAACCGTCTAATGAGGTATGGGAGCATCTGCAGGGCTGCTGTTTATCTCAGCCTAGCTCTGATGCGATATCACATCATGCTGTGCTTTGCAAACAGGGACAATCTTCGACAACTCATCTTGGCAAAGATTGATAATGAGTGGATACAAGACATGTAATACAATCTCTGGCCTTATCAGCGATGCGGTGAGAGCAAAAGGTCTGTTAGGATAACTGTAGCTGTAGTGCCGAGTTCTGCACATGCCGCTGTAAGAAAACGAGAGGTCAAAATCGTTGCCCCTGGTTCTCCAAGCCAGTGAGATTGGCCGAGAGGCTATTGTTCGGTGTTCCGAGTGGCAATCTGAAAAAAGCGAAAGAAACTAGCCGTTCTTTGCAGTTGCCCAGGAACGATCCCATTCGCTGGATGGCCTCGAGAGGATCCATTGTGTGGATTGGTGGAGTAGTCGTCTATTCGCCTCTCTCGCCAAACCCGGCTGTAGAGCTTCGGGCTGATTGATCGGAAGCAGAATACACGGATTTGAGCCAATCCGCTGACAAGTTCAGTAGGGCTGATGCTCATGATTATCAAGCAGACCGCTCCATCATTGCGCAAATACTCGGTGCAAAGCAGGAGGAAACGCTCGAAGGGGGCCAGCAGAAGGTAAGCTTGTAGTCCTGTGCGACTCGCGCTTTTGGGGGCCGCCCCCGGCGCTCGCATCCGCCTCGGTCTCGGCCGCCTTGAAGGGCCGGACCTCCTGAAAAAAAATCGTGTTGCCGTGTTTGGGCAATTCAGCTGTTGAGTTGTCATAGGAATGGTAACTGATCCTTTTACACTCGGCAGTAATAGTCGACTCAATGACGACAACACCCTTCCGACCCTTCAGTTGACAACTACATATCTCGACATGCCCTCGCCGTGAGATCATACCCTTGGTTGGATCAGCGACAAGCGACCATCTGTACTCGCCTGCGGACCCGTGCTTCAGCAAGTCGAAGGCCAAGGCGGAGCACAAAGTATCCTGCTCTCCGACCGCTCTTCCTCTTGATCAACAGTGTGAACCTCATTGATTCCATCTGTTGACTTCAAAGTCGCCGTCATGTTCACAAGTTCTAATTCCAGCGGCACCGCGCTGGAGGACGTCAATGAGAACGAGCGTGGTATCGCCACCTCTGAAAAGGACATCAACAATGTCTCCGATCGCGAAGAGCCCTTCATGACGAAAGAAGAAGAGGCCGGATATCAGTCGTCAGCTCCGGTGCCTACTGGCAGCGAGCCTCCAAACGGTGGCCTTCGGGCATGGCTCGTGGTTGTGGGAGCTTGGTGCACCTCCTTTTGCAGTTTTGGATGGATCAACAGTACGTCCATCTGAACCAAAGTGCCTTGCCAACAAAGAGCAACTTAAGCTAATCTTGCATAAAGGTGTCGGCGCGTTCCAGGATTACTACCAGGCTTCGCTTCTCAAAGAGTACTCGGCTAGCACTATCTCGTGGATCCCCTCGTTGCAGATCTTCTTCATGATGGCCTTGGGGCCCTTCATTGGTCTCATCTACGACAAGTACGGCCCTCGCTGGCTCATCATCGGCGGAACGTTTCTTCATGTCTTTGGCTTGATGATGACATCCATCTCTACGGAGTACTACCAGATCCTCTTGTCTCAGGGAGTCTGCAGTGCTGTTGGCGTATCTGCCATTTTCCAGCCAGGTAAGCCATCATCTCGTCTCTTCCGTGAAGCAGCACTAACGCACAGAAACAGCTCTCAATAGCATCGCGACATGGTTCACCACAAAACGCGGCGCCGCCTACGGACTTTTGGCTACCGGATCGAGTCTGGGCGGTGTCATTTTCCCCATCATGGTCCGTCGCCTCATAGATGAGGTCGGCTTTGGCTGGGCCATGCGAATTTCCGCCTTCTTGATCCTCGCTCTGCTCATTGTAGCCATCCTCACGGTTACGACGCATAACCCGCCAAAATTCCAGCCCATCACCTTGAAGCGGATGATGACACCTTTTACCGAGATCCAGTTCTCCTGTCTTGCTATGGGACTGCTGCTGTTCACCTTTGGACTGTATGTCCCGATCGATTACGTCTCCGTCGAGGCTGCCCAAGCCGGCATGGACCCCAATCTGGCGCAATATCTGGTTCCCATCCTCAACGCCGGAAGGTAATTATGCCAAAAACCTATCGATCAAAGTATCCCTTCGCTGACAATTTGTTCTTGTAGTCTGTTTGGTCGTGTCTTCTCCGGCTTTGCTGGAGATAATTGGGGTCGATACAACATCTTCGTCTCCGTGTGCTATCTGGCGGGCATATTTGTCCTAGGTCTCTGGATCCCGGCAGCCACCGATGGCGCACGAATCGCCTTTGCTACTTTGTTCGGCTTCATGTCGGGAGCCTATGTCGCCTTGATCGCCGCCCTTGTTGTGCAAATTTCACATCCGTCCGAAATCGGATTCCGGACTGGTCTCATCTTTCTGGCTTCCTCTGTCGGTGGCCTTACAACGGATCCCATATCAGGCGCCATTCTTGAGAAACCAATTGGATGGCTGGGTCCAAAGATCTTCGCAGGGATCTTGTGTATTGTTGGCACGTCGTTTGTTCTGGCGGCACGAATCCATAGGACGGGATGGAAGTTGAGGGTTGTCTTCTGAGGAGGCCACACCGCAGATTATTATTGTGACATGACATACACGCAGGCTTTAGCATATAAATGGTGTTAATGGGGTAGTTCTTTGATAAGTCGTTAGCATGGGTACTAGGTAAAAAAGCCGAAATGTCAAAATACTACTAATAATGAACCTCTATACATGTCTTCCTTGATGGCCTCATGAACAGCGATTGTAGGTACATCTATAATCCCTCATTAGAAATAGCTTGAGAAATCGTGCAAATCCAGATGCAAGTCTTCCACTAATGTGTTCCAATCAGGCATGGTGTTCTGCATGAGACTGCTCCAGTCCACGTTCTCGCCATCGAAACGACGGACGTCCAGAATTGCTTCCTGTGGAGGATTCATCATATTGTTGTCGTCAGGCACCTCATCCGCCCTAGCCACACCAATAGTGACGTCGTTTCCATTCACCACCGACTGCCGTATCAATTCGGCCTTCTTATGCAATCTCTTCAAGATGACAGACTTCAGTGCCGGGCCAGAAACGGCTGTGGAAAGCCTCACCTGCTCCAGCTCGAATGTTTTTGCGACTATGACCCAAGCTCGGTCAACGCTGGGGCCTGTGGGACAGACGCAAAGATGCCAGAGAACGTATAGCAGCATGTGGTACTGAGGGTGGCCATACATGCACCATCGATAAGGACGAAGAAGCTCGTCACTCCATAGCTCGAGGTGTATCTCCAGACATCTCAGGGCAGAGAGGAGGTTTGCTTCCGTAGCAAATGCGTTGCGCTTGTCCGGATTCTCCATATTGGCGAGCTGCTGCCTTGTGACGAAGTCGATCTTGTGCACCATGGCGAGCGCTGTCTTCATGGTCATCCTCTGTACTGGGATCACAGGGTTGCACGGCTTTATGTATTGCTCCACGCGTGACCTCAACTGGTTGAGCATATTACTCCTGATGACTTCTTTAGGAGTCGATCCAGAAGGAGTCATGGAGAGGTTGGCCATATGCTGCAGCGTCTGCGCGACTTCCATGCATGTCAGTGGAAGGCTCATTTTGGTCCATCCATTATGAGGTGGCGGGAGCTCTCTCATATCCGGACGAAGCTCGCTATCGTCCACATTCAGCGGCAGTTTCGTATCGTAACTGGGGACCGTCGACCATGAGCTGATGCCGTGATCCTCTGCGGCCCTTGAATCCCTCGCGAGAAAGTGCCACCACAGTCGCCGTCGAACTTCAGACTCAAAGGGAGACATTCCTAGCTTGGTTCCGTCGCGATGGAGACCGATAGAATGTGCCATCCTCACAGCAAGCCCATTGAGGATCCAGATGCCCCTGCCATGATAGTAAGCTCGCGCCGATGCCTAGCCTGGCGTGTTAGCACCTTTCAAATTGGGCCTCGTTCGGGAGCAGAGAACATACCAAGTATATGGCAAGCCCTTGCAGCAGCACGACAGTTGGGTTCTCCAGCATATCTGCCCTTGACAGATGCATCTGGAAATCCCTCTTAAACGTCCGCAAAGCAGTCGACTTGTCCACACCGAGAACATGCTGAGCCTCATCCAACTCCAGTGTCACAGTGGTAGCAAAATACATAGCCGAGACGAGGGCGAGAACGTCGCTTGCTACAGACTCCGGCTGGTGGATGGCGGTGAAAATAGTCACTTCATCTGTTGGGATATGCAGCAGCTTCATGGTTGCATCGACATTTTGGACAAAGAGATGCCACAACTGAGTGGCGCTCAGTCGGGACAGTCGCCAGCCCTTCTCCTTTTCCTCGAAGACGGGTGGACTGGATAGCAAGCCTATGAGGCTGAACGGTGAGTCAAGTCCCAGCTCCTTGCTGTCGTTGTGCGGTGTATGTAGCAGCGAGGACTTGTCTTGATCCTGTGAAACTTGAGATTAGTATGATGGCAGAGATGACGCGAAATCCTGACGATGCTTACCTCTTCAATCACCTTGGAGATGAGAAGTTCGTTGAAGTATTGGCTTGAGGTGCCGTTCCTGATTAAAACCTCCTCCGAGGGGAGTTCCTGTGGTTCCCTGGGAGATTCATGAGGGCTTACCGGTAGGCTCACCGGTAAGCCTGCCGGCGCAGACACATGTGTATTTGCATATGCATTGGCCGACAGCGATCTTCGTGCCGGATTGTTTGCATGATCGATGGAAGCCGCTACGATGGTCTTCTCAAGGTCCGAGATCCTCGACGCGACATCAGCTATGGTAGCCTTGCGCACTCGACGAATGGGCTTGTCAGAGACCGGATATGTGCACGTGAGACGAGCCCTCACGCATGCCAAGCACGGCGTCTGCCTATCGCACCGGATCTTCCTCCGGTGGCACAGCACACACGACCTGTCCGGCTTCCGGCGCGGGTGCGGCGACGGCGGAGTGAGGCCTCGGTCCGTAGAGGCTGGAGGAGTGGTTAGAGGTAGAGGCGGTTCATCAACGCTACTTTGCCCGGGAGACATGTCTCTCTCATCAGACCAACTTCCCGGGAACTTGCTGCAGGTAACGAGATTTCGGATTCAGTGATCAAAAGAAACCCCGTCCGAAGCTGGGCGAGCCTGGGAGGATCAATGACTTTGTCTCATAGCTTTCGGTCTCGGCGCTTGAACAAGGACCGACACCGAGCCGTGGCGGTTTTGCCCCTTTCAGCTAGAGGGCGGAAGCGCCGGTGGTTTCTTAGTAATAGCTGCCGTGCATTTGTGAGCAGCTGAGCTTCGCAGGACGGCTGATCCCAGCTAGAGAACCCAGTATCGCTGATGGTAGTTGATTGCGACGAGGATGTAGGCTTGCAAGCTGGTTGAGAGGAAACCCGCAGCGTTCGAAAGAGGAGAATTTCGAGAAGAGATGGTCTTTCATCAAAGATTACTCAACCATAGGCAGCACTTTCAGTATGTAATAGCCTATCCGCACTGCACGCGCTCATCATACCTCGGATTTTGACGTTCTCCACCTCCGCTTATGCGGCACAGGTGAGCTTGTCAAGTGCTTCATCGCCTTGTTTGTTACTTCATCCGAGGCGTTTCCATTCGCTCTCTGTTTGGCGGAAGGGCGCGGCGTTTGTCAGTGAGTGATATTGATTGACCACTTGAAGGCAACTCATGTTCACGACCATCTTCATTGGTACTCAGACCCGCACAGTTGGTCACAGCTGATCACGGATGATACATTGAGAAGTTCGACCAAACTCTGTACAGGTGGGTGCCCAAATGCCTGTCAAGCATTGGCCTGAGAACTGCCAACACCAGCATGTAATTACCCGTTGCTTGTGGTGTTGGAAGAGTAAATTGCTCCCGAGATCCCAACGTGAGCTCAAGATCCTGAATTCTTCCATGAGTGGAACAGGGTTGGGTCCTCAATATCCATGTAGTCCGGCTCTACCGAACTTCCATTCTTGTTATCAGGGAGTCGGTTAACGGCATGTATCAACTGGCAACGAAGCGAGAGCGCGATAGCAAAATACCTCGGATCTTTCGAATGACTCAGGCTCAGAAAAAGACTTCTAACCTCATATAAAAGCGCCATTCTCATGAATACCACGAAGGAGTACAGTCGGGTGTTCCCGAAACCAATGCAGCATACATACATCATTATTGTTAGAGCCTTGATTGGGACAAGAGATACAATCTTAGGGATGGTGTCACTAGATCTTCGACGCGTCCAGTCGTAGGTTAGGGAGGCTTCTGACTGTCTTGTGTGTTTTCTGCGTAATTCCCCTGGACCGAGAGCCTGAATAGATCGAACACCCGTAGTTCTCCAAGCTTCTCAGCATGAAATTTTAGAACCGCAAGGCAGACTGAGTTCAGTCTTGCCTATAGTTACACTGCCCCTCAAGGTTATTCTGCTATACCAGTGCTCTCCTGCTCTCAGGCCAACGCTGGCAGAGGATTGCTTCATGCATATGAAGACAAAGATAAGGTAAATATAGGAGTCGCCATGCATACTTCCAACATGTACCATCAGGTATCACCCTAGTGTCTAGACCATACCTAGGTACCTTACATTGGCAGAAGGGCTAGGAATTGAAGTCACGACGAGGCCAGGTTGTTTGAATAGGGTTTCATTACGCTCTTAAGTCTAGTCCAGAACAAGATGAACCAGACGTTAGATAAGCATACCTAGTAGGTATGTAGATCCTCCTGGAATCTCTCAGCATCCCACATGGCGAGACAACCTTGAGATCCATTTCGGTTTCCAGATTCCTCATTGCAACCAAACTTAGCAGCCAACCGAATAGCCATGACCAGTGCCAAATCCACCCCAGCAGATGCCAGTTGGCGAGTTGCGCGGGATATACCAACTGTAGCCGCTGCTGCAGTCTCCGTTCCAGATAAAGAGGTCGCATGAGAGGTCATAGGCTTTGATGCTCTGGAAGCCGAATGCGAGAACAGAGTTGGTGAGAACACAGCCAGCACCTCCACTGCATTTGGTGAATTGGCTGCCAGATGCAGAGCAGCTTGTCTGTTCATAGAAAGTGCCGCTCCAACCACACGACTGCCTCTCCTCAAGAGAGGCATGCTCAGAGCCTGCGGTAGAGTTGGTACGTCGTGAGTCGAGGGCGAGCTCGTCGCCATCACAGGGGACGGGAATAGCAGGACGGGCGTCTTTGTTGTACTCGACGGCGAGGGCACTGCTGGCATAGCCTAGTGCAAGGATAATAGTCGACTTGAGTGAAACCATTTTGCTTGACGATGGTGAAGAAATATGTACAGAAGTCAATAATGTTTGAATGTAGTTGATACAATGGAATGCCAAATTGAGGTGTCTGAACTGTCTGTTTGGTTGTAATACCGGTGAATTGCTTGTTCTTTATATAAGTCCTTCAGCGAGGTCGAATGAGTCTCTGCCCAACTCGCGATCCACATCCAAGTCACAGAGCAGAGGACTCTGCTCAAAGTCGGCTTCAAGTGCCGAAAGTCGCATTCGAGCTGATAGCCTGTTGTGAATAACCCACCAATGAGGACTGTCAGGCTTACCTGTACACCGCTGTTGAACAAGAGGACTTTCCTATTATGTGTGATATATATTAAGGCAGATGATGGTAAGCATCCTCCGCAAGTATGTCAGACAATGGGACAAGATGTATGTCCCCGCTTAGGAAAATTTCGCCCGCTTCATCACATATCGTAAGATAAGTCGTTGCCACTACAGATGGCTGTCCCTATTCGCGTCGTGAAATCGCAGGTTGAGGTGGCAAGATGTTAAAGACGCTTCTGATATTGTCAATTCGTTGTGATAGAATCGCCATCAATTGTACGCCCCTGTACGATGGAAACCATAGCGAATTTCACATCGCAAGCTAGGAAGCGTCATAGCAACGGTCGTTAATCAGTGATTTGGTGTGATCTTTCGCTGCTTGATACGAGATGGGGCGAATGAGCCAACGATGTGAAGACCTCCAGCCTTCAGCTACTTGACTTCGACGAAAGCCGACATATGCCCGCCGTTTATATCCGCTAGCTATCGTAACACCATCGAGGACTCTGATTGATGCGTCGCGATCTTAAGCTATAACCTCCGAGGCAGTTCATCTGCCGGCCGGCCGTGAGCGATGTTCCGTCCGCCAGTTCTCTATGTCGGGTGGCGGCAGTTATTCAGTGGTGGAACAAGGTACAAAAAAAGTATTCCCCAGTTTGAACGAGTCGCCAACGGCTGAGACTTTTACATTCCACATAAGATCCCTGTGCTCACATCACATATTATCTAGCATTAATATAAGAAGATTAAGAGGTATTAGTTGTAGCTGCCCATTCATGCCGATTTCGCCCTGCGCCCATCCTTCTAGAATGTGAAATTGACCGGATTATCGTCGAAAAACTGTCCCAGTTCGGGAAAATTCATGAAAGGCAAGTCAGTAGCCAGATTAAGGATAGTTCCGGGCATGTCGAAACCACGCCTTGAGTGCGGCATATCCGGCGATGCAACGGCAGCGCCAGCAGCTGATGATGTTTGGGGAAAAGAATGAGACGGCGACGCCATTGTCTGATTCCCGCCCAGAGAATAACCCATGATCCTGCGTTGTTGCAGGTCTCTCTCAGCCCCATCACGGCCGGACAATACAGAAACCGCCAATGGCTGCTCAGATGCCCTTACCATGTCCATATTTGTCCTGGAGGCATTGCCATGGCCTTGATCGGCTTCGAGTCGTGCAAACGCCATAGACCGATCCGGGCTGAACGCGGTTTGCGGTAGCGACGTGGTTCCATCAAGGCTTGACGACATATGCGATGTTGCTCTACTACCTCGAGCTCGAAAGCTATCCATAGCCTCGTGGATGTTGCGTAATCGTTCCAAGAGGCGTTGCGAGACGGGTGATGTCAATGATAGGCGCTGTATCAGCTCTACGGCATCGAATGCATCTTGGAGGCACGAGGCTCGATTGGCATCGTCGTTGATACTGCCCAGAACGAGAAGCATCGAAGATAAGGCGGATTCAAGAAAATGGTTATAAGTCTTGTGCTGCGCGTGATAGATATCGGTCTCGTCGGCCAGCCGGACCAAGGTGCGGATCGTATCATGAGACACTTCAGCCAGAACATTGGCTGTTGATGAGTCGAGGTTGTTTGATGCGAGGCGATTTGCCGATGTCCTGTGTATGATGATTCTCATCTGGTTGGCCCTCAGGTACAGAAGCAGGCGGATTCTGTACTCTCCCCGGTCAACCCTCGTCGGCTCATATTTTGTGGAAGGGTCATATTGAAGATTGGCTGGCAAATTGCGCTTCCATTGCACAATGCGAAAATCGAGGAAATCGCGCGTCATATCGGACGCGGAGCCAGATATTGGTTCCAACAGCCATTTTCTCACATCAGAAGAGATTCGACAATAGGAGACCATGCTGATGACATAGGATGTTGAAGGTGAGTCATTCTATTGCACGAGTTGTTCAGTGGAACTGAGGCTGTAGTTGTGATGGACAGAATGCTCGTCACTCACCTCCAGCATGGGATGTCGGTCTATCTCAGTGTCGTGAACTGCAAACGGCAAATCTGTGCCAAAACTCCAGCGCCGATCGAGTGTGTATACACACCAGTATACTTTTTCGCCCGATGCTGCAATTTGGCTTCCCTCGTGAAGACTCAGGTCCCCCGAGTTTCGGGAGCTATTTTCCTGCAGAAGCCGAAGAACATTGCCAATTGCTCTCCAAGCTAAGACTTCCCGGTCACTGTGGAAGAAGAAGATGGCCTGATTCAAATAATAGCGAACAATTAGATGGGCAAAATGAGATACTCTCCCGGAAGGACAATATACTTACAGCAAGAATCAGCAGGCATAAATCAGCAGCATTGATGGTGCTTTGGAGTTGTGTTTTTGCTACTGTTGCTGCATATGTTTCTTCAACCCAGGGATTTGCTATGCCAATCGCTCGTGCATCGGCGAAAATGGAAATGATGGCCAATATATGGATGGCAATATTCTCGATCTGACTGCGGCTCACTTGACTGGTAGACGGTGACCGTGAAGATTGATGTTGATCATCTCGTGCATTCCTCGAATCAACTTCTGTGACCTGGCGCTTGACCTCTTCGAGATTGAGAAAGGGATATTGAACGCCAATCTCCTCTTCATAAAACGCGATGATGTTGATCCAGCGATCGTTGTCAATGAAAGCCAACACATTCCCAGAAGATTTGCTTGCCCGATGCAGGAGGAGCTGTTCAAGGAGATACGTGACAGGAACACCATTATAAGGGTTTTGGGGCTTGGCCTTCTGGGTAGATGGGGGCCTTGCTGCGGTTAGAAGCTTCTCGGCCAGCTGAAGGTAGTAGTCCGAGCTGAGCAGTCCATTGGCCTTTGACGGGGCTGAAGGCGTTGTTGTAGTGGCAGCCGCTGAATGGGATTGCCCTGGATGGGAGTCTGTGGAAGACGCAGCTTGCTGATTCACGGTATTCGTAGAGGAAGCTTGGCTCTCCGTAGGATTCCTATCGCGGGTAAGATACCTGACGACCGAGGTGATGGAGGTGAGCCTTACACTACACGATTACGGGTTCGGAAGCGTGTCGTACGATCATAGAGACAGGCATGGTTGCTCTCTCTGCAGGCTTTGCAGGGCCTCTCTCCGCTGCATTTTGTCTTGCGCCGTTGGCATTCATCACTGAGAAAGTGTCACTAACGGGTCGAACGCCTCGGTGACTACGAGGACAGTCGAAGCTTACCAAGCAACGCGCGTGTATGAGTGTCGCCTCTTCCGCGTGGACGGCGCCTGGGACGATGGTTTAGAAGCTGTTGTCGCCACGCCTCCGGCCAATGTGTCATCCATCTCGACGGAGGGGGGAAGGGCGTGGCAGAGCGAGGAGAGCACTGCAGTTTAGTCAGGTTCTAGATGTCTCCTGCGGCGATTCGCTTGCGGGTCCCACGAGCGCGTCTTTTGCTGGATGTGGACAAAGCTGCCGCAATAAACGTCAAACGAGGGCCTGGTCATTTGAGAATGTCGTAATGATTGACCCAGGATATCTTGGCATCGCGCTGCGGCTGATGAAGACCATGGCAAGCATTGTCCAGAGCCCAGAGGATGGACAATCTGTCGCTCATACCTTCAGAGAGACGGGCTCGGTAACCTGAACTCGCAGACAGCGCCGCTTCGATAATGAGACGGACAAATGATGTTCCGGCTTCGACGCGGATACCAAGGTAACTCCCGTCCACAGTGGTTTGTGATGTTCCGTCCGTACAGGTACTAAAAGGCACAAAGCGGAAAACGCCGCCCTCCTTCGGGCCAGAGACTACAATCCTAGACTTTCCTGTCAACCGTGGTCTGCGTACTCGATTTATCCCCATAACAGAACTAAGGATTTAGTACACTGGTAGACAATTGTCGACGGTTCTGTGATTCTTGGCAATACACAATGTGGACTATCAATCGGCTAATTCTGTTGGAAAGGACTAGCGGCCCTTGTCTCACCGGCTTGGACCTTGGAGGCGGCGGCTGCTATCACTGTATCATGCAGTTTGTATAGAGATGAGTATTTGATTACAGAGTACTACACATTGCTGTAGAGTAAGCAATAAGGAATAGTCAGAATTAAGCCTAAGCACGTTGAGACATTGGACTCTCCGGAACGAATCAGAAACTACCCTACAAAGCCTCGATTTCTCCTGCAATTGGTGATAACAAGGGTTCTACAGCCTGCGGCGCAGGTTTAAACGTTTGAATTGTTTTCTGTAGATCAGTCCAGTATTCTTCAGATCGATGCATTCAGTACTCTTGGTCGGGTAAAGGCGCTCATAGACAAGATTGGCACCTCTACAATTGCCTTCAGTCAGATGAATTCTGCACATCGAGATAAAGATAATAGATAAACAATAAGGTGAGAGTACATTCTAACTACCCCTTGGGCTGACAACAAGTTTTGCCCTTCACAGTTCGCTCTCTTCATCCACCATCGAGCTCAGGAATCTACTCCTCAGGTGCAGGGAGAGGCTTGTCTAATCCAAGGCGCTGCAACGAGCTTGGGAAGTTCTTGGGGTCAACATTGTCGGCATCCACGAGGAACGTCTTGGGCGTCTTGTCGACCAAAAGGCGGATCAGATCGGGTCGCATGTAGTGCCCACCCTGTTTACGCAGTTTGTCTGTTAGTGCAAAGCTCATCACTCTCGCAAGGGGTAGAATACATACAAAGTCAGCCAGACGCTTGGTCAAAAGGTTCTCATCGAGGTCGATATCGACAATGAAGATGCCCTCAAAGTCCTTGGGCGGGTCCTGAACGGCGCGGAAACCATCTGGGCGGTAGATGCGTGCAAAGCCGTTCCCGATCACGGCAGCTTCCGCATCAACAGCGGCTTCATCGTTCCGTAGTCTCGGGGGTAGGTTGGCTCGGGCACCCTCTCGAGTGACGACTTGGCTGGGAGCGAGCGTCCAAGTGCCCGTCTCATACGCGTACGCGGGAGTAACGAGCTCAGACTGCACTTCGGATATGTTGGTGTAAGGGTCGGGGTACTGCAGAGTTGATGCGGGAGGGTAGACGGGCCAAGCGGCAACGTGGACCTGCTCGTATTGAGCGCAAGCGTTCGCCTTGAGGAAGGGGTTCATCTGAGACCGGTCAATGGATGAGATCAACAGGATAGAATCTTAGCGGCGACTTACGTTCTCCCAGCAGTTGAGATGGCCAAGGTTACCAATCTCGGTTTCGACCACACTGACCAAAGAGTCGCCAGTTCCCTCACCAAACACAAGCTTCTCCACGTGAGTGGGCTTGATCTTTCGGCGGTGGTTGATAACATCGCCATTAGGGTCAATGATAATCTGGGCAATGTACATGCTATTGCCCTCAATCTCAGAGTAGCCTAGAGACACATAGATCTGAGCCTTGCGGGCAGCGGAGCGAATGCGGCGCATCTCATCAGAGTCGGGACGCAGACTGTTCTTGTGGTACTCTTTGAGCAGAGGCAACGAGTCTTGGTAGTTGACACGCCATCCCCAGTAGGTGTATCTATCGTCACAGTCAGCTCCGAATCAGTCATTGCCATGACCGTCAGTTTCTGCGTCTCCTACCCAGGAATCCCTAGAACAAATCATCAGCCATGTTCCCTCGGCTTCCAATTCCGCCTTTGAAACTTACAAAGCTCTGGGAATGCAATCAACTTGCATCCCTTCTCGCCAGCTTCGGTGATGAGATTGATCGTCTTTTGGACAGACTTTTCCAAGTCGAACCAGCCTGGCTCGGCTTGAACACAAGCAGCCTTGTACTGACGAATAGTGGCAACCATGTTGGCGTTGGTTCGTTGGTTCTTTTGGAAGAATATCTACCGTATCAAATTGATGACTGAGTTGTTGTTGATGTGAGGCCACTCAAATTGGCCAGTGCTTGGGAGGAGTCGTGATATTTATATTGTGTTAGAGCCACGCTGAGTGCTCAGTCTCTTCAGCTGGCGCAATGACTGCTCCATTCTTTGGTCTACACCGTCGTGAATTACCATCCCCAGAACGTCGTGAAGTTGCAATGAGGATGCCGCATACGCCGCTCGCGTCCTCGGCCATCGGAATCTCGGTGATCTCGTCAATATGGTGGTGTTGACGGTGTTGAGCACATGAATCTTTGCGGAGAAAAAGCTCACATCGAACCATTGGTGGCACCCAGGCCCGTCCTGTCCCGCGTAACACCGGTATAGGCTGGCCTTGCTCAGAGATTCAACAATCACACGTTTTTCATGCAGTGCTCCCCCGGGAATGCCTGCTGACAGAAGCGATTGTCGTTGGACCCTGCAATGTCTCCAGAATGCTTGCGACATTGATACCCTCAAAATGGCATCAACGGCCGCATACGCCGCAGTTGCCGCACATGTAGAGGTAGGCACGTACAGCGGGGCAACACGGTGAAGGACACGGCGACTTGCAGAACTCTTGAGATAAACACAGATAACGAAGATCAACATCTTTGGTGATAGCAGTTGAAGTTGCTGGCCCTCAGCTATAGATGCAACTGGATTGAGAGGTAGAAACAATACACCGGGTAAATACACTCCTCTCACTAAGACGGGGGTGGTGCAGACTGTAAACTTCGAAGCGCCAACAGGTTGGAGGGGTCAAGGATGACAAGCCGGTATCCAAGATCCACAAGTAAGCCCATCAATCGGAAAGCTTTCGGAAGGATGTGAATCAACCCAAAGGTTTCCTAGATAGTCGATATACATAACGTACGCACACGAGACCAAAAAAAGGCCAGCGGAGTGGATCACAACAGCAGGTGTTTGGGCCCCTAAGAACGAAGAGGTTGACATCGAGATCAACCTGTAAACACAGAGAGAAGCAGAGATACTCAAGGCGACGGAGGAATGAAATAGCTGGCTCTCTAATGTTTCTTCCTTGTCGTCTCTCTGGCATTGTCGTCTATAGCTCCATGATACAACTGCCGGAGAACACCTTATTGTGCAGGTGTTGTCGCTTTGCTGTTCCATCGGGGACCCGCTTGTTTCTATGCCATATTGTACAATCCACATCCGAAAAGGCCCGCCATGATGTACTTCGGAAAGAGGAGATCCGGCCTCTGCGGGTCGCCAACAACCTTAGTCGGGCGTTGAAGACACAGGGGGTGATGGATGTTGACACGACATTTATGTCTTGCACAAACCACACTTACGGCTCCCTACAGCACGAAAGTCTCCCCAATAACCAGTGTTATTGTTGCAACAAACATCCTCGCATGCTGTCTTAGATATTTTACAATATCCCAAGCCCCTTCCGGCGAAGTTTCATGGGCCATCCCTCATTGCCGAGTATGGGCTCTTTCCGTCAACACCCCCAAAAAAGGGTCCGTTGTACATTGTACGTAATGGTACGGCAGATCTGAGATATCTCATGGGAAGCATCGCCGCCACTCGTGGAATTGAGTCGGCAATATCGGGAACTGGCGGCGAGAGGCTCGCTATCATCCGAGCAATTGTCGCGTAGAACGGCCCCTCTGGGATGGGCATGACTTGGGTCGTTGGGAAATTGATCTGTGGTGCTGCTCGACAATGCCGCTTGTCTATCAGCTTCACATACCTACCTACCCAGTCAAGATGACAAGTGCTGTGGAGAAATTTACAGCGGCGGCTGGAAGAACTGTTTTCACCTCATCAGTTTCCGGTAGTCTTCGGAACTGTCGAAGAGAGAAACCCGGAGTCTAACATCAATTGGGCTCGATTCCAATTCGCTTGGAGCTCGTCGTATTCATCATGAGGACACATCGAAATTCCTGTTCAAACCTACCTAGTCGGGTATGTCTCGAAAGAAGTGTTGAAAACACATGTGGAGGAAAAGCTTGATAGTGGTTAGATTTGAGTCCGCGACATACAGCTAAAAAACACAGAGTGCGTCCCCGAAGGATGATATATCTGGAAAATGTCAAACTTTACTGCACATAGAGTAGAGGGGAGAAAGCTTTGTGCTGGTATCCAAACCCAAACGCCTTCAGATCACCATCCTGATCCTTCGAATCACCATCCTGATACCTCAACGTTTCCCGGAAATCCTTCCCAAAAGCCCTGGGTTGCGTCGGCAAATGACGCTTGCATCGCCGAGTCAATGTCGAAATGCGTGTCGAAAAGATCATAGTCAGCAGGCGGTACCACGCCGAATTCGTGTGATATGAGCTCCGACTCGTTTGGGCTGATCTCACTGGCAGCTAGCTCATTAGAGTTCATCTCAGTTGTATTCATTGCACTCGAGCCCAAGGCATTCGTATTCAGCTCGTTCATGTGAAGCTCCTCCGTTCTGGTATTCTCCTGTTCAGATACAACCTGTCCGACGTGTAAGCCATGGCCCAGAGCGGAAGCCTCATGAGTTGAAAGCACGACCTACCATGGCATCTTCTTCGCTGCCACTATCGGCTGGTTGAACTGGAGATGGTTGCAGCGCACCGTAGTCGATGATGGCGTTTCGCATCTCCCGACGAGCACTCGGACTCATGGCCTGATTACCTTTGGCCTTGACATTGCTATAGAATATATGCATCGCCTTGATGGTTTCTCGCTGCGAAGGAGAAGAGGAAGTCAGTGATGATACGTTGTAGTGGCTGGGAGACAATCGGTGAAGCGCGACGTACCCATGTATCAGCCATTGGCCAGGCCTGTCTCATGTCCTTGAGGAAGACACACCCATCAATGATGCGCTGCCTCCAGCTTTCAATCTGCGGATCACCCTCGCTTACATGAGGGAAATGCCAGAAATACAGCAACGTTCCAATCGCTGTGTAGATGGTAAACCCTATCCAGGGAACCAAGCCGCGTAGGAAAAAGAAGCCAAACCCGCGGATGTCCTGGAGCATTTCGCACACCTGGTCGGCAACTTTTGCAAGCTCTCTACAAGAAAACTCAGTCCACTGCTTCCTGTCGCCGTTTTCGTGCTCTGTTTCCTCGTGCATTTCCAATTCAGGCAGATATGATCGATAGAGGAATATGACCGACATGAAATAGATGCAATGCATATAGCAGTACGCCTGTCCCTGGTTTTGGACACTGTGGGCGTGCAGTAGAGACAGGTCATAGCGCAGGCGAGGAGGCAGTGAGTCTCTCCAGGCGTTCAGCCGTACTAACAAGCGCTGGAGCTCCGACTCTGCTTGCCAGGGAGGCGTGTTATTCGGGTGCGAAGAGCAAGACCATTTCGCAACGGCACCCCAAACATCAGCAACCCTCATGCTGTAGGCGACAATGCCCAGATTTCCACGCGGGAGTTTCACAGTGCCATCGGATCGGAAACCCTCGATGAAGGGACAGAGGACAGACTCGCCGAAGATGAAGTTGCTCGTATCGCAAGGCAGCTGTATCTGCATGCTGTCCGCGGAGAGCAGCCGCTCACGGCCCTTGCCGCCACTCAGAAGACTGTCCATCAGAAAGCAAGTCCAAGCGGTCCGCCGTCGTTCCTCTCCGTGTATAAAGTCTTGGGTGTCAGGAGACGTGACTGGCGCATCTTCGAATAAGCCCATGATCTGGGCCATCCTCACGGCCATTCCGAGGTACACCCATGCACGCCTGCCTTCCCCCGACCCCCATGAATGGCCCGTAAGCATGAGGAGGACCTGTATCCGCTGCAAGCTCGGTTCATCAATCGAAGGCAGGATCAGGGACCTTGTGTGCGCGGCAAAGTAGTTGCTTGTCTGGATCTGGCTGGAGAATCCCTCGGGAGGTTTCTGAGAGAACCGCACAGTAATGGCCAACATCGCCCAGGCAACAGACCGATCCAAGGTTTTGTTTCGTATTTGCGCAAAGAAAGTAGGCATATGATGAAATGACCACTTGTACGAACATCTCATGTAGCTCTCCTTGACCTCATCCGTCACGTATTCTAGAGGGTCTTTCTCCCATAGGTTGACCTTGGGCTGCTCGTCTGGGTCATCTGGAGCCTCGCCTTGAGGCCCGGCGGCGGCGGATAGGAGGGACGACACAGTGCTGGCATCGGTTGGCAGGGCAGATGATGCGGCACGTTGCTGACGCTCAAGCCGTGAGCGTCGGAATATGAAGGAGGTGCCTTTTGGAGGGAAAATGCATTCATCGCCTCGCTCCTTACAGCGAATACACGGCGGCCCACCTGAATGAATGCACTGACTGATTCAGCATGGTTCACTAAGGCAGCATCACTGTTGACTCACTCGTCTCTTCGAGGTTCGACATGCGCCGCAAGCAATTGATTTCTTCATCACCGCGGTCGTGAGAAGCTCATTTTCCTGAGCGCGCTTTTGTGCTGCGGTATGTTGATGGATATCGACAGAAACAAGAACGGTGAGAGTATGCGCAATATGTAATCTATTGCACTACGCAGCTGTCGAGACGGTATGAAGCGCTTGTCATTTGAATGATGAAAGCGTCCATGAGTCGTCCTCCAGCTCGGCTTCATTTTGGCGTTGTACTCTGCTTTGGTGAGTTCCTAATTTTTGGGAGGGAGGCGATTACATAATGGTGACAGCGACTGCAAAAAGCGGGAAACTTGTTGCCTGAGGCATTAAGGATTCGGTATGTTGCAACAGCCCCTCGTACGATCTCTCAGGCGAGAGGAGTAATCGCTTCGTGCCTCTTCCTCTTGGTCTGCCTTTCGTCTAGCCCATCATCAGTATGATCAAACCATTCAGACACGATATTCCAAAGTACAAATGTATGCATTTCTGCGACGGGATATCTGTTCTACAAGCATATACCAAGCGTTGGCCTGAGTCACAGCGATGATGTGCAACGACATACGAATCTCGATCGTCGGAAGTTCGAGAAAGCCGGCGGCGGGGAAGCAGCTCACTCACTCTACGATTGTAATCATTGCGAGAAAGGGTGAGGTATCAAGTTGCACTTTATTGAGCTAACATATGAAGAAGCATGATGAAGATTGTCGAGAAAAATCCGAAATGCCAGAAAGTTCCACCTTGGATATAATATTCGCACCTCTATGGCCCATTGACAAAACCCAACCATGACCCCAGCTCCCCCCAAAGACCCAAATCGCATTACACATTATCGTTTAGTTGATATCCACTCCCGTCGACTCTACTTAGAACTCGTCGTTGACATTAATGATGGCAGGGGCAGCCAGCGTGGCAGCAGGGACGGCATCAGGATTGGTAAAGTTACCGCCATCAGTCAAGGAAGCGATGGACAGGCCGAACATGATGTTGTCGTCAAAGGGGAAGAAGGCCTTGAATGTGACCTTGCCGCCGTTCCACTTGAAGTCTTTGACGGGAACGCTAAACGGAACCAGCTGGCCGCTGAAGTAGGTGATGAAGAGACCCTCGCCATTGCCGTTGCTGAACTTGGCAGCGTTCTTGACTGAGCTTAGGTCGGCGCTGTAGTTGAGCCACTGGTCCTCGGGACGGATGTTAAGGGCAGCACTACCGCCCTCGACGCTGAGCTGAGTGAAGATGGGTACACCCAGAGCGTTGACATCAAAGGGGCATGAGCCGGGGACAATGAAGTTGTTGTTGAGGAAGGAAAATGCAAACGGGCCGACATTGGTCGTCAGGAATGGCTTCTCAGAGGGGACGGCGCCGAGGAGAGTCCGGTAAAAGCCGTTCTGCTCACCCTCCTGACCAATGACTGATGCTACGCCGCGTACAATGCCTGCATCTCCAGCAGCGGCGGCAGCCTGGCTCACGTCTTGAAGTGTGCCCATGACGACGGCTGTGAAGGCCTCCGCCACGGCAATGGCGTCATGGATGTTGGTGACCGGGAAGCGGTACTTGCAAGGCAGAGGAGCAAGCTTCTTGAACTTGTTCAAGGCGTTGAGTGCATTGAGGGCGTGGAGCTCTTCTTGCTAAAGTGAGTGAGACCAGATGTTAGTCCATGTTCCTGGCCAAACCAGAGAGAGGCACTGTCACTTGGAACTTACAGCAATGATGACTTTGAGAATCTTCTCTAACTCGGCCTTTCCATAACCCTTCCACGATTCATAGCCGGGGACGCCCAACGTAACGTTGGCAAGGAGGGACTGGAAGTAAGCAGTCTCGAATTCTTCGTTGAAGGCGATTACTTGGAGTGACTGCAGGGTGCTGTCGGCAAGCGTGGCTGGCGGAGGAGCGTTTGAGAGAGAGCCATCAGCTCTCTCCGAGATGGCCCTCAGCTGCTCAGCATTGGGTGTGGGGAAGCCATCAGCAGCGGAAGCTGTGGTTGTGCAGTCCTTGCTGTTGGGGGGCCAGGTCGCGGCAGAAGAGCCGGCCAGAGCCAGGGCAGAGGCGAGAACCTTGGCAAGCTTGGCCATTGTTTCTGAGACGACTTTGTGTGTAAGAGAGAGACAGAAGGAGCTGTATGATGCGTAGGTATAAAGGTCAAACACGGGTGGTGGTATCGATCTACAGCTGCTAGTACGATACTGACTGCTGAAATTGTTGTTGTGGTGAGAGTGATGATGGCGGTGATGAGATTCTGGAATAGGATGAATGATGAGATGGTTATATACATGCTTCCATTTGGCCCATCAACACGCAGTTTCTTCTAGGCTCTCGTTAGAATTCTCCATCATCATAACCCAACTGGCGGACCACTCTGCTTCCGGATAGCTTGTGGCTTCTTCCCCCCCAAAGCCTCTCTAAGCCATCAACCTAGTGCTCCCATTTTAGACTACCTGATCCCGGAAGCTAGGATTGCCGATAGTAGGCTGGCAGCAGTCAAGGGTCCGGATGCGTTGGTAAGCGGATGACTACTGGCTGCTGACTGCCGACTGCCGTGCTATTTTTGGTGGTCTTAGAGGCTTTTGTGGGTGTTTTCTGCTGCTTCCTGTCCTAGGTAAACTGTTGGCTACCTACCATTAATAAATGCCCTGCTCTACCTATGGACGTGCAGAGCCGTGCACCGGCCCAGATCGAGCCGAGAAGCGCGCGTTTTTGGCGCCTGGTTCACAGGATGGCCTGGCGCAGCTCAGATGGATTCTGTTTCCAAAATAAACAAACCAGCAAACATGTTTCTACCACAGGCTGACAGCTGCCAGCAAAAGCAGACTTCCCGCCTTTTGCGCATAGCGTGGGCCGAGTGAAAGCTCGCTCGCTTGCTGCAGGGCTCATTCGTCACTCAGTATGTAGGAGGCTAAACTTCCTCTTGAATCCTTCATGTATGTAAGTACCCAACATCAATGGTTTGGGCGGCAAAAGTTAGAATCGTCAGGTAGGTATGGATGGGATGACGATGATGTACTTTGCTTCACGGTCCGTCCGGGCTGTTGTACATATGTCTCGCCAGTAACAGGTTGTCTCAGCAGTTGCTCACTTTCACCTGGGATGAAGTCTGCTTTGTACCAAAGACAGCCACCTCGACACGAATACACTATCTTTGAAGCTTGTATTCTCGGTGTTCTTTGATGCTTGTGTTCATGGCTGTGGCTTTCTGCACGCCGTTCTCGTAGGTGGCTCACGCGCTTTTTTCTGTCTGCAAAAGGTCGATCAGGCTTCCACTGTCTCTGATATTCTCCATAGCTCATGGAGAATAGGTACTGAAGAACAATGCAGGTAACATGTACTCCGAACAACCCACCCAGAGATGCAATTCCTGGAGTTCGGATGACTGAATCCGCTTCGACGCTGAGAAAATCCCTTTTACCCACGCATCAATGTTAATCATTAATGAGCCATTGCGACATCATGCAAAAACCAGCTCGGAATGCTCTGCTTCCGTCACAAGTAAGGACCCCATGCGCTTAAGCTTTGCGTGGCGCAGTTGAGCGGTTGAAATGGGAAACTTCCCGACCCTCCCCCATGATTTCTCACAGACTTCCGAAGACGGACTTCAATCAGGCTAATCTTGCCCTATCGCTTCCTCAGCATTTGGACAATACTCAATTCATGTCGTTTCGACCTAGGAACTTTGAATCCTTCTTCTTCCCACCACTTTCCAGGCATGCAGTCTGCAAAGTACATGCAATTGCTCGTCCACGGCACCAACCCAACGAGGCCACATCAGACGGCATGCCAACGCATATTACACTTCACATGTCATCGGCGCAAGAGACGATCACCTACTCGTACATTGAGAAGCCACCAATCCCAACCATTCACGGCGAGAAATGGTCCGAACAAACGTGTTGCGGACGACCCTAGTTTCTTGAACATCGATGGCATCTCAGACTTTAGTAAGCCCATAGTCCGTAAGCCGCCACACTTCGGGTCGAATGCTCGACTGCTCTGAGTAAGGCCTTCCAATCTCATTATTTTTGACTAGCTCCTCCATGTGCTGCAGTTGAATGATTGTTCATTCGGCAAACCGGCTTTTGGCCTGGCCAAGTGTCGTCTCGGGATAGACAATTCTGGTGTGGGTTTAGGTAGGTAGGAACCTTATGGCTAGGTATCACGGATCAACGTGTGACGGATAGGCACCTGAGTAGGCACGATGCCGAGGTCAAGCAGCCTTGTCCAAGTCCCCTACCTACTGTACTGGTCACTCTTTCCCTACCAAAAGCCTCACACATTGTTGCCACCAGTTCCTAGACCCTGAAGTCGGCATGTGTACGCTATACACACAAGCAGAACCAACCCCAATAGTTGACTTGGCTAGTAACTGTTTATACAGCCGAGACGGGCCTCTGTTGTTGCAAGTTATCTTCTTTTTTCAAGGCGCTTCAACTCGGGTGAGATGAAGCTGGTCTTACTCAAGAGCTTTAGCGTAACGGTTGACCATTTTGATGTCATGGTTACGCCACAGAAATAGAAGACATACAGAGATTCTAGTTCTCTAGAAGAATATGCATTTGACGCAACTTCTTACCCCGCATCTCGGATATAAAACTGACGGCTCGTGGAACTTTATTCGGCGCCGTGGCTATCAGACGTCAACTGCTCATCGAAGACCTAAATCGCAGTATAACAACGTATCACCATGCCGTCAGCTTCTGAGAGAGCCAAAGCGAAGCTTGATGCGGTCTTGAACGATCCGGGACGCCATGATTGTTCTCGTAAGGCCATGAGCAAATCCATGGAATAGTTACCTAACGCTGTACATAGATCGGTCGAATCGCATAGCGACGACACGATATGCTGCGGGTTGTGGTGTAGTCAATGCGGTTCCGCGTCGTCCGAGCCAGAGCAGCATAGAAAGTGCAAGTGGTGGTGTCAGGAACAGGCTCAAACGAATACTCTCGCTGCCAGCCTACTGATCGAAAATGATTTCGGGAGGAAAAAGGTGCATAGTGATGCCCACGAGAAATCTCATGTGTAATTATCTGGGTTATTCATATGTGGAATCAAGAGTAATGTCTTGAAATTTGGCAGTAGATGGTTGCCAGTCATTTTCAAGATGGACATCGCTGTGAAGCGCAGTGCTGGGTACAATTGTCATGGCCTCCTCTGACATCTCCGTTGAAACAGTTCTCCATGGCAACCTTGTAGACTACGATATGTCAAAGCTCCTCAATGTCTTAGCAAGGTCGCCGCAATACGATGATGTTGTGCATGTTCGTTATGGACACCTAGCGATCGCTCCAGATTCTATTACTGGAGTAGCGAACAGTTGCTTCTAACACCCCTCTCGGCCATCCTTGAAGTGACTTGTGATGTACCTTACGGAACGAGGTTGAAGTAACCATGCTGCGTCTTTTACTTGATTGCCATCCGTCACTGCCTTTTATCTCCCAGACTTGGAGCAATTGACCAATGCCCAATTATTCATGGGTGGGCAAATGTCGCCACCTCAACGCATGTTCGGAAAATTGGGTCTGCTCTCCAGGGTACCAACAGCTCACCCAACTACTAGACTAAATCATAACCTGAAGTGAAGAATGCGGCGCCTTGCGCTCCATCAAGACATGTAGGGGAATATACCTCTTAGTGGATCTGCGTTGGATTGGCTGTCCTTTAGTCTATGTTTCTCAAACATAGTAGCTTGCTTCGCTGTGCAATCGAAACCGTCTTGCTGTCCGTTCGGAGTACTCTACGCAGAGTAAGCTGGAGCTGCTCACTTGTATGACACTCGGTCAGGAGCAGTCAAAGGCTGCATGAATACAGATCTAGGATGGCCACCACCGCGTTAGTATTTCGCCCCTACCATTCCTGACTGACCATTCGGAGCACGTATCAAGTAGACCGACACCGAATCTCTTCACAAATCATCATCAGATGGCCCGCTAAATATAACCCAATTAAGGAGGCGCATATCCATATTGCTGGGCCAATGTGTTTGGCGCCAGGGAATCCCAATTAAGCATCGACAATCGGAAACGAAGAGCAGGTAATGACAGTGACGATGGCATCAATACCGCATTGCGAGCGTAATTAGGTTGTCCATTACCATCAACATCTTCATTCTTAGTCACACTCTTGAGCCTTCATGTTGAGCAAAGAAGATCGAGTACTAGCAAATGGCCTGATCGATTCCCTCGCGGATCGGAATATTGATTAGCCCTGCCTTGGCGCCTTTCTGGCACGCTGAAAGCGGAGGCCTTGCGGGATACAGTCAGATTCCTCTTTTGCTGCTTCCAACTTCCGACTTTCTACCACCTTTGAGCAGCTCTTCGCCGAACGGACTGGGCGGATTGACAATGCCAAAGACGTGCTGCTCTGGGCGAGGTCATCAGACTTTGGCCTAGAAGATATGAAGGCCAAGCAAGGCTGCTGGACATGTAAACGTGGGTTCACTGTTCTCCAGCTGGCACGCTCTGGCGGCAGCAGCTCGGATGCCTCTGCTGACAGGTGCCGTAAAAGAGCGGAAAATAGGGTGCGACAGGGATCTGCCCGTGTGCCACAACTGCACCCGCACGGGTAGACAATGCCAGGGCTACGGACTTCGTCTGCTGTGGCCGGATCGCCATGATGGCCGGCGCAAGGACAGTGGTTTCGTGGTCTATGAGCCTCCAGAGAACCCGCTCGAGGCTTCCAAGAGCTACGGAGTGCACTTCCTCAACGTCAATCACAATGATGTCGCCTCTGCGCTGGACCCGACATCTTACAATGCCCTCATCACGAAAACTGTTGCCAAGCCTACACGGGCTCTCAATCTCTATCCGACAATGATCGGCCAAGATGCTCTGTTCATGTCCTACTGTAAGGGCTCAGTTAACCCCAGTCCCTCCATCTCTCTTCCCAAGATCCAGTAGTTAACCTGACCTGAAGACGAGCGCGTCATTGCTCCGATGATCTCGACCACTCAAGTCCAGAACGGCTTTCGGACAGATCTTGTCCAGATGGTGTTATCACGGGGAGACAGCGCAACAAAAGCGCTATGGAACTCAATGATGGCTGTGGCTGCCTTTCATCACAGTGGCTCTGCAGCAGCCCTCACGTACAAGACGAATGCCGTGCGCTACCTTTCCGCTTCCTTGACTCCCGGACATGAAACGAGCTCGGTCGACCTCAACCAAACGCAATTCGCCGCGTCCATGATGCTATGCATCTACAGTGTAAGTCACAAGGAGCGAAGTGCCACGGGGACGTATGCACTCGTATGCTCACGGACTCCAGGTCTTTGACGAGACCGACGGCCACTGGACCACACACCTCGACGGTGCCAAGTATATGCTGGAAGGGTTATACCCGGAATATCGAAGGCAGCTTAGAGCGGATTTCCTCTTCACCTGGTTTCTGTATCACGAAGTGTTGGCATGCTTCAGTCAGCCCCTCCGACAAGCCCACAACTGCATCGATGTTTTATTCCTGCTGGGGGCTTCCAATTGCGATGCTACTGTGGTGAGTCTGCGCAATTGCATCCCCTTGTCTCTGCCTACCTGGTATATGGCGTAATGCTCCGCTAACACGAGCGGTTGCCAGATACTTGGAGCACCGGGGTGTTCTCTGGAGACAATTGCAATCATCCATCGAATAAACAAATTCCGCATAGCCATCATACAGAAAGAAGTCGACCCACTGTCGCCCAAGCTGATCCAGCAGCGTTTCGAACTGGAGCACACTTTGCACAACCTTGTCCAGCGATTGGATCCAGAAGGCGAAGCTGGTGAAGTTCCAGCTAGGCGCACGCGCATTCTAGCCACCGCAGAGCTCTATCGCATAGGGACAATACTGTATCTGCTCCACGTCATCCCCTTGCCCGGAGACGAAGAGGCAAAGACAACTTATCTGGAGGAGTTCTTTGACATAGTGGACCGTCTGGGAGTTGCCACCAGCCCATGGCCCATTTTCATGGTTGCATGCGAATGTCAAACAGACGAACAGCGCATTAGGATTCTACGGATATTGGATCTCATGAATAACGTGAGAAACATTGGCAACATTCGGGTCATGCGCAAGCTTATTGAGACATGCTGGAAGCATTATGACCTTCAGGCTGATTCGACGTACACGCACCGCACGAAATGGTGGGAATTTATTCACTATGAGACGGCAGTTCCTTGGTTCATATGACAATCTCCGATTGGATAGTAGCTATTATTCTTCGCAGAAGCGCAAATGGATAACTTTATTATTTGCCCATGGTCGTGACGTGCTTAGCGACTGTTGGGTTGACAAGAAGGCTCAGCAGATCCGGTCGAGAAGAGTGGCCGGCAACATCAACGAATGTCTTGGCCTTGACGATGTCGCCGAGAGAAACATTGGCTTTGACGATTCCTTCTTCGCCAGCTCCGATCGGTTCGCACAGCGGCTTTCCGTCAGCACCGAAGATTTGAGAGAAACCACCACCGGGCTTAGCCAGACAAATATATCTTGATTAGTGACATGCCCTGCATACGCAAGATTGCTTTCGCGAGCTGACGTACCACTTTCGTGATTGGATTGCCAGCCAATATGCTATTCTTCTCCATGCCCTTGTCCGTCAGGATTTGCGAGGAGCAGATGACAAAAGTTGCGCCCTCAATCGCCATGTTCTGGCTGATGCGGCTGCTTGCCTCGGCCGTCTCATGGTAGAGCCATGCGATCTTCTCAGGTTCCGGCATGCCGAAGAAGGACGGCCAGCTGGAGACGTGGATCTGGACCCCTTGCGTGTATTCGCTGTACCTCAGCAAAGGAAGCAAATGCTCCCAGCAGTTGAGGCCGCCAACCTTGCCGAACGGCGAATCTACCACAGTCTTGAGGGACTCGGCTTGGCCTTCTCCCCAAATAGTGCGCTCTGCATGGGTGGGCTTGATCTTGCGGCGATTGTGGACAATCTCCCCATCGGGCGAGATGAAAGCTTGCGCAATGTAAATGCTAGATCCGTCGCGTTCGCTGTATCCGAGAACAACGAAGATTCCGACTTCCTTGACGGCGGTCAGGATCCGTTTCATCTGGTGCGAATCCCTGGTCATGGAATTCGCATGGTACTGGGGAACCCAGGTCGCTTGAATTATCGGCGCAGCGCACCACATCTGCCTGCGTTCCAGGAAACTCGCCATGTCAGCACATAGAAGTCTTCAGTAATCGGAGTTGCTCCACGACGGAATCAGGGGCTTTACCATGGGTAGCCGGGAATCCACACTTCAGGAAACCCGAGAACTTGAACACCATCTGCGGCTGCTTGCTCAATGAGCCGGATGGTCTTGTCAACACATCCATCGAGGTCATGCCACACTGGCTCGGCCTGGACGGCTCCAAGCCTGATTGTTTTCCCATTCAGGGGAGTGGTATCCATTGTGTCTGTGACTAATTGCTTCCAAATTCGACTGCAATTGATGTGTGTTGCAATGCCAGCCTGATGATGGACAGCATGCTTGGGATTCCCCCCCCTTTTATACACATATTCGACTCCTGTCAAGACATGTCGTGCTCGCATCCTGTTTCTTCCCAGATATCGCCATTGAAGATTCTCTCAGAATAAACTCTTGACATCTGGTCGAGAGCTGATTTCTAACAGTTTAGACCGAGTTTGACTCTTGGCCCGCCAATCGCCTTGGGTACCGCCATCGCAGACTGTTCCCTTTCCCAGCCCTTGCTCAGCTCCGTTTGACAGCCCGGGCCGAGATGCAACTCGGTAGTAGATCTTCGGGCAGTTAGCGATGCACTAGACCATATCGGAGCTCTCTCGACGCACTGATTTGATGGAAGCAAGAGTTTGCGAGCTATTGAGCGTGCGCTACGATGAGTCCATGTTCCCGTTTCCGATAATACCAGTAGTAGTAGTGGCGCCGTGAGCTTATCAATGAGCCGTGGCTCCCTTCAGGTTGGCTTTGCGCATGGCTCTGTATGCCCATTTCATATTGCCCTTCTACGAGGGCATACACCAACGGCAGTATGCGTGGGAATTGGTTGTGACGAGAATGACAAATGCGGAATACTCTTCTGCGAATTGTGAGACTTGAGTTCTTCTCTAGGCACGACGAAGCTCTGTAAACTATGTACATCTTTCATCAGAAACAAAGCTGTTGATGACGCCCTGAGGATTACGGGAGAAATTTGGTGGATTTGAGCACGTCAGTCCTGTGCCCTCCCCTCAGTCGTTGGCAGCCCTAATGTTGATATGATCTCGTGGCATTCTGTGTTGTGGTCAAGTTTTTTCTTTTTCTCTTCTTTTTTTTCTTTTATGTAAACAGATCGGTCGCTCTGGCTTTCCGCCAGCTACGCTTGGGCTGCTGCTCGTCATTGCGGGCGCGATCAGTTCCATGTTGTATCTCAAAACAGCTAAACAGCAAGTCTTGGGGGGGAACCATTCTATAGCAAAGGACAACATAACACTTGACGATCGATACCTACCTTCCTCCGCTTGGTACCTACAACAGTCACATAGGTAGGTACCTTAGCTCTACGGGGTAGGCAGTAGGTAGGTAGGTATATTACCGTCTATTTTATCTGCTGAGTCTACCCCGGTCGCATATCAGCTCGCAACTGGTGTTCCACTGGAACGCCTGATCAGGAATTCGCCTGCAAGGTTGAATATTTTCCACAGAGCTGACGTGAATCAAGACTGGCTTTTCGCTGCCCATGTCGTCTATTAATAGAGATTGATCAGAACCCTAGCGCAACCAGGGAGCATGATACAACGCCTTCCATCGTGGTCTTGCCATGATTAGTCCGGCTTTCGTATCCCGCTATCGCACCCCCAGCTGTGAATCTTTCATCTCGGCCACGTAGGAGTTCAGCCGCATATCTGTGCGGGGATGCTGCATCTGATAACCATTGCGACTCGCCGAATCATGTCAAGGCATGTACCGGACACATCTCAAGCCCCCGTCGGCGACGAGTTTATTATAAGCATGGACGGCGGGGGCGGCTCGCACCATTGGGGCTCCGGACTGACTCCCTTGCAGATCATGGCCAACAAACAAGCAGGAGAAGTCACACCGTGATGGAGGGTGGGATAAGGCAGCCAAGGAGGGTAGCCCAAGACTAAGGCATCCTTTTCTGCCATGTCATGCGCATAGTCTGCTCTAGACCTGAGGATCTCCAGGATCTTAACGCCGCTCCCCCCTTTAACTAAAGAACCTCCGAACGACGGATTGCATCGGCAGATTTAGTGGAAACGCAACCATCTCACTAGACCACATACACATTCGTCAATGCTTCTACTTGGATTCTCTACCACTGTGACATTGAACACGATACCTCGAGTCTATAATGCTAGCTCGGCTCTCTCAAGTTATCCGTGTTCTGGATGGTAGAGATCCTCTGTCCGCCGATAGAGAGGAGCAAGGTCTTCCGCCTGTCAGCGAAGAGGAGTGTCAAAACACCAACGGCGACGGAAGACGGATCACAATCATCGGTACAAATAACGATGCACTGGTTCCACCAAACGACAAGCTCCTCGCGTTTCGTTCCCTGACAGGCATAGACACTGTGCCTGCTCTGGCAAGCAACGGTCATGCGAGGCGGGTTGCCCCGAACATTGGCTTGTACTTCCGCGTCGTCCAAGCAGAGCAAAAGGCAGCCAAGAATTATCGCTTCTTTCACATCGCTATCAACTTCTGTCTTGGAGCGCAGATCATCATAGGCGCCGCGTTGACAGCAATCGGGGCAGCTGATGGCTCTCGTCATGCGATCACTGGGCTCGGTGCTATGAACACGATCATGGCGGGCATACTTACCTATCTCAAAGGATCTGGCCTTCCTGACAGGTTCAAGATCCAAGAGAATCAGTGGAGAGAGATCCGTGAGCACATTGAGCAACGAGAGCGAGAACTGTGCCTGGCAGACTGCACTCTTGACGCGCAGGAGGAGGTCTTTATCATTGAAGAGATGTACAACCAGGCCAAAGCTGAGCTAGATGCAAAGGGACATGGAATTCGATACTTTAATGGAGTGCATCATTCTCACCAAAAGACGCAAAATACGCCAATACGACCCATAGTTCAGAGGCCGTCCGTCAAGGTCGCTCAGTCAACAGATACGCTCGCTACGCCGCCGCCAGCAGCTGTGAGAGAAGGGGCAGGGTTGTCGGCCAAAATGCCGGTAAATGTCGTGCTCTGAGATGAAGTTAGGGAGTTCTCGAATAAGAATAACCACGTGCGCAGTCCTGGTCTACGGTCGGGGATGGTTTGCATTGGGAGACCGGCGGAGTTAGGTCCACTTCGTTAAGAAATCACTTTCTTGTCTGGGAATTGGAGTTCTCCGAGCACAATTGCAATGTCACGAGTGGTTGGGCATACCAGTAAAGTTATACATCAATTGACAGCAAGGAGGTTTCATGCCGTTTGGTGAAGATGACATTGCTCAATCTGCATAGGTAGGCACCAATAAGGGCGAAACTAACTGCTGGCCGCAATTTGAACCAACTTGCTGAGACTGACGACCTTCTCGCTGAAGGTGAGAATGCTGCTGGTTCCCATAATGTCCAGCATGGGCAGGTCAGCCTTCAGCGTCTTTCCCAGCCATGTCCTAAACTCTGTAGCAACCAATGAGTCCACACCATTCGAGCTAATCGACTTGCCGGGATCAATGTCATCAGCGGCCATTGAGAGGAGCTTGGAAAGCTTGAGCCGGATTCCGTTGGAGACGATGGCGACGGCTTCTTCGACCTTTGTTGCGGCCGCCAGTTGGACCGGGACGAGCAGGATGGGGTCATCCTCGACAGCTTCAGTCGCGGTGCTCGTTTCACTCTGGAGGTGGCGGAACATGGGAAGATACAGGTAGCTCGGTACGGGCATACGACGCTGCTTGTACATCCCAGCATTTGGCAATCCGGAAACAGTCTGGCTTGGTCCTGGGTATCGCCTATCAAGGTGATACTCGAGGATCAAGTGGATCTCGTCCTCACGGATGGACTCCAGAACCGAAGAGATGGTGGGAATCGTCTTGAGGCGAGTCTTGTTCTCGGCAACGTAACCAACTGAGAGGATGCTGCCCAAGTCAATACTCGTTGCTGGGAGGCCAAGTGAGCGCCGGTGTATGGCCAATGCGTCCTGGTACGTGTTGCCCGCCGCATAATTCGCCTGGCTACGGTTGCCCAGAATACCTGTCGCGGATGAAAGAAGAAGGAAAAAGCTCATGCTTGTGGGCAGCAGTTTGTGGAGATTCCACGAGCCCTGGAACTTGGGCCTCAATGCTGCTTGGAAGCTTTCATAAGACATGTTCTCAAACATCGAGTCCTGGACCATGCTGTTAGTAGTCTCATTTCCAAAAATAAGAGTAAAAATGTCTTCGTCCTCACCTTGAGAACCATTGAGCCTTGAACGCAGCCTTTGATCTCGGGCAACCTAGCCTTACAATCGTCTATAACCTTGGATAGTGCAGCCTCGTCGCTTACGTCGCAAGCGAAGACGTGAACGTTGCAATCAGCTGCTTCCAGCTCGTGTACCAGTTCCTGGGCAGAGTCGCTCGCCGCTCCTGATCGAGAAATGAAGATGAGATGCTTGGCTCCGCGGGACACCATCCATCGTGCAATGCTCCGCCCCAAGCCTCCAAGGCCGCCAGCAAGGACGTACGAGCCACTTTGGTCAAACTGCAATGGGGATGGCTTCTCAGGCATAATCGGAACGATGTCACTGGGGTTGGGCTTGAACACAGTCTTTCCCATACTCTTGCCGGACTGCAATGAGCGAAATGCCTCCTCAATCTGTGTGTAGTTCAAAACCCGAGTAGGCTTGGCAAGCTGAATCTTGCCTTCGGCGAATAGTCGAACAGCCTCAGCAATAAGTTGTCCGAGTTTTTTTGGCTTGTAGTGCATGATGGTCGTCAGATCAACACTTGCCATGACTGTCTGGCGTAAGAGAGGGCTGAGGTCAATTCTTCCGTTTGCCTGGGCGTCCTTCTTACCGATCTCGATGAATCGGCCAAACGGAGCGAGAACATCCCATGAAGCACGCAGCAAATCTCCTGAAAGCGAGTTCAGTACAACGTCAATGCCGCGGTTGTTCGTCATGCGCTTGATACCCTTGACAAAGGACAAATCTCGGCTTGAGAAGATGTGGTCCTTCTTCACGCCATATTCGTTAATGAGCAGATCTCGCTTCTCGGGAGTAGATACAGTGGCAAATATCTCTGCCCCCACGAGATTCGCCAGCTGAATTGCTGCTTGGCCTACACCTCCAGCAGCGGCATGAATGAGGACCGTCTCGCCCTCGGACAGGCGCGCAATGTCATAGAGTCCGTTGAGGACCGTGGAATACACGCAGGGGAGACTGGCAGCGTCTTCGAAGCTCACGGCATCCGGAAGCTTGACCACGGCATCCGCGCTTTGCCGTCCATAGGTCTTGAGACATCCGCCGTCAACAAGTCCGTTCATGTAGACGACTCTGTCACCGACTTGGACGTTGGTGACCTTGGAGCCAATACGGGTGACGTAGCCTGCCGCTTCGTTTCCAAGACAGGCCGCGACATGTTCACCCATGGCGATCAGCACATCTCGGAAGTTAAGGCCGACGGCTTGGACTTCCACTTCCACCTCGTTGTCGCCCATGGGGCGGGACCAGACCGGGTCTGTAGCGAAGTGGAGGGCGCTCAATGAGCCCGGAGAGGATGTATCCAGCATAACAGGCCGGCCAGCCTCGCCAAGTGGTATTTGCTTTGGGTCAGCTTCAGCAAAGTGGGAGTGGACAAAGCCGTTGACATTCTGAGCATCGACCAGACGATTGGTGAGCAACTCATGATCCTTCAGATAATATTCGGCGTTTTTGCTGCCGTCTTCGATATCATCAACGAACTGATGCTTGAACACGGACAGGATGGAGGCGATGAACATGTCATCGTCGGGCCGAGGCTCTGCTGCCGACAAAGTAATCAGATTGGGAGCGTCTAGATCCCGCTCCCAGCGAACAGTTCTGATGACACCAGTGATCATGTATTGTGCTGGATCTTTTTGGAAGTCTCCTGAAAGCCAGAGCACACCATCGCTAGTCGAGATGACATGATTGAGGTCGTTGTATTGCTGTTCCGTGAAGTCTGCGAGGAGAGGTCGCTCCAAATCAACGAGAGAGATGCAAATGTCATAGATCAGCTCTTCGCCCGACAAATCCGAAAGTGTCACAATTGAGCAGTTCTTGTATCCGAAGTCGTTGGTGATTCTGGATTGCAGAGCAGTTGCCAGGCTCTGTGTCGCCTTCGAGGAGATGATGTGCACCCTTCTGTTAGCATCTTGCACGCCAATGACCTCGTTATTTTCGGCAACCATGATACTCTGTCCCCGAATATCGGCAACTTCGCGATCTGTGAGTACCGTTGTGATGCCAGTGAATCCAGCTTGACGGAGTATAACATCCCACTCTCCCTCAGAGATGGACGGGCAGAACTTTCGGTTCTCCTCTACACTCAGCCACCAACCCTTCAGCTGACCAAATGATAGTGGAAGCCAGAGGAGATCTAGTCAAAAAAAAATTAGTACTTGACTCTATCCCGAAACGTTTCCTCGTAAACATACCTTGACGAATGCCCTCGTGCATCACCAGCTTGCCCCCTGGCTTCAACAGCGATCGAAGGTTGGCCAGGACTTTTTCAAGATCGGCGGTGGCATGGATAACGTTTCCAGCAAAAATGAAGTCATATGTGCCTTGCTCAAAGCCTTGCTCCGCAGCTTCGTTTTCGATGTTGAAGGTCTTGAACTCGAGCACGTTTCTCCATCTCTTGAACTTGTCCTTGGCCTTCTCAAAAAATGCCGACGACACATCGGTATAAGTATATCTGGCGATGGCCGAGTCATTCAAGAGCCTTGCTTCGTCGGCGGCTGATGGGCCCAGGGCTTCTAATACAGGAGCGGATAGTGAACCCGTTCCGGCACCAATTTCCATGATGTTGAGATTGATGTTGTTGTGGTGGACAATCTCTAGGTAAGCCTTCAAGAGAGCTGGCAGATTTCCAGACTCCACCATGTTTCTGTACAACTCATCGAGAATGTTGTCTTGACCGAACATCAGCTGCAGAGGGTCAATCTCTCTCCTCATCACCGCCGCTAGAGCCCTGCCCGTTCGAACAAGCAGCTGGCCGTCTGCATTGTACTCCTCGATCTGACTGAAGAGAGCCTCTCGCAGTGACTTACTTTCCATATATCGTTTCCATTCGGCAATGTCGAGATGGGGCAGCATGCCTTGATGTAGGTCATCTCGGACTTTGACGCACCACGCATAGTAATTCCTAAAGTGGCCTTCCAGCTTGCCGACGGGATAGTCCTTCAGGTCCTCCAAGGCAAGCATGACAAAAAGCACTGAGGCTAATTGTAGGCGCCTGACATTCTGTCGATATTCTTCATTCTCCCGATCCGAAGCAAGCTTTGCCTTGAGCTTGGGCTGCTTGACGAGGTTGAGGTCTGGCATCCACTCAATTGTGTGGCACAGCTTCTTCGCCTCGACGGAAGACACTTCTGATCCCAGAGATTTTCCCGACCATCCCCTGACGGCGATTCTCTCAGTCTTCGTGGCCTCATCCCAGATAGTGATGTCACTATGAAATTTCTGAAATCCCGTCAGCTTGGAGACTCCGAACCCTCGGAACTGGTGCCCGGGGCTGTTCTCAATGTCAGCAGAAATGCGGACATCCTTGATAAAAGTGGGCACCATGGGAGACTCCAAAGTAGTCTTATCTGTGACATCGAGTACGCCTATGATTCATCATTTGTGTTAATGCATTGAACAAAGTGTTTGTCAAGGGTAAAGAGGAAGCGTATACGTACCAGCAATAAAGAGGTGCATCATGCTATCCAACGTTGATGGATGAATCATGTGAGGATGGAGAAAGCTCTTGGGCATAACCTTGGCAACATCCGGCACTGTAATCACTGATGACACTTCACCTTGCCCCTTGTTCACCACGACTTCTGATAAGTTCTGGAACAAGGGCCCGAAATGCAAACCCACGGTGTCCAGGTTGTCATAGTTGATGCTTGTGGGCGTGGTGCAGCGTTTGACGCTGTCCTGAAGCAGCTTCTTTGACACAAGTGCCTCTGATGCGTCCTCGAGGCCATCGTCGATGGGGCCGGGGGTGACTTGATACTGGGTCTGGATATAACCCGTGCAGTGCTCGACCCAGTTGTCTGCCACCGTATTGTAGCTGGCCGCGGTCCACTTTCTCCAAACTTTGGACTTTTCAAGACTGGATTCGTCCATGCCAACCATGGAGAACTTGACCTCAATACCTTCTTTGTTGTCGGGAACAATGAGAGCACTTTTGATGGAGATGTCTTTGAGGTGGAATCCGAGAAGCTTCAAATCTGGTGAAGCGATCTGCCTGGAAGCCTCTATGGCCATGATGATGTATCCCACGCTGTGATCTTAATTAGCTCCCTACCACTGTACTGCACATTACTTTGTGGAAGACTTACCCTGGGTATACAATACTGCCTGTGACCTACAACCTATGAGCATTTCTCAATATAGGATGACGCAATAGTATACTTACAACGTGGTCTCTTAGCCAAGGCTGCTCAGAGATCCGAATAAAATTGCGCCAGACTGGCTCCTCGGGATTCCAATCAGGCACTGGAGCGCCAAACAGGTCGTGGCGCGGATACTTGCGGAATCGATAATTGCGGCTCAAGCGGCTTTCGTACCAAGTGGTCTGGCTATGGTTAAACACATAAGGCGGCAGATTGGCAATCATGGAGGGACGCTCGTCACTCGGGATCGGAAGCGTCCCCTGGTTCACAAGAGCGAGGTTGACGATACTCCCACGCGAGAACAGGTTACCGACGGTTCTCAGCAGAGTCTCGGTGCCAGGATTGTTACGATCCAGCACTGCATGATAACCGATGGCCTGGCTTTCGTTGAAGTGACTTGCAAAAGTTTCCTTGATTGCGCTCCGAAGTGCTGAGTGGGGGCCAACTTCGATAACTTCTTGTATCACACCGTTGCTGGTATTTACCCGCAGTGAGCTCTTGGGGCTTTCTAGAGACATCTTTAGAAGAGCATCGGTAAATCTCACCGGCGACACCAGGTTGTCGACCCAATACTGAGCGGTTATGGCACCCTCAACCCGAGCCCCTGTGACGCTGGAGTACATGTCCGCAGAAATGCCAGCGTCTGAGGATTCCATGTCGCCCAGCAGGCCCAAGTATTCGCCTGCGACGGCTCTCATATGTGATGAATGATACGCTGTCTTGACTTTGAGTTTCCTGGCGAAGATTCCCTTGTCATCCAGAATTCTTTTCAACTCGTCAATCTTGGCAGTATCTCCGGATATGGTGTGGTTCTTGGGGCTGTTGTAGCATGCTATCGTGAGTTCGCCAGGCAACCGAGCGTGCACCTTATCGAGATACTCCCTCAATCCCGAGGCCGTCAACCCAACCGCAAGCATTGACCCATCGGTTGAAACCTTGCTGGAGACGTGGCCACGGAAGTAGGCAACCTTCCAAGCCGTCTGTCTGCTGATCTTGCCAGCGCAATATGCTGCTGCGATTTCGCCTGACGAGTGGCCTACCACACGTGTTGGGCGTAGATTCCAGGAGGACAATAGATCGACAAGAGCAACCTGAATAGCGGTGCAAGAGGGATGAGCCAAGTGTGGCTTGTCAATCTGAGAACTCTCTTGATCTTTCAAGAGCTCATCTGTTACATGTCAGCTATCGAGCCCTACCAGCAAAAGAACAACTCTGCATTCTCGCCTAGCACATATTTAAACGTAGAGAAAGACTTACCATAAAGAGACCATGAGCTCCCCAGCTCTTGCATATACTTGGAGGCCGTTTCAAGACTTTCTTCAAAGGTAGGGAAGGCCAAAAGCTCCCTTCCCATGTCAAACCATTGTGCCCCTTGACCAGTAAAGACGAAAGCAATATTGGGAGCAGCTCTTGTCCTCACTGGTTTCGCAAGGGATGAGTCTGCCGCTAACGTCTCTGCAAGATCAGCTACACTGCTGGCAAGACAAAACGACCGCCATTGGAAAGCAGTTCGCTTTGCCGTTAGCGTGTATGCTAAATCTTGCAGGTAACTCTTTGTCCTGCTCGAAGCGTCAGAGAGCAGTTGATCATTCAGATACGTGGCGAGCGAGCGGGCGTTTCTCTGAACCCCCTGCTCATCAAAGGAGGTAATTGGAAAGAGGAGGGGAGTGCGGCCTGCCGTGGATACTCGATCATCACTAGTATCCCCCTTCGCCGCACCATTGACTGCTCCATTACCATTGGCACTCTGGCCATTGGCCTGGTTGATGCCATTGGTGGTGCTCCTGTTGGCATGAGCTGGGTAGGGCGCTGTTCTGTGGAATCCAACCAACTTGTGCTCTTCGAGGTAGTGTCGGGCGTCTTGCAACACCACATGGCCATTGGTACCGGAAAAGCCGAAAGAGTTGATGGAAACTTGTCGAAGGCCGGGCGAGGGCCACGGTGTCGGCTGCAAGGGCAGATGGAGCTGCCATTTGTCAATGGGAATTTTTGGATTCACCTTCTCAAAGTTGGTGTTGGGTGGAATCATAGCAGACTCCAGCACCATCACAGACTTGATGATACCGGCGAGGCCCGACGCGCCTTCTGTATGCCCAATAGCCGACTTAACAGCTCCCACAATCAATGGTGCCTCTCGGTCGACAGTATTGAAGGAGTTAGCGATTGCTCGCGCCTCAATCGGATCTCCGGCAGCAGTCCCCGTAGCATGAGCTTCGATATAAGCCGTTTGCGCCAAGTCTAAACCTCCGCGCATGTACACCTCGCGGATCATCTGCTCCTGGGCGGCTGCACTAGGCAGTGTAATACCAGGTGTTCTTCCGTCCTGGTTGAGGCCGGTTGCACGCACGACAGCCCGGATAGTGTCGCCATCTCGAAGCGCGGTAGACAGTCGCTTGACAAGGACTGTGGCAACGCCTTCTCCACGGGAGTATCCACTGGCGCGATGGTCAAAGCTGTAAGACTTTCCATCTCCTGCAAAGAAACCGTGGTGGTCCATGCCGAACCAGTCTGTGGGGTATGTGAATACGTTGACACCGCAAATAACCGTCATGTCAGACTCGTGATCCCGTAAGCTCTGGGCTCCCAGGTGGAACGCTACCATGCTGCTGGAGCAGGCAGTGTCCACCGTGAGGCTCGGGCCTTTGAAATCAAAGAACCAGCTGATGCGGCCGGAAAGAATGGAGTTGCTTGTTCCCATCGGCTTGTACTTGAGCTTGATCTCTGGGTCGCTATTGAGCAGCTGAAGGTAGTCATGGTTGAAGCCGCTGCTGAATACTGATGTGTTTGATCCTACTGCTCTGTCCATTGGAATGCCAGCTGTCAAAGATGTATCAGTCCTGGGTGATATGCTTGAAAGCCTAGGGCATATTCTCAACTTACCATTCTCTAGAGCATGATAGACATTCTCCATCAGCAGTCTTTGCTGCGGGTCGAGGGACAAGACCTCAGACTTGGGTATTGAGAAGAACTGGTTATCAAATTCAGCTGGATCAGCAGCCATGAAATGCGCTCCCTTCACATGAAACTATGCACTTGGTAAGCAACAATGGTTGAAGTAGGGAGCTCGAGCTTTGGCTCACTGTTCCGCCGTGCTCAACATCTGGATGGAAATGGCCGTCCATATTGAACCTGTTCTTGGGAACTCGTGTCATGGCGGATTTCCCGGTCATGAGCATCTTCCAGAAGTTCTCATTGTTGTCCCCTTCCTGGGGGAATTGGCATGCCATGCCAATGATGGCGAGCGGCTCCATTGTAGCCATCGTACCTTTGTGTCAAACGTTCGGATGAGAAGGGAACGAAGGTGTGTACAATGCCTTTGGCTACTGGTAACGGAAAGTCTCCAAGGTGATATATAGGCAAGAGGGCTGTATACCTATCCTACTACGACTGGTACAAGTAAAAGGCCGGGCTAATGGTCAACTTGAACGGCTTTGGCGATGAAAAGAGCAGACCCGGAGCCGGCCGTGTGCACTTAATTCCAGCAAGATCAGTAGTGTCTCCATACACTTACGAAGGGAACTACGACATCCTTAGAGAACCACGCTAGGTAGTCAGATATTGCCGCGTTGTAGGTGTATACTTTGGTGTCAGAGTTGGGAGCTAAGCCTGGTCATGTCCAATGTGCATATGACTGCTGGCGCTTTTGTGTTTCCCATTGGATCCCTCATGCGCCCCCAAAGTCTTGATTGTTGTACCAATCCTTGAATCGTCGGAGCAATCCCTTAGTTGTGAGATTGTCAGGTAACGTAACGAGAATACGAAGGAATAGAGGGTAACCTACGGTAGGTGTGGAGAGAATGCAAGTATGGGGTATGGGGTAACGCATTTGGTTCTTTCGGTCCGTTCCTTGCACGTCTAGAGCACCGCAGTAAGCTTACAGCTGGATTTTCAGGGGTATTGACCACCAATCACAATAGCCCAATTGATTGCCTTCGCCAGTTCCATGTTACGCCTGCACATGGCCTCAGGGCATGTCTTTCCGATCTTGAGTTAAACTGCTACTACACTGACTGAGGAGCGAGCGGCGATCTTGCAACTTACCGTTATCTCTGCATTGCTCATTCAGCGCCGTAACGGCTAAACAGTTCACCATGCTTCTCGCCCTTTTGCTACGCCACGCTGCACGACGTACATATGCTCGGGATGTTCGTGCATCGTTGTACATCGTCCACATGGATTCCTGCCGCCAGTGGGTTGCACCCGAAGCCGAATACGGGCTCCCGGCGCAAGGAACGATTTATACACACCAGTAGTGGGCTATCACGTTTGTAGATGGACGGAAGCCATGTCGGCACGCCGCAGTACTTGCTTAAATGGAAGCGACTCATCAACTCGCGTGTCCGAAATCTACCTGAGGCCTACTCAATAAGCCATACAGAAAGAACATCATGGTCTTCCTTCCGGTAGCAGTGGCCATAGCTCTCTTGACCTATGAAGGCTCTGCCACTTCCGATCCTTGGCTTCTGTCTACAAATCAGTTCCAGGGTAATCATTATCAGAACTCCCCCTATGTGGCGAACGGATACTTTGGTCAGCGGTTGCCAGCCGAAGGGGTCGGCTACTGGATATATCGAAATGAGTCTACGGGCGATTATCTTCTCAACTGTGAGTAACCTCTATTTCGTCTTATCTTTCCCCTCATTTCTCTGTGCAACCGTGCTGATAGCCTCGTGACAATGCAGCGTGGCCTCTGGATCAGCCAAGGGCCACATTTGGAACTATTTCTGGATTTTGGGACGTTCAGCAGAATATCACGCACGCCATTGTGCCGGATAACTTGAAACGTGGAGGTGAATCTGTGATCAGTGGGATTCCGGAATGGACAGGGCTTACAGTCACCACGGAAAGTGGCGACACATACAAGGCCGGCGTCGACGCTTCGACTGTTACGAATTTCCACCAGTCGTTGTCAGTACGAGATGGAATCGTCCAAACCAATGTAACATGGAGGCCCCCCAGCGAAAACATCACATATCAACTCAACTACACGGTCCTTGCCCACCGTGCCAGGCTCAACTTGGGCATCGTTCGTCTAGATCTCTCCGCCGACCAGGATACGAGGCTCAAAATCACCGACATCTTGGATGGAGCAGGAGCCGTACGGGCCGATTTCCACGAAAAGTGGCTGGAGCCAGAATCGACAATCTGCACGAGCGTCAAGCCGTCTGGGATCGACTATCTCACTGCATATGTGGTCTCCACGGTCAAGTTTGAGACTACCAGCAAGACTGGTCCGGATGACTTGAGGCGGGCTTGCGAGACTAGGAGGAATGGCAGGGGTCATCCCTGGGTCTCCACCAACAGTAGCACCATCTCGCAAGTCTGGGATTGGGGCCTGAGGCGGGGAGACGCCCTCACCATTTACAAGTTTGTGGGCATTGCATCCAATAGCTCACTGGAGGCTGCGAGAGATGCGTCGATCCTAGCAGGATCGACGGCATGGGACGACCTCATATCCGAGCATAGACAGAAATGGGATGCCATTTGGGATGAAGCCGAGATTGTGATTCCAGGGGACCAAGACCTGCAACGACGCGCACGCGCCTCGCTGTTCCACATTCTCACCAATCTACTTCCAGAGGACGCAGGACTTAATAACTCGATATCAGTCAGTGGCTTGTCGAGCGATTCCTACGCAGGATTGATATTCTGGGACGCGGACCTGTGGATATATCCTTCTATTCTGGCTTTGTACCCGCAGTTTGCCGCGGGTATCAACAATTACCGACAACGACTTTCAGACCAGGCCGTCAAGAATGCGCAGTACTACAACTTCTCTGGGGCTCTTTACCCATGGACAAGCGGCCGATTTGGCAACTGTACGGGAACTGGGGTGTGCAAAGGCTATCAGTACCACATCAACAGCGATATTGCTCTGGCCCATTGGCAGTACTACCAACAAACAAACGACTTGGGATGGCTTGCGGAGAAAGGATGGCCCGTAATCAAGAGGGCAGCCGATATGTTTGCCGCGTATGTGATCCGCAATGCTTCAACTGGGAAGTACGAGACTATCCAGCTGGGGGAACCGGTAAGCAAAACTCACAGTGAGTCCCTCATTGATTGATCTTGCTGATGAAAGGAATCGTTCAGGACGAATTTGCCTACAATATCAACAACGGCGCCTTCACCAACGCCGGGATCAAGCAGCTGCTTGGCAATTGGGCCCCTTCAGCCGCCGAGCGATTGCATATCGAAGTCCCGAAGAACTGGTCTCATATCGCACAGAACATGTACATCCCCTATAACGAGAAAGAAAAGGTCATCCTCGAATTTGACGGCATGGATGGAACGTGGATGACCAAGCAGGCGAGCACCGGCTTGATTCAATACCCGCTGCAGTTTCATTTTAGTGAGGAACAGGCGCGCAAAGACGTCGAATATGTATGTTTTTTTCCCAGTCAGTCCCTCGAATTGTTGGATCGCCGCTGATCAAAAGTCACGAGCCCAGTATTCTTCCGTCAACACAGCAGATGGCCCTGCGATGACCTGGTCGATATACGCAATCTCCGAAGCCCAGTTACAACAAAAGGGCTGTGCGGCTTATACTTATCTTCAACGTTCCTCAGAGCCGTACATACGCAAACCATTTTATCAATTTAGCGAGGCGCAGCTGGACAGTCAGCCACCAGGAGTTGAAAACCCGGCATTCATCTTTGGACTCAATCCAGCATTTCCGTTTCTCACGGGCGCGGGGGGGTTCTTGCAAGTTTTGACTCACGGACTTACTGGAATGCGCCCGAATTCAGAGGCGTTTTATCTCGATCCAATGTTGCCGCCGCAGCTGTCTGGCGGAATCGAAGTCAAAGGGATGAAATGGCAAAAAGCGAGTTTCGATGTGCTCATTGGAATGGGCAACACTACAATCACCCGACGACGAACGTGTTCAAGAGAGAAGAAACATGTGACCCTGGAGATACTGGGTGGAAATGCAGGAACAAAGGAATATCGGCTCGGCGAAGGCGAGTCTATTGTGGTTCCCACAAGGCGACCAGATATTAGTTTCAGTTCGCAAGACTTGGCTCTATGCCGGTCAGTTGTGTCCGACTCTGAGTGGGTAGCAGGCAAGTATCCCTTCGCCGTTGTTGATGGGTCTAAATCGACAGCGTGGCAACCTGCCACCCCCCATGAGGCTTCCGTCATCGTCGACATTGGGGAGTTGCAAGAAGTCTCGAAGGTGTTGCTATTTTGGGGCGGTGTTCCGCCTTCAGAATTTCGCCTGTCTGGACGCAGAGAAGCGAATAGCGACTTTGAGAAGCTGACTCCGGTAAAATTGGTGGGGATATCAGCACCTTACGATGCTCACAATGCCCGAATTGTACAAGTTAAAGAGGGAAACGTAACGGCCGTTGAGTTCCGCAATTCTGTGCAGCTTCGCTTCTTGCGACTCACAATTGCTGGATCCTATGCCACGGACGGGTTAGGAGCAACTGTGGCCGAAATCCAAGTGATAAACGAAGGTCGAGGGAGGAATGCCTATGCGATGAAGGCGGGATATGAAATTTCCTCTTTTATCGGAAGTCTATGGAGGTTATTCTCTTCTGGTGGTGCATCGCGGTCTAACTAAGGTAGTGGCTTATCTACGCCGATTCTGCCAACTCGATAATCTTCTCTGCAATTTTTCGCATCTCGGCTTGTCCTCTTGGGAAGTCGTGTCCAAATGGATGATGGTGCTCTTGAATCAAGTCCGGATTGCAGAGGCTGAGCAGATTGAGTCCCAAGTCGGCGTCAGTCTCTCCCAAACAGCGAACGTGCAACGTTGGAATGTCAATAAGCGCACCATCCTTTGCGCCATCATATCTCGTCAAGGCAAGCTCTCCGTCTTCTGTCAGAAAATGTCTTCCATCAGCCAGCATACCCGTCCGCACTGCCTTGATTTCCTTCTTCCGAGATTCGATGGCTCTCTCAGCTGCTTCCCTGCTATCTCCCTTGCGCACTCGCATGTTGGAGGGTCGCAAGTAGGTTGCCTGCAGTTCTCTGTTTAGGGCCGTAGTCTCTGGGCCGTCCTCCATGATCTTTTCTTTACTCAAGGAAAAGGCCTTGATGGGTGTTCCTCCATTGATGAAGACTGCAAATCGAAATAACGGCTGGCTTGATTCTCGCTGACTGTGTCGAATAATCGCCTGAGCTGCAAACGCTGCTCCTCCCGAATAGCCCAATACTCCATCAAACCCCCCTTCTTCCTCGATGAGATCCAGCAGATGCTCTTCAGCCTCTACAACTGAGGATGGAACCAAAGGGTTATAATAAGCATACTGAGGCAATTTGGAAAATTGTGTAGTATATACCGACCAATTACCTATGCGCTGTGAACATTAAAGCACAATATAAGTGTCGATACTGGATGGGCTTGGTGGCTCACCTTCGGTATGGAGCTCGGTTCCTTGCACAAAGTCGAATGTATAATCATCTAAAAGGCTGCGGAGTGCGGCAGTTTGAGCTTGGAAGATCTAAGCGATGCTCGCATGCAAGAGTTTAGCCCAATCCATTCGTAGTAATATCTTATATTGAGGATGGTTGCTAGGAAAGAGTGAGAGAAGTACCTCATTGTTGGACCCTCGTCCATGTAAGCATAGAATTTTCATCTTGCTAGTATAGAGGTGTTGACCTCAGCAGTAGATGGTGTCAACGGAAGCCTGATATCCAGTTTACTTCCACGTGGAGTAACACGAGAGGCGCTTGGTGGCAGGCGGATGGGTGATATCCTGCGAACAGTTATGTCGTGCGCCGCATGATTCCCGACCTTGTGTGTAGCATATATGTATGCTCCATCTTACTGAACGAGGTATTATGGCGCTTCTTTTGCCGTATTCACAACCTGCCGTTTGCGTGACTGTGGGGATTACCGCATGTGTATGTGTATATTCGGCTGATGCTGCAAAGGTCCTTTGCCCCCTCCAGCGCTAGCGATAAGGAATAGACCGAGCATTTTCCCGACGGAAAGTAGGTACCTAGGTAGGTAGGAATTCATTGTCGGGTGTAAGTACTACAGATCCTTCAAATAAAGGATGCGCCCCTGTAGATGAGTACCTACATTCTGATGGTCGTAGCTGAGCGCTAGTGACATCTCGTCGCTTCTCACGAGGCGTGTGCCTGTTGTTTGTTTGCAACAATGGATTCCGGGCATGTTGCGTTCACTCTGTACATTGGAGCAGTTCTGTTTTGTCTTTTCAAGTTCGTCTCCCACAAGATCAACAGAGCAGCCGAACAGAAGCAGCTATCACGCGAACATGGCTGTCAACCTATGCGTGTCAAGTATCCCCACAAGGATCCAATTCTGGGAATCGATCTTTTCATACGTAACGTCAAGGCGGTCTCCGAGCATAAGTTCCTCCAAACCGTGACCAGAAGACATGAAGAAGTTGGTGAGACTTATCAGCTGAATATGATGGGCACAGTTGGTACGTAAGATGCAAATGTGGTCGCGACATCTGCCCATGCCTACTGATCCTAAGCTTCCCTTTCGCATAGGCATCATGACTCGAGACGAGGAAATTATTAAAACTATTCTCTCCACACGGTTCAAAGACTACAGTCTCCACGAGGAGCGAAAGAAGGCGTTGAACCCACTGTTGGGGCATGGCATCTTCAGTTCTGACGGCCTCTCTTGGGCTCATTCGCGCTCTCTTCTGCGACCTCAGTTTGCTCGCTCACAACTCATGGACTTGTCGATGTTGGAGAGCCATGTCAGCTGCCTCATGAGCCTTATCCCTGATGGAAAAGAAGTAGAGCTGCAAGAGCTCCTCTTACGCTTCACTATGGACATGGCCACCGACTTCCTCTTTGGAGAGTCTACCAATAGCTTGCTCGCGGACCAGGATGGCTACCACAGCAAATTAGAGGGCTTTGCAGAGTCCGTTCAGTATGCGCAAGACCGGATAGCAATACGCATGGCGTTAGGTAGATTGGCCTTGCTAAAGCCGGATCTGAAGTTCAAGCATCACGTCCGTGTGGTACACAAATTTGTCGATGGGCTCGTCCACAAGGCTCTGCATGGGAACAACTCAAGCCCCAAAACACAACCGTATATCCTGCTGAGAGCTCTAGTTGAGGATACACAGGACCCAATCCGAATCCGGGACGAGGTAATCAATATTCTCATCGCCGGACGGGATACCACTGCCAGTCTGATTAGCAACGTCTTTTTCCTCCTCTCAAAAAGGCCAGAACTTTGGTCCAAGTTGCGAAACGAAGTGTTGACGCAGTTTAAGCACCAGCCGCCAGCATTCGAAGACATACCACAATGCAAATACGTCCGTTATACTATCAATGAATGTGGGTTGTCACCCAAACCCCTTGACTGATGCCCTTGTCTCTAGCGCAAGCGACACGGTGGAACATATTCCCAAGGCTAACATGATTCTGTCTACTCTTGGCAGCACTGAGGCTGTTTCCACCCGTTCCCGTTAATTCACGAGTCGCAAATTGTGATACAATCCTCCCAAGAGGAGGCGGCGTGGAGGGCAAATCTCCCCTCTTTGTCCCAAAGGGAACCCCTGTCATATACAACGTGTTTGGCCTGCATCGTAGACAAGATGTATACGGTCCTGATGTCGAAGAGTTCAAGCCATCACGGTGGGAATCCCTGCGACTGTCCTGGGAGTTTCTTCCGTTCAATGGGGGCCCAAGGATCTGCATTGGCCGTGAGTTGCTCTTTTCTTGATCCATGAGATGCCTTTACTGACGCAGATGTACGGGTAGAGCAATTCGCTCTAATAGAAGCTAGCTACGTACTGATTCGATTTCTTCAAAAGTTTGAGACCATTGAGTCAAAAGACGAGAGACCGTGGCAAGAGAAGATTGCATTAACCGTTTCTAATCGTAATGGAGTACATGTCTCGTTCAAACGCTCAGAATAGCCTCAAAGCCGGTATGGGCAAGCTTTCTCGTGTCATTCTTTCTATTTGTATAGTACCTACTTTGTCTCCCGCATAATGAACGAGCGGGAGTTCTTCACAAACTATTAATACCATGCTCTCAACTCATAGAATCATCCCTTCAATCTTATGGTAAGGTAGTTGCTATGTGGACCACGCTAAATCGTGCTTATGAGCAGCCTATTATTCGCCTATTATCTGTACCTCGCATTATATTAGCCAATCTAGATGAATCCTCACACAACCGAGCTTCTGGAGACCCCTGTTCCTGGGGAACAGATGGTCCATACCTAGATGTATACTGGTTCAAGCTACAAGGTACAAGCCTCTACTCATGCTCCTACCTACATTACCTATTCGTATCTGAATACATGTCAAGGTAGAAGTACTTGAACGCGAAAATAGAAAGCGTCGAGTCCATGTGCGTCAAATGGCTTGTCAGATATTCCATTTAGATGCTGTGCACCTACAACTTGACAATTATATGTGCCGGTGCAACTGGAAGTTAAAGTAGATGTGGTATACTATCAGGGTCGTTCCTGAACAAATAAGCAACCGGTAACCTTGGAATCGAAATCCTCCATACAACGGCCACGGTTCTCGTGAAGACATCTGTTTCTATAACCTGTCTCTCAACAAAGCTACAGATTTCAGGGACAAACAACACCCATATTTTGCAGATTGCATTCTGCTTCAGCCTCACAATGTTGAGCCCCTTCCATTTATCCCCTTGATGAACCGTTTAGAGCACTAGACGTAGGTCATTTCTAACAGTTACTCACCGACTCCCTTATTGCCTCGTCAACGTGTATCCTCCTAATTCCAGGGCACGGCCCAAGGCATACTGCCTTATCCGCAAGCCCTTGAATAAGTTTATCTATGTCGATTGTTATTTTGAGCCTCTCCTGTGCTTCCTGGCCTGAGCCTGCATTCTCCGTTAGGTTGCGCATTTCCCCATAATAGTCCGACAGGGAAATGTTGTTGTATCCCGTCGGTATAGCTTGTTCTTCCAAAAGCGATTTGCCGAATATGGTAAAGTCGTGTTCTGGGTGAGGAGCACGCCTCCTTGATATGCCACCATGCGCGCCATGGTCCCCCAGAGTATAAGGGCGGCTTTCCGGCATAGTCAACCCTTGATTGCCATGTACCGCACTCCGAGTGTTTGTTCTTTCGCCTAGTGTCTGCAATGAAGGCTCGTTCACGTAATGGAGACTATGCATGCTCGATACCGAAGGCCCCCGTGGCGGCTCGTCGTCAAGCGCAGGCGCTGATAGGCTGATAACATCACTGGGGTTGCCCATGCGCACGAAAATTCCTCGCTGCTCAAGATATTCTTCAACGTCTGGTGCCTCAAGCCATTCGCCTTGAAAGTCGGAAATAGCCGTGTGAAGCATCGTTCTTGTCCTCCCAAATTGTAAGGTCTGCAGGTTCGGCGGTGAAAATCGCGGCGTTAATGTGTTCAGGTTGCCCTCGACCAGTCTCATCAACTTGGGCAAATACAAGTTTCGACCATCGCTGTATTGACAATCAGCGGAAAATAAGCTCGGGCTCCCGGAAAGACGGTGAGCAACCCTCTCGAGAAGCCGTTCTGCGCGTTCCAACTGCAGTGGTAGGAGCATCGCCGGATTGACCGCGACAACAGGAAAGTGTCCCTGCTGCAGAAGTGAAATGGCTCTCCTTAGGCAGGCCAACATCAACCGCTGCGATACGGGCGCTGGTTTGTCGCTGGTGCATAGCTTGTGCGGTTTCTTGAGCGGTCGAACCTCAGTAAATCGAGTCTCGGCAGCAGGACTGCATATCGGCCGGTCCGCGGGCTGGTGACCTGCGCCAGACTCTTCAGCCGCGTCTGTCGCGCCATCGTGGGGAGTCCGATCCTGTTCACCAACCAGCATGGACTTCTCCAGGCGAGCCTTTCTTGCTATAAACACGATATTCATTGCTGTCTGGTTGAGCTGTGTCAGAAGCCCCGCTGGCAGCTCATTGCCGCTTTGTGAGACATGTTCATAAAACTTGATAAACTCTTCAATCGAGCCATCCAAAGCCGCCTCGAGTACGTCAGCTCGCGCTTTCGCTAACGTCAACGCGCCCTGTTTTCGGCTACGGTACGATCGCTGTGCAAGTCTCATTCGGGTCCTCCTCTTGATTTAGAAAGAAAAGGTTAGGTCGAAGCGTCGAGGGGCACTCTCCGAAACAAAGGAGACGACGACGTGATTGGCTTACAGCTTCTTCACCTGGCGTTTCTTGAGCAGTCTCGCTCATCCGTGGACGACCGGGCCGGCGCCGTGATGCGGGCCTGTCCTTTGACTCGGCAGCGTCTTTTCTTTCGTCCATTATTTTGTCGAAGTCTCCGAATTACATATCGGTCCAAGAGAATCACAATTGTCTATATAGGTCGAAGCTCTCGGTGTTTGTAATAAGAGGCGGCCTTCAAGTTGGGCTCTAGTGGGGCGTTGTGGGCTGACAAATTGTTCCGGCCCTGATTATGGGAGGAAGAGTCGGAGGCGTTCGCAAGTCAGACAAATCGTTTTTTGCTTAACACCGACAGCCGTTTTAAGGAGGACAAGGCTACTACCATGGGGCTGGAGATGGAAATGGACAACAATCAGTTATTATACATATTTGTACTAGTTATACATATAAATGGCTCTTTATATAAGAAAGGGCCTCTTCCGCTACTGTATTGCATAGATCCTGAAGCAACAATCGTGGATTGACGATCATTGAACATAAGGTGAAGTCAAATTCTCAGAGCCAGAGATCCAATGCTTTACTTTTCACTAATTCTAGACGAAACAACTCCAGTCTATCATCATGCCTTCCGAATCTGTTTCACTTGCGATTGGTTCGCATACGTGGACGCCCGAGAACAAAGAGATTGATGGTCTCTTACATGTCATGCGAAACCACAACATCAGAGTTATCGACACTGCCAGGAGTTACGTATGTTCATCATGGTCATCTGTCTTTCTTCATATAGAATAGGTGACCTAACGTGAAATTAAGGGCCTTGGCGCATCTGAGACTGTTATCGGGCTGAAGAACCTGAGTCGCGAGTTCGCCATCGATACAAAAGCTGCCACCGGAGTCATACCTGGTGCTGGACAGAAGATTCTCCAATTTGCCAAAGAGAGTTTGGAGGCACTTCGAACGAACAAAGTGAATAGTTTCCATTGCTACATTACGATTGCAGCTGATGCGTTTATTCGACTTCTGACGATGTACACTGCCTAGGTCCGAGTCTTCTTCATACACGCACCTGTGAGTACCCAAGCTTCACCAGCCAAGGCCTACCGTGGGAAATTTTCACTAACATCTAAACTCAAACTTAAAGGACGAAGAAACGCCAGTACATGTGCAGATGGAAGCAATCCAGACTCTGTATAAGCAAGGCGCCTTTGAGGCATTTGGAGTCTCGAACTTTACTCCGGAGCAAGTCGTCGAATTCTATGATTACGCCAAGTCCAAGGGCTACGTTCTTCCTACAGTATATCAGTCCAGCTACTCGCTGGTGGTACGCCAGAATGAAACGAGGCTCTTCCCAACTTTGCGCAGATTAGGCATCTCCATCCAAGCTTACTCACCCATGGCAGGGGGCCTTTTGTCAAAGACGCGAGAATATATCGAGTCAGGACAGGGTAATTGGGATCCCAACACCTTGACTGGCAAGATCTTCCGCGACCTTTACTACAAGCCGTCGTATTTGAAGATGCTGGAAGAATTCGCAAAGCTTTCCCAGGAAACTGGTTTGAGTCGATCCGGGTTGGCTTATCGTTGGGTGAGGTACCACTCGGCTCTCAAGCCAGAGCACGGCGACTCAATGATCCTGGGCTCTGTGAGTGGTCAGCAGCTGGAAGAAGCCTTAGCAGAGCTGGACAAGGGCCCTCTTGAGTCTGCGGTCGTCGAAAAGCTAAATAGCTTCTGGGAGCTGATCAAAGACGATGCACCGGTCGACAACCTCATCTCTGTTCGTAAGGTGGTTCGTGGAACGGCATAAAATTTAGGCTACATGCCTAAGCTATGCCATCGCGAGGGAGGCATCGCTGGCTATTTCCAAACGTTGCCTCATACATCTCATATTAGAGTAGCATAAAAGTCTGCGAAAAAATACGTGACATCAAGGCTCACTAGTATTGGGTGCATGCAATGAACAATTTATAACACGTGCGAAGTATCAACTACGAGATGACTTACTTGCAGCTACCTTACCTACCCTGTGCGTCTATTGTTTGTTGCGATATCTAGGTCCCTACCGTACTCAGAGATATTCCCACCCAGTCACTGATAACCTAAAAGCGCCACACATAACAATCGTTAAGGTACCTAGATTCCTAAGGTACTTTGACTCTTCGCGTGTCATTGCCAAAGTAGACGAAAGAGTGAGCCTTGAAGTTTATCTCCAAAGCTCAATACCTAAGTACTTTACGGTATTGCCTGGATAAGGACAATCGCAAACTGGTATAGATGTACTGTAACAGAGGGAAAAGAATACTCGTAGGCTACCGTGAGCGGCCTCAGTCAATCTTCCCCCAAACCCAGTGTAGGAAATTGTTCCGATGTAAAAATTAGCTTAGTATTGATCTCGATCCTCCCGAGATTCCGTCCCCACCAAGGCTTACCAAAAAAAGGGGGCCCTTGCTCCATTGTCCATTTTAGACCCCAAGCAACTGACTCCGTATCTCACGAGAATTATCAAAAATTTTCGCCAGCTAGTCACACGCCCCACGTGGGCTTGTTCACTGATTCTGGACGGGGCAGAGGCCTCTGCACCGCTATAAAGGACATTATGGAAGGGCAAGGGAAAAAAGGGAGACTGCCTCTGTAGATACATGCTACAACTGCGATCTGCTCGTCAATCTAGATACGAGTCGGGGCGTAACCCAGGTTTTCATGATTCGTACAATGAGGTCTCCTGACGTTGAGCGTCCGCTCTCTCTATCTCTACCGCCCCTTAAGAAATCGGCCACTCTCACCGAGGCTGAGACACGGCAAGCCCTCCGACAGCTACACGAGTTTTCTTACTATCCCGTCCCTGAAGTGCTCGAGTTGGATGCATCCCACAATGCCCAGGACGCATCCGCTCCAGACTCTGGCTATGCCTCCGAAACCGACGCTGACGAGGCATCCAAGGGCGAAAAGGCGGTTCCCCTGTACCTGGATCCCATAGAACGCGACTTTGCCGTGCGCTGGCTCACTGGCTTTATTGGACAAGCCTGGGATTTCCCACTCAGCGACGACACGCGCGACGAATTTGTGGATGCTGCATGCTCGCTGCTCTCCCACTTGACGAACACCGAGGATGAATGCAAGCAGCGAGATGAGGACCCCGGCATGACGCGACGATTCAGATTCTCCAGCGGTGACGGCGCCAAGAGCTTCGTGGTCGATCTCAACGATACTCCCATGCAGTTGGGCGACGACCACGAGGATGTCGGGCTGCAGACGTGGGGAGCATCCATCGCATTCTCGCAAATGTTTTGCACTGCGCCGGCGGAGTTTTTACCAACCACAAAGAAGGCTCTTGATTCCACGACGAGAGTCATTGAGCTTGGCGCGGGCACAGGACTCGTCAGCCTGGTGCTCGCAAGCGTGCTGCCATCGATGGCCGATTCACCGGCGTCGATAATCGCCACAGACTACCACCCCGCCGTGTTGAAGAACCTGGAAAGGAATGCAACCTTCCACCACAAACCAGGATCTACCGCTTTGGTGCAAGTGGCCCATCTTGATTGGTGTGCGCCGACGCGGGAACCTCCTCTGGACGTGCCGGCAGACATGATTGTCGCAGCAGACGTTGTCTACGCTGCAGAGCATGCTCGATGGCTCCGCCATTGCGCTGCGCATCTGCTCGCTCCTGAGGGCGTCTTCTGGCTCATGGTTTCCATCAGGCCCAATGGCAAATTCGCCGGCGTCTGCGATTCCATAGAGTCCATTTTCGCTGAGAAAGACACAGCTGTCACCAATGCCTACGGCCACTTGAAGATCCTGGACCACCAGTGGATAGACAAGAAGCATAATATTGGGCGAGCGGACGAAATAGGGTATAAGCTCTTCAGAATCGGATGGGCCTGATTTCATACCTGCGAATACTGTCAAGGATGATGGATGGCTATGCATTTTCTCAGGCGTTAATTTGGCGAAAACTGATGATGGGCTTCAGGTATGGATTGATAGAGCGTATGGACAACAGATTAGACCTAGAGTAAGGATACGGCGGTATAGACGGCTATAAATAGAACCCCTGGTATTCCCATACCCATAGATTTGTAACTGCTGCTGCATCATTTGCGCATGTTTCTATCCGTTGGAATAGCATGTGCTTGATAAATCCTATACGTCTTGAGTTCTCCCAGCTAACCCTTGGGCAGACAGAACATCAAATGGAGCATGTGTAATTCGGGAGTCGCACTGTACAGCCTCAACCTTAAATCCAGATCCGAGGCACCGAATCTCCCGAGCTAAGTATTCAGGCTTCAGCACACCTGGCAATGGAAACCAAGGCACCCACGCAGCAGAAGAGGGCCAGAAGGATCGAGGGGCGGGTTGCCATCGCGTGCAACCATTGTCGCAATCAGCATCTGCGATGCGACGCCATCGTGCCGACGTGCTCCAGATGCCGCAACTTACGAAAGACGTGCGTCTACACGGATCTGCGGCGTAGTCGCCGGAGGCGTAACAGCGTCGAGAAGCCGACGCCTTCAGGGCATCGCCGTGATGCAATCAATGCGGCCAGAGACTCTCCGGCACTTATTCTGCAGAGCCCGGCCTTTGAGGCGGCCCATTCACCAGTGACGCCGTTTGTAGCGTGCACCCATGCTCTTCCTCCCGCTGTGTTGGTGGACAGCCACCTACTGACAAGCAGACCGGTCGACGCCTTCTACAAGTTCTTCTTTCCTGGCCATCCCTTTGTTCTGCCGAGGGAGCATTTGATGAGTCGGTCAGAGAGGACTACGGATGTAAGCTACGGACTCGCCCTGATCATTGCCTTCATTGGCTCGAAATACACGCACGATTCACTATCAAGTGAGTATAGGCAGGGCGCTGAGCGCGCGTTGAGCGAGCAGCTGGTGCCCAATGGCTTCAATGTTCAAGCTCTAATGCTACTTGCCCTTACCTTGGAATGGTCGGGTGAGAATGAGAGAGCGGCGGCAATCCTGGAACAAGCAAAGGCCTTGGGCCTAGAAGCCGGCATGCAGAATCGAAATTTCGCTGCTGACCACGGCTGCGGGGACAAAGTGCTGGAGGAAAGCTGGCGGAGAACTTGGTGGGAGCTCTATGTTACCGATGCACTCTTCGCCGGCATCCGCCATTTGCCGACCTTCACACTCTGGCAAGTGGACGCGGATGTTGATATGCCTTGTGAGGAAGAGCAATACATTGAAGGAGTAAGTTGTCAGCTGAAGCGACACTCGAATCTCTTCATTGCTAACTGGGCGCTAGGTGATTCCCCTGCCACGAACGCTGGCCGAATATGATGATCGTGGCTTCGACGAAGACGACGTGGGCTTTTCTTCCTACGCGTATCTTATTGACACCGCTCGCATCCTTGGGACAGCCTTGGCCGCAGGTGACATTGCCAACAAATCCGCTTATTCTTTAGTGAAGAGCGCCGAGGCAAACCTCATGAGCTGGGAGTTGCATTTACCACGCTCCAAACGCGACCCTGTTCGATCCGATGGAACTGTTGATGAAATACTCTTCAAAGCCCACATGGTATTCAATACGTGAGCAAACCACTTGCTGGAATGGCACCTCATCAGCCTTTACCTTGCCGCGAGTCGCTAACGACAGTATTATATAGCACATCCACTCACCTTCATCGGCCGAGATCAATGCTTCACTACACCACGATGGAGCTAATATGCTCCAAGTACGCACCACCGCTCCCTGCAGAGGTTCTAGGTCAAGAAGAACAGCATCTTGAGAAGCACACGCACAAGGCCATCAACGCTTCGAGGAACTTTGTTGATCTACTTACCGCTTCTTCCTCGCCGCTGACACACAGCCCTTTTGTGATGTGCATGGGCTCACTAGCTGTAGCCACTTGTCTCTCAAGCTGTGTGCACATCTTGACCGGCCCCGAACTCTCATGGACAAAGGATCGAGTACGACTACTTCTAGGCATCCTGAAAGCGTTCTTGACAATATGGTCACAGGCGAGGCACTGGTTCGCAGAAATAAAACTCATGGCGAAGGCTGTCCTTGGACAGCAAGATGGAGCTGGACAGATAGGTTGCGACTCTGTACCGACCGAAACAGACTTTGAAGACATGTCATTTCTAATTGAATTATCGGGTGGTTAAGAACAATGGAGCTAGGCACTGGATGAGGCAGCTTGAAGGAAAAGTCGGAATATCGCAGTACAGACAGCATGTTGCCCAACTAAACTGCAAGCAAGCCCCTATTCAGACAGAAATTGAATAACTGCCTTGCCTTTCCTGCCTCTGTGCGATGCATATTTCCAAGCCTCTACCGCTTCTTTCGCCTCGAATACCTGAACAGGAATAGGCCTCAATGCGCCATCGTCTATAAGTGAGGCCACATGGGTAAGTGCATCGCCATCCGGAGACACAATAAAGTGCAGGCACTTTACCCCTGGATACGTTTGTGACTCTTCCGGCTGTCCCCCATTGAAAGCCCAACTCGGAGCCGGATCACCCACTGTCACGATGACCCCGTCCTGTTTGACCGTTTTCCACGCTTTTGTCAATACTTCACCTCCGACTGTATCGAAAACCGCATCAACTCCGTGTATCTTGTCGCACCAGTCCAAGGAGCCGTAATCCAAGACCTTGGTTGCTCCTAGTTCTTGGACGAAGTCGTACTTTGAAGGCGAAGCTAGACCAATGACCTCTGCACTGAGCAGCTTCTTGGCAATCTGAACAAACATGGCTCCAACAGCCCCCGAAGCCCCCGTGACAAGGGCTTTGCTGCCCTGTGTAAGCTTCATGCGACTGAACACAGCTTCCCATGCAGTCAACGCAGGTATGGGGAGTGCAGCTGCCTGCGCATGGGAGATTGAGAGCGGTTTGATAGCGACCTCGTTTGGCATGGCGATGGCATACTCTGACTGACCTCCTTGAGGACTGTCTGCAGCAAGCATGGCATAGACGCTTTGCCCAAGAGACAGCGGTCCATCGTATTCGGGACCGACGGCTTCAATTGTGCCGGAGATGTCGTGCCCAGGTACTCGGTGAGTTGAGGCGTACAACTCGGGCCATATGACTTCGTCTGCTGTTATTCCGGCAGCGTGGACCTTGATCAGAATCTGATGGCCTGTAGGAGATGGTCGTAATAAGGTATCTGACAGGACAATGCGGTGATTCTCTCGGGTGCCCAAAACTTGAACAGCTTTCATGTTGATGCTCCCGACCGGAATAACGATGAGGTGGATTGAGGTATATTCAAGGTTATATTGATAGAAATTAGGCCTATGAACCAAGCCCTTATGGAACTGACAGATCAAGTTGGAAGGGCGTGGTCTAGGGTATTGCCGGTTCTATGACAAGGAATTTGGAGGCAATTTATACCTCTACTTCTCAAAGGGGTTACCAGCGTAGAATGTGACTGCAAATATATTCGTCGTCTGCGGGTGTCACGTTAACAAGGAAGTGGTTGGCGAACATAACAGGGACTCGGGTCGGGTCAATCGGAAAATCGACCCGAATGTGGCGCTGGCTCCATGGTTCGTTTGAGCCGACCCGAATGCCGGACAAGCTGAGCAAGAGCGTCTCGGACTTTGCAGCTGGGGCAGATTGGATACCTACCTAGGATAATGGCCTGGTTGAGCCGTGCGAAGGCCTGAAGACGTGACCTTTCTGACCCCCATCGTAGCAAGTGTGCCTAGGTTGGCGTTGTCTACCTCGGTAGCCCAAAGCTTTTGTATTGTCCGTGTATCTCTAAAGTACGGTCAAGTTCCCCATTACTAGAACTTGCCGTTGAATCATCCTCCTTGGGGAGCGACAACTGTCGCAGCAACCATGATAGCACCACCTCTCGTAACCGAACAGGTGAAGAACATGACGCATTATCGAAATCGAACAACGCACTGCAACCATTGTTCAGGACCCGATTGCGAGAGGATGTGAAACTTCTCTTCAACCATGATCTCACCAATGTACCTAGACAAGTCAATCATTCGGAGTTCACCCGGACTGACAGCTGGGTCCTGCAGATAGACAAGGAGGTGCTGCAGTCGTCAGGTTTCTTTTCATCGGCGAGCTCTTGAGTGGTGTGAAGGGCGATCCGCCATGCTATACAAGCCCGGCAAAGACTGTTTCGACTTACTGAGCTGTCGCTATACTGTGGGAGAGGATGACAGCAAGGCTGCGCCCGCTGATGGATAACGCTGGAAGAATGAGCTTCCCATTTCCAGCAAGCAAGAACTTCGATCTGATTGATATGCTAGAGACCTGATGGTACCATGGCCGCCAATACCACAGCACTTTACCAGCTCTGGACTTTGCTCAAGTACGATATTCCGATCCACAATCCCCCATGTCTTTGAAGATTTCGCATCTTCGACTTCGCTTCAACACCTCCTCAATCATGTCGAGATCTGATTGATTCAGGGACCAACCAAAGCTGGCCAGATTCTCATCTGTATGGTCGCTTATACCCATTCGTGCACCGACGATGACCGCGCCCACGTATGGAAAGTCCAACACCCAGCGAGTGGCGACATTTGATATCGAAACTCGGTGTTTTGAAGCAATGATACGTAGCACCCTCAGGAGTTCCTGAAAGAGGCCCCAGCCGCCCCAGCTGCGTATCATTTCGAAATACTATTGACCATTATGGTCAGCAAAGGTCCAGCGTCGCGGCAGTGTTATCCCCATGCCATTTAGGTACCTTTCGCTGGCTTGGTGTAATTGACCCATCGTATATATCGGGCTCAGACCTTCCGAGCCATTTGTCGGCGAGAAAACCACCGCACTTGGTCATCACGTTAGGCATGTCAACCAAATGATCCCTCTCGCAAAAGGCTCACCAGCGTGCCATATGTCAGGAGCTTTATATTGTGCGTTTCACAAGCAACTGCCATTTCGAGTATTGGACGAGAGTCAACCAGAGAAAACTAAGGTAGTTGTGAATTAGCTGCTCTTCCCAAAGAAAAACATAGGTCAACATGCCATACCTGAACTTGATTGGTGAGTACTTGAATACCCGCTTCAACCACGTCGAGGAGATGTTTCGTATCGAAATTGCATAGACCAACCATTTCAACACGGGCATCTTCCGTCAGGAGTCGTAGAGCATCGAGATACTCCCGATGCTGATACTATGGCATCTGTTAGCGCCAAACCTTTATCTCAACGACGGCCCATTACCACGCATGATCACCCACAAATTGCCAATGGAATTGCAGTAGATCGATCTTGTCCGTCTGCAAACGGCGACATCGCTCGGCAATATTTGCCTGGACGGCCTCCCGAGACACCGTCATTTTCTGGAAGACACAATACTTCGTTGCCGTGAAGATCGCATCTCGATGAGGATACATTGATGCAAAGCGACCCTACGGGCCAGGTGAGTGCGTGGCTGTGTGAAACTCACTCCTTCTACTTACAAACACAAGTTCAGCATCGCCATAATGGTCAGCCATGTCGAAGGCTGTGAATCCTTGTTGGACATGTCTTGAGAACTGCTCAATAACCTTCGACGACGATGCAGCCCCCCATGCGGGACTAGACATCTGCCAAAGACCCGAGAATATTCGCGGGACTCTGCGTCCATTCAGTAGGAACGTTTCTTTTGCTACTGGTGGCAGTGGGATCATGGAAATTTGTTTTGCCAGGCTCTGGTACTCATCTGCGATAGCAGGTCGAGGCAGCCCAAGGATACCAGCCGTAGAAACTAGGCTTCGACTGAATGGGTATTCTTGGCTTGTCGCTTTCAGAGTGGCATGGCAGCTCGCCAGGGACTGATAGAGAGCGTCGACTAGAGAATGCTCTGTGTTGTTCATGGCCCTTGCACCGGTATCTACAAGGAGGGATTTCTGAACGGCTGTCATGGCTTGCACAATATCGCCATCCACGCTGGTCAGCAAGGATCGCATTTCACCTGAACTGTCATTAATACTGCGCGAAACTAGGACCGTCCCTTGAGAGATTATGTTTTCGAAAAGCTGCAGACTCTCGAATGACAGCCCGCAGCCAAGCATACTGCGCGCGATCTGTTGCATCTTGACGAGACTCGGAAGGCAAATTTTCCTGTCCTTCTCTTTCATCAGAGACATGGCCCTCAACTCGACGAACTTTCTCGTCTCGAGCTCGAAATCGCGTGTGATTTCTGGAAACAACACCAAAAGGGACCTCATCACCACACGGAGGCCATCCGCAGGGAGGTTAACGATGATGGTGTCCGTCATCATATTGACGTGCGCCGTTTTGATACCGTTGCCATGATGTGGGATGGCCATGCTGAGGGAGCTTTTGATGCAAGACAGTTCGGTATGCAAGCCCCAATTCGGCCGCCAATGATGTATGGGATGCCGACTTCAATGATGGGCTGGTCAACAATCGTGTTTGCCGGCGATTAGGCTATTGCCTCGAGCTTCCCAACAGCTCGTGAATTTTCACTGCAGCGCCCATCTTGCCATGTGAGATTACAGCCACCGGCGTCTATACAGTAAAAGTCACCGGCGCCCATCAGTAATTGCTCGGGTAGCATTGATCTCGTGTAGATCGCCGATCGGCCTCTTACGACATACGCACCGGCTTTTCCAAAGGGATTCGGTCGCGTCCACTATCGGGTAAGATGTGAGTGGTACGCGCTTCACCTGCCTCGTGGTCTATGATATGGAGCGATATGATGGATGGCCTTCAATGACGATTGTGATGGCGCAGAGATACCCAAGGTATCTGTGACATTTTAAAAACATTGAGAGTACGAAGCGCCACTGATAGCCGCCGAACCAACTCCCCCGTGGTACCTACCTACCTGGCATGTGTCTCTCACACGACACTCATTTCGACAATGCTCGTCAGTCTCACCCACCAAAAGGCAAAAGAGCCTGTAAGAGACCTGGTCATCGCTCTCAGGCCCACAGTCTCCACCAATCCTTTCCAATGTCGACGATTGTCTTCGCGTCCTGGCTGTTGCGTTCATGGCCGAGTTGAATCTCCACCATCAACTGACATATCGGGTCGTCGCGAGCCAGTTGCTGCCGTGACTAACGCGTTTGTGACACACTGACCTCGCCATGAATGCTTGCCTCCCATGCCGAAAGGTAAAGATGAAATGCCGGCAAGGCAGCCAACCGGCTTCTAAATGCGAGCGGTGCGCGCGGAAGTCTCTCGACTGCGTGTTTCAACGGCATCGTAGAGGCCGGAAGCCTGGGACGAAGTGAGTGAGACATTCCGGGAGCCTTAGAGTCCCAGACGATGAGAATTGACGAGACTTCCATACTTTGTAGGATCGCCAAGCGGAACACGCCTACAGCGCCGCGTGCCGCAAATTCAGCTGTGAACAAGACGCCGGGCTACAGCGCTCCATCGATGGTAGAAACAGTACCGGCTGAGGAGCCTGGCAACTTACAGCCATCCGGAGTGCTCAATCAGGAGGCAATGCGTGGCAAATTCTCGCTGCGCCGAATACTGAGCACCGCAGATAGTGATGCTATGGAACCACCGGAAGCATCTCCCCCAGGCCGACCAGAAGATCCCATCGAGATGGGCATCCTCAGCCTCTCCATTGCTAAATCACTTTTCGAGAAGTTTGTGAATCACTAGCTACGGCGTTATCTTCCCGTTAAAGACTAATGCGAGGCTTTCTTGTAGTTTCATTCTGGTTCTCAACCCGTATATAAGTCAGCTGGATCCCCATCTGCACACTTTCTTCTACGTCCGCCAAAAGTCGCCCTTCTTATTCACAGCTGTTCTTGCAATGTCTGCAAAGGCGTTCAATCCCATCGTATATAATGCGCTGTATGACCATGCGCAACACCTCTACACCGAAGTCTTTCGGAATGGCCTCAAGTCAACAGAGATTGTCCAGGCCATCCTCATCCTCACCTATTGGAAGCAACCACAAGATACGCGAGCATGGACATCGATAGGATATGCCATTCGCATGTGTATGGACATGGGGTGGCACAAGCTGGCACCCTACTCCACATCCAGTCGTCTCACCATGGGCGAAGCCAGGCGACGCGAAATTCGTAACATTGAGCGGACGTGGTATGTGCTATTTGTCTATGATCGAAGGTATGTTAGCCCGTAGCCCCCCTATATAAAGTGCTACAACTAAGAATGTCCCAGTATCAGTCTCCAAACCGGACGGCCTTGGATGATTGAGCGCAACGCCTTCATAGAGTCGATCGACACTTGGTGCACTGATGCCATCGCAGACCGCAACGACGACTTGCTTGGTGCCTTTGTCAATCTGAGACTGATGAGCACCTCAATCTTTTCTCTTCATGCTCCCAGCCGTTCGCGCGGCGAAAGAGTACCTCTGGAGGATATGGAAACCCTACTTTCGCTGAAGAAAGCCAGCATTGAGAGATGGGAGCGCCACTGGGTCCAAGAGGTGGACAAAAAGCTGTTGCCCGAAGAAGAGACGTGCCACAAATTCCTGATCCGGTTCTACGGGATGCATTTTCGATTGCAGCTCTTCTCGTTGCCGCTCCAAGACGTGCTTTCCTCAGCATACTCGGAATCATCTCTCCATTTGGACATCATCTGGGCCGCATTCACAGGTGCCATGGACATGCTGAAGCTGGTGTCACAACATTCGACCCAGCTGTATTTTGCTCAGGACTCCATTCATGTCATGACTGCCTATAGCGCGGCGTTTCTCGTCAAGGTAAGTCCTACTCTACATCTTTTATACCCGTGGTCTCAGGAGGCTTTGCGATCCTAATGTTGGAGGTCGATTTCTTTAGCTTCTCATATCTGCACCCAATACAGTAGTAAAGGAAATAGAGTCCTCAACAATATCTGTCATTCGTTCTGCCGCTCAAGCCTTCTCTCACCAGGCGTCAGCTCCAGGAACGAGCTGCGAATTGCAAGCACGATTTCTTCACAATATTGCGACAAAGGTTGCTCAGAGAAATAGAAAGGAGAATGTCGCAACGCCTACAATCACCTCTGGCCTAGATCGACATGCATCTGAAGACCATGATCACTCAGAGTCATCCAAGCTACCATTCTTACCACCAGAAGTCAACCAGGCCATGCCCCAGCCGCTTGAGCAACCTCTCCCCGACGTCTTCATCTTTCCGCATCCTGACTTGGATCCGTTATTCATGGACGACGGTGCATGGGCTGATATTCTGGCAAGTGCCGCGTTCAACACTCAAAACGGTATGTTATTGGCGGGCTGATGTAATGACTGTATATTGAGGCTTCACTACTTTCGTGACACACCGTCCTCCCCGCATCATATCGAAAAATGACTCCATAACCTTTGTACATCATGGATGCAACGGAACAATAGTCGTTTCCGAGTGGCTGAATGTGCGAATGCCTTCTCTGATAATTTTCAGTTGAGATGGGCAATTTGGATCAGGACACGCTACCAAGGCGTCGGTTGTCATCCAGTCGTTTGGGGATGTGACCCTTTGCTTTGCAGGCAGAAGTGGTATAACGCTGGCTGCCTCAAATTAGAAGTGGTCCCTCTCTCGGCAGGTATATACACTTCTTACACAGCGAGTATATACTTATGCCCTGGTTTGGCGGCAGAAAGATCATCTCTCCTCGCATGGTGAAATAGTCCCCTGCTTTGGCTCCGCAAATGATTCGCCTTCCTGGAGGGCAAACAACTTCGACCCGGAGATCATACAGCTGGAAGGAGTCCTGCTGAGAAGCGGATTGTGCCATCATGGACGAAGAAGTTGGCAGAGGACGTCGCTTGGTTTGCTTGTAACAGTCACGTTGTTATGGGTCACGGAGCAAGGCCTCCGATTCTTGCACATTCGCAGCAAGAGCGGGAGTGCCATTCATCTACGAAATACAACATTTACCCCGCCTATGGTTGTATTCTTCAGCGTCAATTTGGTGTATGTACGGACCGCGACAACTGGCATATACCGCCCAGTGGAGCAAGCGTACCGGGAAGTCGGACCGGCGATCAAAAGCTGACTTGTAGACGCCGGCAATGGTGAACGAATGTTCAACAGATGGCACATCCGGGCTGAGTTAGTATATTCGTTCTTTGTCTAATTTCTGCCAAAACTACCGTGGTACTCTCTTATTAATTTCGTGTGAAAGTGAACCATCAGTTCGATTGTAACATTCTGTGCGCTTGAGCAGGTCCGATTGATGAAGATGCGCCGAGAAGTGCATCGAGCCAGTGTGTAGGATTATAAAGCTGATTCTTGCTAAGGTCGGATCCCTCTTCATGCCGTGGAGGGGGGGGGGGAACCTTGCCAGCAAGGGTCGCCATCCTCTCTATTGCCTGGGGCATACGGGTTAGCTGTCTAGCCGCCTCCCAAGTCCCATGCGGAGAAACTCGAATACTCCTTGAACAATCTTCGGCGCTGGTTGAGAAAGAAACTGCTCAGTGACATATACAAAAACTCTACAGCAGCCAGCCCAGCCTACTGCATCGCGGCAAACCACAGTGAACAGCCCAATGGCAACAGAGAAAGACTTGGAGCGCAGTGTTGTGATCACCGACACGCCTCGCAATGGAGACGTTTCATCAATCGCTATCGAGACTGGTGGTCTCAGACGTGAGCTAGGCTCCCGCCATATCAACATGATTGCCATTGCAGGAATGATTGTACGTCCAAGTCAAGGTACTATGCTGTGCTGAGCAGCCCATGATAACAACATACTGACTACAGCAAACCGCGTCTGAATAGGGCACTGGTTTGTTTCTCGGCTCAGGGCAAGCAATCGCAGCTGCAGGTCCAGCAGGTGCCCTTTTGGCGTATATTGTCATGGGACTTGTCACTGGCGGGATCTCATACACGACGGGCGAGATCACCGCATTCATGCCATCAACTGGTGGTTTCATCCGGCATGCGACCAAATTCGTGGAGCCAGCACTTGGGGCAGCGACGGGCTGGAATTTCTGTGAGTTGAGTCTGGTGTACTCTCGTCGCGTTGCGCGGCGTGGCGGTTCCTGCCCTGCATGCTTACGACAAGCCAGGGTACACCATGGCCATTACGGTTCCTGCAGAGATCAGCGCCGCAGCTACGGTCATACAATTCTGGAACGACTCGGTGAGCCCTGGCGTTTGGATCACCGTCTTTGCGGTGGTCATTGTCACTCTAAATCTTTGCGATGTGCGTTTGTACGGCGAGGTACGTTTCCTCCGACGTCATTGTCCGAGACCAGATCACTGACACAGATCTGTGTCAAGTCCGAAGTTATCTTCGCATCCCTGAAGATCATGCTCATTCTTGGCCTCATCATCGGTGGCCTTGTTATCGACCTCGGAGGAGGACCCAATCATGACCGCTTGGGTTTTCGCTACTGGAAGCATCCGGGAGCGTTTAATGATTATATAGAGACCGGCGCGGCAGGACGCTTTCTCGCTTTCTGGAAAGTCATGCTCACGGCAGCGTTTAGCTACGGCAACATCCAGGTTGTGGCGATCTCCGGAACCGAAACTCGCTCACCTAGGAAAGCTATCCCGGCGGCTACGAAAAAGACGTTTTACCGCGTTCTGCTATTCTACGTTCTTAGCATCTTCATCGTTGGCCTCATTGTGTGAGTGATGTCTGTATTCCATTACAACAAGTTCAGATCCTCATATCTCTCAACAGTCCTTACGACGATCCGTCTCTCTCCATCTCCACCGGCACTGCGCAACAATCGCCCTTTGTCATAGCCTTCCAGCGATCTGGCGTGAAGGTCGTTCCATCCATCATCAACGCCGTTGTATGCACGTCTGCCATCAGCAGTGGTTCAGCTTGCATCTTCATTGCCTCGCGCACTCTGTACGGTCTAAGCTGTGATGGACATGCCCCTCGAATCTTCCAGCAGTGCAACCGCTTTGGTACCCCTTATTATGCCATTGGCCTGACCTGCCTTTTGCTGCCTCTAGTTTATCTCAACGTTGCCAATGATACGTCCGTCGTCTTTGGGTGGTTTGTCAATATTACTACAATATCCGGCTTAATTGGCTGGGTCGTGATTGAAGCAACCTACCTACGCTTCTACACTGGCCTTAGAAAGCAAGGCTTTTCGAGGGACTGTAAGCTATACCTCCGTTCATGCCCACTATCGCTTGGTAACTTCAGCCAACGAGATTTTCAGTGCTACCTTACAAAAGTCCACTGCAGCCTTATATTTCGTGGGCGACTTTGCTTGTGGTGAGTTTGATAATCGTGTTCTCAGGTATGTACTTGCCATTCGTGGGCTACATATTTGTTCATGCTCAGCATCAACGTCAGGTTTCGACGTCTTCGTCAAAGGACACTTTACTGCCGCAGGGTTCTTGACCTGCTACCTGAATGTCGGTATTTTCATCGGTAAGGTGCCTCCGGGATCGTCCCAACTTCCTATCGGTCTGCTAACAAGCTACTTATAAGCTCTGTATGTCTTCTTCAAGCTTTTTCTCAAGTCGAAAGTCATCTCCACAACCGCAATCGACTTTGAGACTGAGTTCTCGGCATTAAGTCGAGAACAGCATGTCGAAGAGGTGGCACAGCACGCAGCAATTTCTAACCTGATCTGATGAACTTTGGCCCTCACATCATTAACGATAATTCATACATCGTCCAACAACTCTTGTACAAAGTAGTCCTCAAGCTCTTTCTCCATTGCCTCCTTCTTTGGAATGTACCACTCATTATTACTGCTGTTGCTCCACACGCCGTCACAGTTCCCCGTCTCCCTTCCACGAGTCATTGATCCGCCCTTCGCAAGCCGGTGTTTGGCTCCCAGATCTCTAGCGGCCGAAAGCGCTCCCTCAATTATACACTTCGGGTGTAACCCCGCCCTTTATCCAAATCCAAACCCACATCAGCGTAGGAGTGGGGGCGTAAATGGCTGTAGTTTCTGCACACAGCATCTTTCTGGGAACTTTTATCGGGGGTTATAGCTGCTGTTTCGCAGCCGGGGCCACCCGATAGACACGGAGGCCACTGAAGTCGTGCGGTTATATCATCGCTATACATATGTGCTTGACATCGCCTCTCCTCAAAACCCCTCCCCCGTCACATATTACAAGTTCTGTCCTCAGTCCACGAGAAGTTGATCCAGTTATTTGATGATGGCTGTTCCCTCAGTTGAGCTCACTGCGCCCAATGGCATAAAATGGAACCAGCCCACGGGCCTCTTCATAAACAACGAGTTTGTTGCATCGTCCAGCGGCGAGACGATTGCATCCATCGACCCAGCGTACGCGAATAAATCAATAGCGACCCAATGTTGAAGTTGCGCCGCCTTTTGCTAACTCGGCCATCACAGCACCGAAGAGGTCATCACAAGTGTTCAGGCTGCTAGCGCTGAGGACGTGGACAAGGCTGTCAGGGCGGCAAAGGCCGCACTGAAGGATCCTTCTTGGAAACAGCTCTCGGCATCTGATCGCGGCCGCCTGATGACTCGGCTGGCCGATTTGCTGGAAGCGAAGAAGGAAATATTTGCGACAATTGACGCGTGGGACAATGGTACGAACAAGGCCTGCTGATGCACAGCCCAGAACAGACTTTTCGGCCCTTCATTGAACGATACCTCTGCAAGGACGCCAAGCTAATGTGCTGTTCTTTTCGTTTAGGCAAGGCGTACCAAGAAGCATTGGACGTTGATCTCGTCGAAGCCGTAGCCGTGATACGATATTACGCTGGGTGGGCAGACAAGCAGTACGGTCAAACAATCAGCACTACGCATCAGAAGTTTGCCTACACCCTCCGTCAACCGATCGGAGTTGTTGGCCAAATCATTCCGTGGAACTATCCCCTCTCAATGGCCACATGGAAGCTGGGCCCTGCCCTTGCTTGTGGCAACACTGTGGTGCTGAAAGCGGCGGAGCAGACGCCCCTCAGCATTCTCGTTCTCGGGGAGCTTATCGAAGAAGCTGGGTTCCCACCCGGAGTCGTCAACTTCATCAATGGGTATGGCGGCGATGCCGGATCTGCACTAGTGAATCATCCCCTGGTCGACAAGATCGCCTTTACAGGCTCAACAGCGACAGCCGCAAAGATCATGGCGTCGGCGGCCAAGACATTGAAGAACATCACTTTAGAAACTGGAGGAAAATCGCCACTCGTCGTCTTCAGCGACGCCGACATGGAGCAGGCCGTCAAGTGGTCTCACCTAGGCATCATGTCCAACCAGGGCCAGATCTGCACCGCTACGTCGCGAATAATGGTTCAAGACGAGGTGTATGATGACTTTGTCAAGAGGTTCCTCGAGACTCTAAAGGCTGTCAGCAAAGTAGGAAGCCAGTGGGCAAGGGACACATATCAGGGCCCGCAAGTTTCCAAGGCGCAATACGAACGAGTCTTGGAGTATATCGAAGTCGGCAAGAAGGAGGGCGCAACAGTTGCGGCGGGAGGGCACCCTCTAGATGTTGGGAGAAATGGCAGGGGCTTTTTTGTCGCCCCAACAGTGTTCACCGATGTCGATCCTTCCATGCGCGTCTACCAAGAAGAGATCTTTGGACCTGTCGTTGTCATCCTGAGGTTCAAGACAGAGGATGAGGCATTGGAGCTTGCAAACAACACAGCGTACGGCCTGGGTGCTGCTGTTTTCACGACCGACCTCGAGCGGGCTCATCGTATGGCGGCTGAGATTGAGTCCGGCATGGTGTGGATCAACAGCAGTCAAGACTGTGATCCGCGGGTCCCCTTTGGAGGCGTCAAACAGAGTGGTATCGGCAGGGAGCTTGGTGAGGCGGGCCTTGAAGCTTATTCTCAGATCAAAGCTGTGCATGTCAACATGGGGAATCGATTGTAGAGAAGATTGCGGGCGGTAGGCGTCAATGTGCTCAACAGGTTTCGACAGAAAGAGAGGGAGGGGGGGGGGGGGGGGGGGGACGACCTAAGGTAAGCAGAGCCCAGAGCGGTATCAAGCAGTATCCAGTAAGGTAGACATAGAACTATATGGCGGTATGTAGAGTATATATCTTGTCATATATCATCTAATTTGTTGATCATTCAGGCGGCTCTCCAGTCCAAGTCCTACTTGTTGTTGGAGCCATGGCCGCCGGTCACGTCTGAGCTCATTTTCTGGGCTTGTGACTCGGTACAGGTAAAGCCTACGGGATTGTTTACGTTGAAGCAGTCCCATATAGCCAGAAGTTCGTCAGTGCCCTCCTTGGTAACATCAAAGCCCGTCACCTCAAAGTCATCGCATCCTCCAGCCGCGGCGCTGCATTGGAAATAGGCCGCCTCCGTCACTCCAGATTGCACTGTTCCGCTGACCCGCCTCCACGCAACATCTTCCATCTTGAACAGGGAAGAGTCGCAGTCTTGGCCGGCGTATCCGGAGTAGTTTTCGCACTGCCAGGCGAAGAAGGGTTGCTGTCGTCCGCCAATGAGTTTGACGTCCTCGATGGTAATGTTTCGGGCGACCCCGTAACCGCCACCTCCACCGTTGGGGGGGTACCCTCTTGAGATGCCAGCCCATGTCTTGAGGTAGGAGACATGAGCAGTATTCTTGAGAGTAATGTTTTTCGCATAAAAGTTTTCCAGATACTCGTATCGGCCGTTGTATTGTCCCATGGACCCGATGGCTATGCCCTGTCCATTCTCGAAATAGCTGTCATACACAGCAATGTTACTCGAGTTCATCTTGAGGGCGATGGCATCGTCGCCGTTGGAGACGGTCCATCTTCTGAAAGTGATGCTATCTGAAAAGATAGTGTCGCAACCGTCCGTGTTCAGCGTGCTCCACTGGCTTGTCGAAGTACTGTTGACATAAATGTCATCCAGCTCAACATGCTGGGAGTACGTAATGGCCATTGTCCACATCTGGCTTTGGACGAAGCGCATCCGTCGGATGACGGAGTTGGTGAGGGTGCGCAAGTTGATGTTCATCGGTCGGTGAGGCAGGTTTCCTTGACTCCTAGCCCAGTCATACCAGACTTGACCGTTGCCATCAAGCGTACCAACACCCCAACCGTCCCAGATGACATTGTTGCCCCCAAAGTACCAGACCGTACTCTGATTCTGGAAGCCAACGGGCATAGATACTGAAAGCCAGTAGTCAATGTCCGTGCTCCAGAGCATGCGCCCAAATTGATAAATGACAACATCTTCCAGGTTCAAGGTCGTCATGTTTGTCTGGATGTTGTACACGGGCCCAGGGAAGATGACAAGGCTCCTTGAGTTGCATTTGTTGTTGAGAGCATCCATTATGGCCGGTGCATCATCACCGCCGTCGGCATCAGGTCGAACATAGCAGAAATGGCGACCTTGAGCCGCCGCGTGGTTTGCCCAATGGGATTCCGTCTGAGCAGCATTTGCCTCCCTGCCCATGAGATCAGGGGCCGAAGATGACACTGCGAGAGCGATGGGCAATGCCGCCAGAATGATGGACGATAGCGCCACCATTCTGTCGAATGTTGGTATAAGCAGACAAACGACTGATTATCAGCAATCCGTAAATCTGATGAAGAGAATCCGGCTCTGGATAAGACAGCTTGATTGTCAGACACTTGACGAGTCGCCGATGGTAGGCACCTGTGTCTACGTCTTAGCCACTGTATCGACTCGCCCAAGGTCCGCGCGAATTGCCTCTTATTTATGTGGCTTTCCAACGAACTATAGCGCATTCGACATCCTGATAGCACTCTTTAAGCAGGAGCCGTACGATGTTTCCTTGCGTCACAGCCTAGATTGAACCCCTCCGGGAACAGGCCAGCACTAAGCCAAATCATGCAAAATGTTGCCGTGCCCATATTTAGACATCCAAGACAAACAAGCAGCTACGAGTATAGCACGATCCAAGTCCGAGGCGAACGTACAGCGAATCATACCTCATTATCGATATGTTGCGAAATGCTACTTCGTGTGCCAAGGCCTTTTTTTCCGCCCGCCGCCTTGGACGCAGGGTGGGAACCTACAAGTTCGCGTTCGCGTCAATACCAAGCCTCCCTGCGCCGAGGACGTTGGTAGTTGTGGCTTGCCGATCCAATCAGGAGATGAGATGACGTCTCAGATGGTCCGAGATGCTGTGAAGCGCTGCGCGCTCTCGGTTATAATGGGAGTTGTTCATGCTGATCGGCCGAGCATGGCTCGCTAACTAGGTACCTTGCTTGTGCTTGAGAGGCTCGTGAAGTCACCGACTTCATGACCGTGCCCAGGCAACTCTATCAAATGCCGCTAGTACTTTCTTGCCGGGGCAATACCCCAGGTTTTGCTACCCCCCCACTTCGGGATATGAATGACACGAGACCTTGGCGGTGGAGAGAGCAGAGCCGTAGGCGGAGGGTGAAAGCAGCTACTCCTTACAGAGTCCCGGCGCCTAATCAACACATTTTGTGGCACGAGGCCGGATCATCGGCTTTTAATCCTACATCATGTACGACATGCTTGCTGAACTAAGTTGGCGTCGTCACATTACACCGGCGGATATGGCTTTCGATGAGCCGCAGATTGAAGCATATATTGCGGGAGACGGATCTAGAACCCTGAACAAGCAAGATGTATCAGGTCAGCCGGTGTGCAGTGCGTGTAAAGGGTGCCATTGTTGGGTCCACAGCAGCGTCACACATAATGCAGCTGCTACCACGACTTGCACGAAATGAAAACGTGTTGGATGCAATGTGGTCTCTGTTGGGTTACATTTGGCAGGATACTCGGTCAATATTCAAGAAACTGATGCCCAAGACATGTTCATGCTCCTGGTGGATTATCTTGAAGAAATCCACTCGTAGAGGGCCAAGACAGGTTGAACGTCTGTCTTCATCGCCTCATGGGCCATGACGCTGTGCTTGTTTGTCAGCTCATCAGCCTGTGACCATCAGGCTCTGCCTATTTGGCATGAGAATGAACAATTGCGCACCTTGCTCAGCCGTCAGGCATCAGTCCCCATATGGCAGGAACACAATGCTAACAACGCACCAATTACGCTATGGCATTGGCTAGGTGCTCGCTGGGAAGAAAGAGGAGTCCATGGCGTTCTTGTTTCCGCGATACTACAGTTGTTCAGTAGTTTCTTGACTCTCAGCGACTCCTGTCGGCATTAACCCGTTGCAATTTGCCAATTGCTCAAATGCTTGTGGCCCGGTGCTACGCATGCAACAGAAGCAATGTGACAGCCCATTTCAACTGGGACAACCCATTACCTACCTGTTGCATGGCTCTCCCGAGACTTCGGCCTTGATTTTGGGTGTCCAATGACTTGGGCACATGATGGTACATTGGTAATCGCTGTAACGCCGGAAATCCTCAACGCACGTTCACTGGGCATCAATATCGGGAAAGATCAGCGAGCGGGGTGATACGTCAAGGATGGCATCAGGCCCGTCGAAGCCTGAATTGAGGGGAAAGTATGGAGGTCGCTTCTTGTATACAAGTTTTATCTTTAAATGGGTTTTGAGGTCGAGTTGGTGAACGCGACGATGGTACTAGAAGAATTGGGTGTCGCGTGTAAGCCAGGCACAGACACACGTGGTGGCATGGTGCTTGGTGTTTTAGTATTCTGTGCCGGCAAAAATAAGACTATTAGCCATGCCATCTCGTCAAAGGAAGCGAATCAAGACCATTAGGTAATATTATGTTGGGCGTTGAGAAAGACCCTGTCCAACATCATTGTTGATAGTACCTTACGTACATAGGTATGTGGCCGTACCCTACATATCAGGCGTAAGATACACCAAATTGCTCACATGCAGTGAGCACACAGCGTTTCGATGCCCTCGCTCCGATCTAGCAGGATATCCATCTCAAACCTGTTGATGTACCCCCTGCTAACTTGTGTCCTACCACTTCTATGTATGGCCGCCAATGAGCATGTCGACCGACCAAATTGAGCGTTGATCATGAATAACCTGGTGCTATCACAAGATGCGACAAGGCGAAGAATTTCTTGGCCGACGCTTTACCCAGGTATACAGGAAGCACATGTTCAAACTTGTCCTGGAGATTACTATCACTGTTCTTCAGTTCGTCCCAAGCTTATGTGCTATTACTACATTCTTCCAAGTACTGAGTAATAGATCCGTCATCACGATTGGCTCTCATGGGGCAAGAAAGACGCCTTCTCACGAGAAATTAATAGACCCACTAAAGAGGCCGGCACACGAGCAGAATATTAGTCGTGATAGAATTTTCCTTCTGCTTACAAAAGACACGACAGAAGAATGTATCATATGCTAAAACCCGGGGTTCCAGGCCACTCACTTTTGCGTCTTCAATGAGGCGATGATACCCTGCGTCGCCTTGTTAAACTACCTACCCGGTAGGTGTCACTGTCACAATGGCGTCAACATCGACCACGACTGCTATCGAGCTCGTCGCGAATTCCTCTCCAAGCCCTGGGTGGAGTCTGCGCCACGCCAATCTCAACCATGACAAACCACAGCCATCCACGACAATCGATACCGTTGCGGATCATGTTCTTGTGGCCTCTCGAGAAGTTGATTCAACGGCTCCCGAGGGAGGATATGGCTGGGTCATCGTGGGCGGCGGCTTTGTTCTGCTGTGGTGGTCCCTCGGCACGACATATGCCTGGGGCGTGATGCAGACCGCCTTGGTTGCGGATGGCCTGGCTGATCCGGCGGTGCTCTCCTTTGTCGGGTCGCTGCAGGCGGCCTTGATTTCGGCGCTGGCCATTGTGAACTCGTTGGTCGTGCGGAAGACGGGAGTACGTGCGGCAGCAATGCTGGGAGCGGCGTGCATGGGCGGCAGCGAGATTCTCAGCAGCTTCACAGTCACGAATGTCGGCGCGTTATTTTTTACCTCTGGCGTGGTGATGGGGCTTGGTGTCAGGTGAGAAGCGACAGAAGCAGCATCCTCATTGTTCCCCATTGCTTCATTCTTCCTCTCCATCATCTCATTATGCCCAGTCTCGAGTCCAAGAGGTATCAAGAAGGCTGCTAATCAAGATGGTTACAACAGCCTAATCTTCGCCGTAAGCTCAGTCTCATCTCACCGACCTCCACACGCTCCCTTGAACGCAAGCATGCGCATCAGGACCGAGCACAACATACAAACAGGAACGCAGAGCATCATGAACCTGATATTGAATACGAACTAGGTGATATCGACGGTTCCGTCGCAATACTTCAGTTCAAAACGGGGCCTGGCCAATGGCTTCATGTTTGCCGGAAGCGGCTTCGGAGGCGCAGCAATCAGCTTTGCATTGGACTCGTTGATTCACAAGTTAGGCGTTGCGTGGGCATATCGCATCCTCGGACTGATGACGCTCTCAACAGGCCTCCCCGCTGCGTGGCTCATGAAGGAGAGGATTCCAGTTGAGCGACGGGGGTTCATTGAGTGGTAAGACATGCAGTGACACACAGCCTCACTGGCTTGACACTGTACTGATTGAGTGCCCAACTGACTGAATGGTTGTTCAATCAGGAAGCTGTTCAAGTCACCGACCTTTGTGCTAGTCTTCATAGGCAGTGCAATAGGGACCTTCCCCTTGTTTGTCCCGCCATTCTTCATTCCACTATACACAAGATCCCTGGGCTTCTCTACCAATGTAGGGGCTGGCTTGGTTGCGGGCTTCAGCCTCTCGTCTGCAGCTGGTCGCATTCTCTCAGGCTTTGCATCCGATAAAGTTGGCTCCATCAATACCGTCCTCGCGTCGCTTGTCTTGACAGCCGTCACGATGCTCGCAATTTGGCCAACATCCACAGCCTTGGCGCCACTCATCGTTTTTGTCGTCATCAACGGTGCTGCCAATGGAGCCTTCTTCTCTACCATGCCAACAGCCATCAGCAAGGTGTTTGGGAGCGCCAGAGTGGCTGTTGCAATGAGCATGGTGGTCACTGGCTGGGTTGGAGGGTATCTAATGGTGGGTTTGCACTTCCCTTCTGTGTCCCGTGTGACCATTGACAAGCATCATCTGACTGGATTGGCTCGCCTACAGGGAGCCCCAATTGCGGGCTATATATTGGAAAGCTTTGGCGGCGCCGATGGCGGTTTACATGCCTACCGACCTGCCATGTTCTATGCTGGTGCGCTTGCGCTTGCATCCGGAGTCTTCATATTTGGGGCCCGATTCTGCATTGATAGTTCACCTTTGGCTGTCGTGTAGAGGTTGGGTTATTACTCCGTAAGGGAGGTGATGGCTAACCGAAGAGACCGCAATAATCTAGTTTGGACCGCTTTGGCCCTTTTAAGAGTAGTGTTACAAACATGGAATAAGCCCCTTGCCATAAGTTCAAAGATCCTTTGTCCTCTCTTCTGCTTCTGCAATCCACTCTCTGAGCTTAGCTTCGTCTCGCGGTATGAGTCCGATTTTGAATGGTTTCGGATCAGTGGTCAGCGAGGTGGGCGTGGCGTTGCATTCGATCGGGTGGATGATTGGAGCTTGGTTCGGCTCCTTTGTTGGGACAATCTCGAAGCTCGTGATGAGTCGGATATAGGCCGTAAAGAGTTCTCGGTTGGCGAGGTGGGAACCAGCACACATTCGGGAGCCAGCTCCATATGCATAATGAGGCGTGCCAATCTCCTTATCCTCCAAGAATCTCTCGGGAATGAATTGCTCCGGAAGCTTGAAGCGAGCCTCGTCATAATCGGCCGCGTAAGCGTTCTGAGGAAAGAAACTGTCAGCACTGACACTGCGACACCGTTTGGCTGAAAATGTGGCGTCTCATGAGTAGGTAGGTATACTGACCATAAAGAATGTTGTTCCGGCAGGGATGACTGAGCCCTCATAAGGAATATCTGCAATGTTCATCCGAGGAAGGCAGATCGGAATGACCGTCCAAAAGCGAAGGGTTTCTTTGACGAGTGCCGTGACATAGGGAACCTTTTCTTCAACGAGGCACTTTTCCCAGGCATCCCCGTTGGGATATGCCTGCTGGATGGCTTCTAAAGCCTTGGCTTGAATACTTTGGCCATGTTCGGTGGAAAGATACGCCATGCCCATGATGATGTTCCCAGGCACCGTATCTAGTCCGGCAGACACCATGGTCAAGCAGATGGACTTTAGTTCAGCTAGAGGAATCAAAACGTGTTAACATGCGAGAAGATTGATAGACGGGTGAAGAAAGAGGGTGCTGACCTTCGTTGAGCCTGGCCTCTGGGTCTTTCAGGATGTTCCCAGTAATGCAGGGCTTATCCGTACCGTTTGCGATGCGCTGCTTCAGATCGTTGAGCATGTCGGTCAAGTATTTGTCCCGTCTTAGGCGATATTCTTCCGCCTTGGTATTTGTCTTGCCAAATATGCGAAGGAGCGGAATGTAATCCTGCCAGTTGTTGCTCGTTGACCGGAAATTGGATATCTCGCGCTCAACATGCGTGATTTCCGCCAAAAGGTCGTTATTGATGTTTCCATCAATGCGAAAACCGTAATTCAGGGTCAGTGATGTGTTGAGCGCGAACCGTGCCATGTACGGACTGGGATCCACGTCCTGCGAGCCACTCCTACAGTCGTTGAGCAGCTCCTTAATGCTCATTGTGGACTCGAGATCGAGGATAGGCATGTACGACTGGACAGCAGGGCGGTTCAATGCTGTAGCGGCTGCCTTGCGGCGGCGTTTGCAGGACTCATCCCAGGGAGACGTTCCGATGGTAAATCCTTGGGATGAGGAGACAACCGAGTGAAAGGTATGAAACGTCGGGCGGGATATGAGAGACGACTGGTGGGTGATCCAGAAATATTTCACTGCGTCGTAGGAATTGACAAATATAATCCGCTATTGTGTATATCGCGTCAGCGGTGATTTCTGCTCTCTGACCGTCAGGAGGGATGGGGAGCGAGAGAAACACACCCTATTGCCCAGGCGGGCTTGAAAAACAGGTCCGTACTGTAATGCCCATTTCTTCGCTACTCGAGCGTGGTCGACCCCAAGCTGAAGCAGATTGCCGAAAAGGGGAACACCGGGAATCTCAGGAATCCCCTTGACCTTTGGCGTATCGGTTGCATTGAGTATTTTGAGCACAATAAAGACGGCGGCGATGACTGCTATCCCCAAGATTTGATATGCCATGTTGCAGATGTGAACACCCACTTGTAAAGTTTGGTGCCCCTCAAATCTTTGCTTTCTCAACACAGTGTGTAACCCTCGTGTCTCGCCCAAGATCAGCGACGCGCCATATCAGCTTCTTGACAAAGCAGACATGTGAGGAGCTACTTATATGCGTGTGAACGCTAATTGTTTGAGTTGTGTCGGAATCATGAACTGCTCTTTATTGCGGTTATGACGATTGATGCGACAAATAGGCTTCTCGTTACTGGCTCCGCGTCACGAGAGGGGCGCGGGTAGTAAGCGGATCATGCGGGGAAGAGATTCTAGTACAACTAGGTTGTGAAGCTTGGTATGTAGTAGTACTAGTACTAGTATGGAGTTTGGCGACGTGGTAATAGGTACAGCAGGGCAATCGAGGGCTAAATCCGAATCCGAATCCGACTCCGACTCCGCCCAGCAGCACCCCAGAGTGAAGGCTTCACCGAGTTCTCTCACTGTCGTGGCCGTGCAATAGGGGGTTAGAGAGGGCCAATGCTCTGAGTTGGGTCATGAATGCCCGCCTTCCCCAGCGAGTCTCTAATGGCACCCGATGCCTGAACCTTGTGAGAATGCATTGCTGACTCGTATCAACCGTCCATACCTGCGACTATCGATCGTCGCGAAGCATATTGTCACCATGTTTCGACATGCGGATCACCGCAATGACCAGAGGCCCGGAGCGCGACGTCTTCCCTCTGCCTGACCTTCTTCTTCAATCGATTGGTTTCAAATGATTCTCCTCTGAAAAAGTCCAAATAGACCCGTCGATGGCGGTCTCGGCCACTTCTGATGAGCTTCATCCACCAAGTCGATCAGTTCCTCAGGATGCCACGAAGCTAATTGGTCGAATGCCGTGCCTGAACGATATTTCGCTCCTGGGTCGACTATGTTTCGTTTGCACAACCGCCTCACAACCTCCATCTGCCCAGTATATGCAAGGTCCTTGAGCTCCGTGGCGGCACCACCAGCTACATCTCCCGGGGAGACATCTAGGTGCCCTAGGAGAAGGTGGCCCATCATCTTCACATACCCTTTGACTTTGCCATGTTTCAAATGTGCTTCGCATGTTACTAAATGTAATAGAGGCTCATTGTCGGCACTTATCATGAGCTCTTCTACATTTTCCGCCCTGAGAAGATGTTCCATGGCCTCCAGGCAACCATGTCGCGCGGCCTCTTGGAGCGTTGACAACCGTCGGCCGGACCGGACTGTGATGTCAGCACCTGCTTTGATGAGGATCATGGCCGACTGGTCGTTTTCCATGCAGAGAGCGTGAATTAGGGGGTACTCGGATCCTGAGCGTCTGTTGATATCGATTCCTGAGTCAACAAGGAACTGTGTAACTAGGGCATTTTGTTCATGAGGACGGGGAGTGCCGGCGACCTGCAAACTCATCGAGTACAAGTGCTCGAATATGGGGACGGTGTCGATATCGGCACCCGCTTCCACAAGAAGCTTGAAACACGCAAACTTGTTGTCAGATGCCGAGTATGCTGCAGCGGATATGGGTGAACCATGATCCCGATATCGTACGTGTAGTAACGACCTCTTTCGTGAAAGAAGAGCCTCGATCACTTTTGTGTGGCCCCAGAAGGCTGCATCTTCCAATACGTTCCGATTGCTTGAGATGCGGTCGTTGTCTTCGTTGATAGGGACTGGCTCACGGATCAGACACCCATCCGCGATAAGCAGCATGGCAATTCCTTCCAGCTCTTGGGGATTGTGCTCTCTGCCATAGTCGTAAAGTGTCTCCAACGGAGTTCCGTGGAACAATCCAGGCCGAGCAGCGGCGGACAAGCCAGGAAACCTCGCAAGTATCATCTTGGTCGCTTGTGTGCTGCGAACCCTGTGCAGTACGTTATTTCGGTATAGGTCACGCGTCGGATCAGCCATTGCATCAAGGAGAAGCCTCATATTGTCCAAACGATCATGCTGCACTGCGTGAACCAGCGCATCATGGGCCCCTGCGCCCAACTCAAGCAGTCTTGCCACAATCGCCGTGTTTTCCTGTTCTGCTGCGTATTTCAGCGCTGCGGTCAATGCCGCGCTATCAAAGCCCTCTTCAAGGAGTCGCCGAAAGACATCCATGTTCCCAGACTTTGCCGTTGCGCCGAGGGCATCGCACATCTTGTGACAGCTGATCTTCGGGTCTGCCCCGGCCGCCAACAGCAATTCTACCGCTGGAAGATGCCCTCGGGAAGCTGCCTGGTGTAGAGGAGTCGTGCCGGAATGCTCCGTCTGGTACCTGTCGTAAAGCGGCGGCTCATTCCAGATTTTCTTCAGGTCGATATTGGCGCCTCCGTTCACTAGGATGCGCAAGGCATCTGTATTGCCGTTCCAAGCCGCCAAGTGCACAGGAGCCCATCCATAGGTATCAAGAATATCTGGAAATGCTCCTCTCGAGAGCACCAGTTTCATGGTATCCTGGCTGCACAACTGAGAAGTAACGTGCAGGAGAGAGGTCAGTCGTCGAGGTACTTGCATTGACACCAGCTCAGGTGGTTCCAGCAGGCTCCGGTCATAATATCCCGGGACCTCGCTCAGATCAATGTTGGCTTTATTGATCACTTCGAGTGAAGTCTGCCGCAGGAGCTTTTGGAACGCATTCGTAGCCTCGTCTGCCAATGCTGCGCGCACAAGATAATAGGGCCATCCTCTTTGTATGTCAAGAGCCACCGCTTTGGCGTAGAGAATGTCTCTCAGTAAAAAGTTGATCTTCTTGCATGTTAACGTCCAGCAACACAATTCAGAGAGTTGAAGATGCTCGGCGATCAGGCACAATAGTTCCAAGCTAATCTGATCCATGACGTGAAGCAACAGGGCGCCGGTGTGGAAATGAAGTGGTGCAGAATTGCGTTTTGTGCTTACTTACTAGTCCATCCATGGCGATTGAGGGCAGATTATATCCTTATCTACATATCTTATTAGGGAGGAGTCAACACCCCATACCATCCTACCATTGCAATTAGAGGCTAGAATCTTACACGAAGTCAGCTCTGAATCTAGGCGTTAAATGGCGCACTTTGTGGCAGTCCACCCCGTAACGGCCGTTGCAGTCGAATCCAAGCATCGGCAACCCGTCAGTCCAGGATATTGACCTAGCTAGCTGCGTAAATGCATCAATTGAAGCCATGGGCACAAAGGTGCGGTTACTAGGTAGTATCATGCCGTCGTGACTGTCTCAACGGTTCTCTAAAGCTGCACGTAGGAGACGCCAGAAAGGCTTTATATTCTTATACGATAAGAATGTAATTCAGCTGGACTATCTTGGGACAGTGGTAGGTACAAGGCGCAATGGACGATGTACAGTATATGATTCTGGAATCATGCGTCGTCTGATGCGCAGCAAAGGGCGATAGTTCAAATCCTCAGCTATTGCCAGATCTGGATAGCTGAAGCAAGGCTTTCTGAAGAAGGGTGGTACATTCTGGAGGTCTTTTGCATTGCGATAGTCCCTATACATTCGAAGTGGCAGTATCTGTCTTTGCAATAAGACAGGCAATATCCCCGGGTGTTATGTTGTCAAGCTCTACTTGTTAGCTGCTGCTCGCTCAGCCAGATAGCGCTGGATATTTGGGCGGGCATGGATGGCCTCCCTCAGCTTCTTCAGCGGCTCTGACAGGGTATCCTAGCGGCGGTCGTCAGCACGAGCTCTATTGCTCCGAAGAATGCACATGTTGAGGGTCAACGTACAGGGCCGCAGCCAATGCACTCGTCGTTATCGAGAGCTTGAAAGACGGCAAAGTCGACGTAGGTAGGCCTGCTGCCCAGCAGGTAGGGGCCACTGTTATCCAGGGAGTAGAAATGGGTGAAGAGATCGTTGAATTTCGTAACGTGCCTGTCCTTGTAATCGGTCGCCTTGGCGGTCAGTTGGTTAACCCAACCAGTCTGAAACGAAGGTAAGCTGAAGTCACAATTGCTGAACGTTATAGGAGCGCAGTAAGTTTAACATTTAGGATTACTTACTCGCCAGTCATTGTACAAGTCAGCTACAGCGTCGACGAGATACTTTTCGTAGTTTGTTTCACCATCGTAGGCACCGGAGCGGCGTGCAAGATAACGAAGAATGGCAAGGTGCTAGAATTGGCTCCCCTTTATTAGCAAAGCTGGCCCATCGTGCAGTGACGCATCACGGCGGCGGCAATCGCAGCACAATTGCGCCCTTACCTGATAGAGCCTTTTGCCATCAATTTTCAAGACTGGCAGAGTGCCAGTGATGCTAACTCCCAGAGATTTATTGACGCCTGGCCAGGTATCATCGTATTCGTAGTATTTATCCTCATACTCGATATTGAGCTCTCGCAAAAACACTCTGGCTCGGGCATTAGCAGGTCGTACATGAAGATGTGGCAGCATTCGAGTCCTCGTTACCGGACGATTTCACCCCTACCAAGGCTTCCCAGGCGGAAGTAGTGAAGTACTGGAGTGGACATGGTCATAATGGCACTGAAGACAATGTGCGTGTAATAGGTAAGAGACCTGAGATGAGCCGGTTCTCGAACTTCCTCCCACCTCTACCTATATATGACTACCCAGCTCCAGAAAGATTCCATTCATTGAGACAGCCACCCAACATGATTATTAATAGTTTGGTGGTAGTTGTCACTTTTACGGGATAGCATAGCATAAGGTAGCCTGATGGATGCACTCTACTGGTGGCCTTGTTGCCCCTACCTTAGGTACCTAGGTTAGTAGTCAGAGAATTCCCTTGGGTACTCGTCTGTGTTTTAATCTTAGCAACCCACCATGTTACTCAACGGAGCGAGAAACAAGCATGGTGAGCATTGCTAGGCCCTTCATTCTGTTGAAAGCTGCGGGGACACAGCCTGTTGACCCTTCTTCCCCGCTGTATCACTAAGCGGAAATTCCGGGTACTAATCGATCATCCATCCGCCCGAGCCTCAATGGCGGCGGCAGACAGAGTAGTGCACGCGGCGAAAGCGGCGAAAGAGCGGTGTCAGAAGTTTTGGTACTCAAACGAACGAAATGATTTCTATGTTGTCCCTTCGATGCGGAAAGGTTGTGGGAAACACTGTTGCGAATTTGTTACATGACCCTAGCTGCTACAGCACGAGGGCTACAGCGTTAACCGCAATGCCAACCATTGCATAGGTACATGCAGAGTATTCTCATCCTGCGATGGCCGGAAAGACTACTTTCGCATACCAAGGCCACAATATTGAGTCACTGGGAAGAGGGATCCTCCCCGGATACTTCACATCTCCCCAAGTATATCTCAAACGTTGTTGACCCAACTCCAGCCATGCTTGATGTCAGGAGACTAGCTCCTCTTAGAAGGGATTACTGCTACCAGTCTTTAGACCCTGAACCCAAGATGTATTCTCTATGTACTTGGTCCCATCATACTTAGGTCAGCCAGCTGGGCTCAGCGTTGCCCGATGACAGTAGAGCAGAAGAGGGCATTCCTAACACCTTACCTAAGGCTTGATGACAACACGCCCTACTGGTACCTGAGACGGAGCCAGGCAGATCAGATCAGCCTTGCTCTCCAAGGCTACTAATTGACGCCATGGCGCATTTGATCGCTGCCGGCCTACACAAGCGGGTCCGTATAAGTTCAAGAATCATGCCCTTGCTTGTAGTCTAAATTTTGAACAACTGATTAAATAGGCACTCTGGAGAAGCTCATCTGCAACAAGTCGACCGAGAAATTCTTCTTTAGGCGCAAAAGCCATGGGAGCTGATCAGCCGTATCATTCACAGAGACCCTGGTGTGCTAAAGAGTTGAAGTAGGATGGGTATTGCACTTATGAAGAAGGTAAAGTTTGTTCCATTATGAAATATATAAGGCTGAGGAGTTGATGAGAAACCCTCCAAAACGCAAGGTATTACTCACGCTTTACCTGAATCCAGAGCAGACATCCTGGTAAACGTTTTGTTGCAGGGCAGCTGCGTTTGTTGGGATGTAGTTGAGGTATGTAGCATATGAGTAGGTCCAGCGAGGATCATTGAGTTCCGTCTTCCAGGTCCAGTAGATCCATCCGTCCATTCCAGGAGACTCGTACAGCTGCTGCTGAGCTGTGAAGAACTTCTTGAAGAAGTTTGCGTCATGCCAGTCGGCACCAGATGTCATGCTCCATTCGCCCGTAATGGCAAAGTCCTGACCGCTTACAACTCGAGAGTCGGTGCAAGCACTGTGCATGAGAGAGTACTGGTCACCGGTGTTGCCAAGGGCAAAGCCAATGTAGTTGTGATCGTCAAAGCCTGTCATGGGGTCATTCTTGACTGCAGCGTTGCTGCGAGCATCGCCAGAGTCCCACTTGCTAGACATGAACTGCACATGCAGCTTCTTGTTGCTGGGAACATTGAGCGCAGCCTCAGCATCGCGGACAGCCTTGAGGGCGCCCGGGTAGTAGGTCTGCACAAGACTCGGGTCTTGGCCAGGGGCCGGGTAGCGATTCCCCCCATCGTGCCTCGAAACCGGCTCATTGAGAACCTCGATCATACCGACGGTTGAATAGGCGGGGTTCGTGTGGATGCGGTTTGTCATCCATGATAGCCACTTCTCTGCACGGCCATAGTCGTACGAGTTGTAAAAGCCCGCGGGGTTGGGGTTTTGGCCCGTGAAGACGTCCTGCTGCTGACCGCCAGGGGCACCGTGGAGATCAATAATCACGTAGATGCCGAGATCAGCGGCCTTCTGGACGACGGCATCGAGGTACGGCAGCATGAGGTTGCCATCAGCAAACGGCTCGCTCGCCTTGTCGACGATGTCGACATAGGACCAGTATCCAATGGGGATACGAATGGTGTTCAGACCGACATCGTGGACCGACTGAACAGTGGCAGGGTTGATCCAGTCTCGCCAGTGGTTCTGGAACTTCTGGTTTCCAGCGGCGCGGTTGTTGCCCGAGTAGTGCTGAAGCATACAGTCGAACTCGGAGGCAGCGCCGTTACAGCCCATGACGTTATTCCACTCATTGGACATCATCCAAGGCTCGCAAATCAGCCATCCTATGAATGGCGCGTGAGCTACGAGTCGCTGAAGCTTTCGCGGTATCGGACATTGACTTACCACCAAAGTTTACACCACGGATCTTTGTGATGCCAGAAGCCAACGAAGGCTCAAAGCGCTTGCCGAGCTTCTCATATCGAAGTGTCTGGTTGAAGGCTGCCAGATCGCGGTCCTGGGGAAGCCACGCAAAGGCGGTGCCGGCGAGAAGGGCCGGAGCAACAATGGAGTATCTCATCTTGGCTGGTGAGCTGTCGGACTTGTCCAAGAGTTGAAGATGAGCGACGCGAAAGCCTTCTGTTTAGTTGCCAGGGACCAAACAGACTTATATACAGACTTAAACTGAGCTCTATTGCTGTATGGCCTGTTCCTGAGGTTCCCTACTTTGTACGCCCTAGCGAGTGAGTAACAAACGGTAGCCCGGTACTTCTTCCTCAGCTATGGTTTGTATCGCATCATCTGGTCCCGCGTTATGCGTGTCGAGCTATGATCTACCAACCATACAATACGAGTTCAGCGCAGGAGAACGCCGGCCCGATTCATTGTAGCATCTTGATTTGGTACTCACAACGTGAGCACATACGCCTAGCCCGAATAAGAATCTGATTAAGCTTACTGTTGCAGATAGCTTCAGACGAGAGTGGACCTTCCTCCTCCATTAAGGCTCAATTTTCCACTTTCCATGCAAATCGAGTCGACTTGTGCCGCTAGCTTCCGTCCAAGGGGCGACTGGCAATCTTATTACTTTGCAGGCGCATGATACTAGTCAGCAATTCTATCAATAAACAAGGCAGAGCGAACGGCACGACAGAAGGCCCAGCCGGGATCGGGCAATTCGAGAATTAACGGAGAAGTGTGAAGGGCTCTCGCATCCGATGTCCGCCGGACACCGCACGCATCACTAATCCATAAAGGGGTTATGGCAAAGCCTTCCAGGCTGACATATTTCCCTCCCCTTTGAAAGCTGTGAGGGTGTCTTGGGTGTGTCACGTAGGCACTGCTGCTGCCGCTAATACAGGCTTTGCCTCTTAGATAGCCAAAGGTTCAGTTCTTCGTACGGATCTGGATTTTATATTTAGACATAGATGCTAGCTCACTCAGCAAGCTTATGCCTATGTATTACATTCAGCCCCGATTAAATGCATCGTTGCTGCTGAACAACCTGTCACACAGAATGCCAGCTTCGGCTTCAGACAAAGTCGCGGGCAGTGTCGATCACCCCTGGGGTTTCGCGCAAGGCATGAGGCATTCACTCTCCTAAAATTAGCGCGTACACGTCTGTGTCGCACGATGGGAATCTCGGCCTTGTCTTGAGACCGTCATATATCGGCAAGTCGTCGCTATGTCCCAAACCAGCAGTTGAAATAATTGGTGTCCCGCTGAGTGGATTGGCGCATATACAGGCTTGCAAAAGCATGAAGCAGGTGAAGAATTGAATTAGGGAACTCGTGTTCTCTGGCTCTCGATTGGCCCATGAAGCGTTGCCGACTCGCAGAAACTAGACGTAGTTGGCTGGAGTTGGTTGTCGAGTTGTCAACTTCTCATTCAGACCTAGACGTTGGGACTTCAAGCTGTCTCGCAAATCCGATTTGTTAACTTTGAATACGACTTGGTGCCGAGACATTTTTGTTTCCGTGACCGAGTTCAAGAGATGCGCGGCAAGACATAAGCTCGGTGCCTTCAAGTGTCCAAGTAAACCTGTCCACAAGCTGCAGCCTCAAAGCGAGAGGCCTGGGTCATGTCCAAAAAGTTTGGAGCTACTTCACAAGCTTCTCAACTAGGTATTAATAAACTGAGTTCGAGACCATTTGAAAGGCGGAGGAGCTTAATAGCTTATTTCCATCACACATACAAGGGTGTCGTCTGCTATTACAAGACGACTGAGAATCAACCCTTAGATAAGGGGTGCTGATAATTTCGAAGTTGGCGAGCTTTTGGGGCTCCACTACTTAATGTGGCAATTCTGTACACTATGAAGTTGCTGGCAGTAGAGGAATGTTGTATGCGTTACCTCTTTGTTAACCACAGCATTCTGATCTGTCTGATAACAAAAAGTCAGAGGGTTCTCTGCACTATGTATAGGGCATAAAGCAGACATTAAGCGGAAAAAGAGCGGATTGTGAGGTGGCATGAAGAGATCCGATGTCACGACCAATAAGCTGCCCAAGATCCTAAGTTGGGGGACGTCCTCATCACGCACCATCGCTGCTGGCTTGGGTGCGCTTCAGAACTCGCTTGAAGCAGGCGCGCAAAGCCTCAATCATACGGTCTCACTAGCCTGTGTGAATGAGCTTGAATTATCAGACTGAGAAACGTCCGGTTCGACCTCCAGGACGCTATGTCGCCGTTCATCACGATGAGCCCTGTTCTGCTCTCTCATGCTGACAGCTACTCTGTTGGCCGGCCCGCTCACGGCAGCAAGGACGCTGAGCTATTGATAGTGTAGCCAAGACTGCTCTTCTTCCAAGGATGAGAATCTGGCCCAGCGTCATGGTGGCGGTAGCTCTTGTTCTTGAACCCTATATAAGGTATATTGAGGCTATCTGAAGGGTGCATTAGCAACATTTGAGTCGTCGACGTGATACGTCGTTTTTGGCTATGCTCTCTTCCCGAATAGAGCGAAATCCCAGATGCTCACCGCGCAACGCCTTGCTTGCAGGGTTCCATGGTAAATATGTACCTTATCAGGATGCGGAAGCCCCCCCTGAGATGAGTTAGTCATCAATTTGTGCATCCCTAGCGGTCGTGTGGGAGCCCCGATACAAGAGGTTCAACCTTCGCCTTCATCTGTACCTACCTAGGTAGTAATCTTCTATCTCTACTCAGTATATGCTTATGAGCCACAATGGCCCAACGTTATGAATTCGCCGAGCTCAAGCTCTCGAATGGGATTCGCCTACTTACAATCGGCTCTGGCGATCATGCGGCACCTTTACAGTGCTTCATTACGGAACACGCAATAGCAGAAGCCCCATTGTATGAGGCACTTTCGTACGCATGGGGCTGTCCTGACAGCAAAGACGAAGGTCGTCCTTCTATAACCTTGAACGGCCAACAACTTGACATATCGTATGCACTGGAGCAGGCACTGCGAAGACTACGAAAAGCCGATAGTGCGCGGGTTATGTGGATTGATAGAGTTTGCATCGACCAGGCAAACGAAGACGAGCGCACTGCCCAAGTGGCTCTTATGCCGTACATTTATCGCAGCGCAGCAAGAGTGGTTGCGTGGATTGGGGAGAAGACCCATGATAGTGATCGTGCGCTGTTGTTTCTGAAGGAAATGGCTATGCATCAGAAGTACTATCTACGGAACATTTGGCGAGATGGTGAACGATTAGGAAGCGACACAAGTTCTGAGTGTGGTGCTGGAGTTTCTGCCAGTCCTTCTGAGGGAGGGGCAAACTTGGTGAATGATGCATGGGAGCCCCTCTCACAGTATTTCAGCCATCAAGAAATTGAAGGGATGAAAAGGCTGAGTATAACAGATGTAAGATATAAGATTATGGACAACAACAAGCAGAACGGACACATTCTTACGGGTGTTCCTGTCTTGTATACCTCCGCGTACCATCCGTTCTTCGAGGATGCTCGACAAGCCGACTGGGAGGCTCTTGACAACCTTTTTGCAAGGCCATGGTGGTCGCGAACATGGGTGGTGCAGGAGATTTGGCAATCGAGAGAGGCTATCCTTCAGTGCGGGGACTCGAAACTCAAATGGACTACCGTGAGAAAGGCCATGCAGTACCAAGAGGCCTGGGACGATATGGGTTGCTTAGTTAGGAGTACTAAGCGATGGGAGCTTTGGGCCACTTTGAAGCGGCGATATGGGCTGGCAATACACATCTCTCAGAAGAGACTTTTCGCCAGCAAATTGTCGGATCTGCTGTGGAATATCTGGGATCGAGATGCTACTGATCCGAGAGACAAGGTATTCGCCATCTTGGGTCTTGTTGGAAAGGACTACAGCGACACTTTGCCTGATATAGACTATTCCAAGTCTATGGAGCAGGTATATCGAGAGACGGCGTCTTTCATCATGATGCGGGAGAAGACACTCGATCTTCTTCTCGCCGCGTCCGGTCTCCAAAGCCAAGGGACTTTGCCATCGTGGGTTCCCGACTGGAGGCGGGCGGCCAACGAATATCGACCAGCTCTCTTCATCAATGCCTCTTTGATGCGAATACAATGTTACTTCATTGGTTCTGCGGAGGCTCTATATCTCAATGGCCATGGATATTCTGCTTCAGGAGGACTAGAGGCTCGAGTGGCTTTCAATGATGATCTAAGCATTTTATGTGTTTACGGCCTGCTTTTTGATGCCGTAACGGAAGTTTCAGCAGATTGCGGGGCCTTTCCCAGTTATGATAACATCATTCGAGCTTCAGACTCTTTGATGAGAAAGTCATACCGGAACGGTCCGTCACTACCGAAGGCTCCTCTCGGTGAGAAGGAACTGAAGAGGATTCTTACAGCAGGGTCATTCATAGACCCTCATAGCTTGCGGACGGAGAGCCAGGTCATCGAAAATGTCATGAGGCTAAGGCGCTGTTTTGTCACGAAAGGCGGCCATTTCTGCGTTGGGCCCTCTAAAACGCAACCCGGAGACGTCGTCTCGATTCTTGCTGGCTGCAACTTCCCGATGGTCCTTCGACCCATTGGCAGCCGCTTTCACTTAGTCGGAGAGGCCTATGGTATGTCTCTCAATCTCAAAGGAGGGGTGTTTGCGTATGTAACTGACGAGTCCAGTTCCTGACTATATGGCTGGGGAAATACTAGAAGACTTTCCACTAGGAACATCCGAATGGGCCAGTATCCTCATACAATAGTGCTGCAGAAGTCCTTCGCTTCAATGAATGGATATTCTTGGGCCATATAAGGTATGTTGGTGGATCAAATAACGATCCTACCTCCGAGGCTAATGTTACGCTGGGCTGTAAGATACCAATCGTTCATGCTACTCAGACAAGCAAGTTTTAGCCACATTCGTTCGTGACCTTTGACCCTATTCAATCTTCCTATGATTCGGTAATCTCACACGTATTGGTTACCGTGCGTGCTCCCAAGCGAATCCTGAACGTGGACTATCACAGTCAAATTAGCTATGAGAACGCTTTGCGAGCGAGCTATTGATCTCAGCTTAGGATGCCAATATTGCCTCCCGTCACCTTCTTCCTAAGAAACACCGTTCGGCACGAAGAGCATCCCCAAACCATGACAATTGACTCGATTTGACCATAGCTGAATGGTATTTAGCAACCAATTGATTGAATCACAGATCTATATCGCGTAGGCTGTACCTTTTGGTGAGATATTCTCTTCGGCCACGACGCGCTCGAATCATGCCGTTGTTGTCTTTTCCATACCCGCTTCCACCATGAGATCATACGTCTTGAAGTCCCTTAGTGGCACCTTTCTTTGAAAGAGAATATCCAGCTCCTCAAAAGTTCTTCCCTGGCTTTCTGGTAATCTGAAGTGACACCAGATGGCACAGAAGAAGCTGATTCCGCCAAATAAGAAGCCTGCTTTTCCTCCCCAGTTGGCCTGATCACTGTTCAGCATATAGGGCATTGCGATTGTGCTGATGATGTTGAAGAAAGACTGAACCGCAGTAGAAACAGCAATAGACTTTGTTCGCAGTCGAGTAGAGGATATCTCGGATATAATGACGAAGCAGATAGGTCCAACTGTCATCTGATAGATGAATGTCCATCTGAACGTTCAAGACTCAGAATTAGCGATGCGAGGCCATGAGTATGCGGACCAAACCCTCAAACAGCGAACTTACACATCCATGCAGCTAGCCATTGCCCAGATTGCGCCGGTGTTATGCGCCGGGATGCTGAGAAAGCCAATGATAAAGAGCAGCAATGTCATCACCCACATGCCCGTGGTGTAGATTGTTCGACGGCCGAGATTAAACTAGCACCGCTTTCCTCAGATCCATCCTCGCCAAGCTCCGGGGCAAACTTACATAATTGAGCAGGAACCACGATGTGATGGTTCCGACGAATCCCAGTGCCGTGTTACCAACGCCCACTATAATAAATCTGTCAGTCAGGTAACACTTCATGCTGTTGCGCAAAGATCGGCCCTCACTATCGAATGCATCTGAAGGATCTAGGCCAGCTTGTTCGAAAAAGTAGTTTGCATAGCCGATGAGCGGGTTTCCCGCGATAACCTGAATGAGATATACCATGATGGTGATTTCCGTCCGTACCCGGTTGACGCCCTTGAATAGATCCCAGTAACTGGTTGTCGCTTCGAATTCTTGCTCCAACAAGTCAGTCTGCTCAACTCCAAGCAGCACTTGGTCGATATTTGGAGCATTCTTCGATGACGATAGTTTTACCAGGGCGCTGCGGGCATCATCTTTTCGCCCTTGGCGGACAAGCCAGTATGGGCTTTCCGGAGCAAAGGGCAACCCCACGAGGATGATCAAAGGCCAAAGCCATTGTAGTGCCTGAGAAAGTAACCGGGTTAACTGATGTAGTTTGGATGCAGGAGTTTCGCGTTATGCGGGGTCTAATACGTACAAAGGGCGCCTTATATGCCCATTCATCCTCCCGACCCTCAAGGCCAGCAGCAACTCCTTGGGCTATGAACTGTCCAATAACAAAGGCCAGATTTATAAAGGCCGTGAGTAGGCCTCGGAGGGCCAAGGGGCATATTTCGGACGCGTACGTCGGGGCTATCACCACGTAGAACCCGTAAGCTAAGCCGCCGAGGATTTCGCCAGCACAGAGCATCGGAAGAGATGTGGCAAAAAACTGCACAAAGACGAATCCGATGGACCACACGCAGCACACAGCCAGAGTCCATCTACGTCCAAAGCGTTCCATAGGATAGCCGCTGGCAAGTGCGCCCAGGACTTGGCCGATGGGGTTGCCCATTCCAAGGGCAGTCTGCCATGGAGCAGGGATTTCGTAGGAGCCGCCGACCAGATTTCCGTACCTCGTTTGGAACGCCGGAAGAGCATAGAAAGAGAAGATGATTTGACCGTCGTAGCCTGACATGATGACAGCAATGCTGAAGAACATGGCCCAGAATGTTGCCGTGGGATACTGTCGCATAGCTTGCCAGAAGCCCAGTTCGTGTTCAACACGGGTGATGTCGCGAGTCACATCGATGTGAACAAGCTCGCCCTTCTCCGTGGCCCTCGCATCGTGCCCCCTCGCAGCTGTCTCTTCATGCTTCTCCATGGTGGGATCGCGAGTTCCAGAGGCCAAAGAGTTGGCCAACAGCTCCCGACGCGATGCTGTGATTCATGTGGGGTGCGTTGGATCGGAGAAAGGCAAGAAGCAGACTCATTTATAGCGGGCTACATCAGTCATATGTATATACAGGCCTGGCAGAGTGTCTTGCACGCCACATGGAATGTCGGTTACCTGGGCCTGGCGTTGTGTGGGGGATAATACTGGCAAATTAGTAAATTCGCCCGAACCTCAATCTGCCGATCTACTCGAAAAGAAACTCTTGATATCCCGGGGGCGTTCCAGTCAGGGAAAGCTTGGTGTCCTTGTCAACAATGTAACGTCACTTGAGTCGCGTTTATACAGTTCGTATGGATGTGCTCCCATTAATTTTTCCGTTGCCAACGTCCGGCATATGTACGGGGGTTGATACCCGGTCGAGAACTAGGCATTTACAAGCACCTGTCTCTGTCATAAAGCGACTGAAGTCCCACGAGGATGGAAAAGCTTCTTCCAAGAACCCCTGGTTAGCGTTGATAAGCTATAGTCCAGCGTGCCGATTTGCCGAGAGATGGATCAATATCGTCGACCCTGATGAATCGCAATGCGGGGGATAATGCGGAGTAATTGGAGCAAAAGCTGGGTTGGGCAACGTCTCGGCACGAGGTCATCAGATCTAGGCGCCTGCCAAATATCGTAAGGACCCCCCCGCGTAGTAGATTGTAACACAGGATCCACGTACACCTTTGTACTTTATGTTTGAGTAAAACTACTCCCTCTGTATTTCTCGCGTTGTACGCCGCAAGTGAGCCCAAGTAGATGAAAAATCGCCCTCTGGATCCTAATAGATGGCATTATTATTAATCCGCGCGACCTGGGTCGTTGTATTCACTCCGTACCTCTCTGAAACCAACATTTTCTTCGCAGCGGGGTCCAGAAGCAAAGAAGCAATGAGCTATGAGTATCAGCAAACCGCTTTGCAGGACAAGAGCACTTCAACATGGCCTGAATAGAATATGCGGTTGTAGATAACTTGATGCCCCTAACTACATGCAGCTTACACGCCTCTAGCCTTAGCATATCAGTACCTATCAATGAGATAAGGTGAGATAAGTCTGGATACAACCTTGATCTCATGCGTGTCGTTAACAGTGGATACATGCTTATCTACATTTTCCACACCGGTGATAAAGGAGCGACCTTTGCAGGCGTGGTGGCTCATGTGCTTGCTAGATTGGATCAATCAAATGACAGTATCATCAATCGTCTGCAATAAATGACTAACTTATAATTCTCGGTTAGCGGACGGCTTCACCAATCTATACCTTAAAGCATCAAATGGCGATGAGAGCACTAGAAATGACCTTATTTCAACTTTCTTATGGGCCACTCGTCCGCTTGCCGGTTGTATAAACGCAGCTCCCTGGGCTCTGATTGAGCAAAGTCCTTCAAAACGATAAGTCATGTTTTTTTTTTGCCAGTATGAAAAAGGGGTACCTTGCAGAGGTATGCACAGGAAGTAAACATACTATATATCACGAATGCACCTACAGCTGGGACAATAAGTAAGTCGGCAATATACCCCAGATGCCCACATTTATCTGGATAACCGTAACATACCCTACCTAATCCATACATGTATAAGTGCCTTTTTCCACAATGAATTAGCGCTGTAGGAAGAATTCTGCTGTAGACAACGTCACTTGTTTTACATTGCACAATGAATATCGCCCGGGCCGAGCACGTCACAATTGAGAGAGCATTGAAACACCTAGGTATTTAAACATTAATAATAAACTTCACGAGGCTATAAAAGTTGCCTATCAAGTCAAATCGTTGTGAGGCGGTAACATGTGCGAATCCCATAGGTGATGTAGCAAGCAACATTTTCGCTGTCCATTGTTTTGGTAGCTTTGCGTCGATATATCAAAATTCTCATGTGAAAGCACGCTCCAACAGCCCTTTGCAAACAGGTAATTTTATCCTAAGTGAACCTCTACAGCTTATAGCATTGTTTATCCCCTAGTTTCTACAGGCATGAATTCTCTTTATAAAACCTCAAAGGAAAAAAGAAAAAAAGGAAAGAGGAAGTTCACACAAAAAAGGATACACATTGCCTTTCGCGCATTAATGGCTAATGGTGGGAAAGCACTGCCCAGGAAGAGGGAGCAAGGAAGTCTAGACAATGGCGGGGTCGATAGGTTACCTAGGTAGTAAGTCTGGATCAAGGGATGGTTTAGAGGTGGTTTAGAAGAGGGGTTGGACCTCATGGGACCAATATATAGGTAGGTACCTCGAACTCAAAATAAAAAGATCCTATTTCCCACATCATCTGGCCTCCAGACTTCCCCACGTCACCCTGATCATTGAGATTGACGAGGTCAATGTGGATACGCGTTAGCGTTTGAGAGTCTCACTGCTGCAACACAAACTCTCATGACCTCTGAAGATGACAAAGAAGCGTGTGTTGGTTTGCTGGGGTGTCGACGTCGACGCAGTCGCGGGATGGTTAGGCTCCTATGGAGGCGAGAACTCAACAAGCGACATCAGCAGAGGCAAGTTGGGGCCTGAAGAGCCCACCTTTTCGGAGAGTGACAAGACAGCTAAACAGGATGTTCAGGAATCTTTGCCGCCACTGTTGGAACGCAGCGTATGCTGAAGATGTTTAGCAAATATGACATCAAAGCGACGTGGTTCATTCCAGGTCACACTCTCGAGTCGTTCCCAAACGAGATGGCGGAGGTGCGAGACGCTGGCCATGAGATCGGCCTGCACGGTTATTCTCACGAAAACCCGGCAGATATGACGTTAGAACAACAACGGGCTGTCCTCGACAAGAGTTACAAGCTTCTCACTAAGTTTTGCGGTAAACCGCCCAAAGGAAGCGTCGCTCCTTGGTGGGAGGCCAGCGCTGAGGGAGCGCAGCTACTTCTGGATTACGGAATTGAATATGACCACAGCCTGAGCCACCATGACTGTCAGGCTTATTATCTTCGGACTGGCGATTCGTGGACAAAAATTGACTATAGCAAAAACCCTGAAGAATGGATGAAACCGCTCGTCAACGGTAGGGAAACGGGACTTGTCGAGATTCCTGCCAACTGGTATATCGACGACCTGCCGCCGATGATGTTCGTCAAATCGGCGCCCAACAGCCATGGCTATGTGAACCCGAGGGATGTCGAGGACATTTGGAGAGATACTTTCGACTACTGTTACCGAGAGTATAATGAGTTCATATTCCCGATTACTTGCCACCCCGATGTGTCGGGCCGTCCACAGGTCATTTTGATGCACGAACGGTGAGTAGCGACTCCAGTGAATCCCTTCACAAAAACGCGGCAACGCCAGTCTTCGGCTCTGACCACTCTCAGGCTTATTGAGCACTTCTTGAAACACGAGGGGGTTGAATTTGTCACGATGGGATACATCTGTGATGATTTCAAGAGACGAAATCCTCCGATGGATGGCGCTACAATGCCTGCTACAACACCCAGTATCCTGCCCAGCGGATAGGAGGAGCTGGCTGAACAAAACGCTAGACAAGAGACAATGCAGAGTTGAACCATTCTTCGTGCTTATCCTCAGCAATACATGGGATATTGCACTCGAGTCATTAGATTTGCAGCCTCTTGGGCGTATTTGCACTGCAACCTCAAAGTCTCCCCGCATCTGAGCATGACGAAGGGGAAAGGCAAGCATGCAATTGTGAAGAGCCCAGATATCGAACTCGACCAATGACTCCCGAGTCTTTCGTGCGGCTGGCTGGTGAACAGGGGAAATGCCATACCGAAGTACGCCCTGAGCATTGCTGAGGCCCTAAGTACCGAAGCTGCGTAGATAGTGTATGAGTCGATGCAGTAGTCGAGGAACGAAATGAAGCCTGGGACGCAACGGAAGCCAAAGGGTGCCGATAGGATAATGCTCGCAGTCCAATGTTTGCTGGTCGAGTTCGTCCACGCAAAGGCGTAGAGGCCGATGGGTAACGCAACGGCAACGACTGCTCCGGCTGGCAACCGCGACTCGAGTGTTGCCAATTTGCCGAGTTTCCTGTCAATATCTTGTGTCGTCAAAAATGGTATAAAGTGTCCCGATCAGCATGCCATAGACCAGGTCGAGAAATGCCCGGCCGCCCAGACCTTCGTCCCTTCCTCGTCCTCGCTGATACGCGATAGATGGTGCAGGCAATGAACATGTATGTAGATGGTGTTGTATAGTATTGCCAAATGCATGGCGGCAATCAGGACAATAGGCTCGCAAGGAAGAAGAAGTCAGGGCCGCACCAGGGCTTTTCGAAAGGCTTGAGTTGATGCAGATGTGTTATGATCTTGCTGCAGAGCGCTTGTGCAAAGTCTTCCGGTTATCCTCGAAGATTAGGCTACTCTCTAGTTCAATATCACCGGGTCCATGAATTCCGGGGACCAATATTGAGGCGATAATCCATACAATGCCGATGGACATGCTGCAGACGCCTTGCACCCTTCTCCAGCCAGCATATATAGAATGAACCCTCCTATTATTGGACCCAGGACAGGCCCCATATTTGGAGCGGATCATTGCCAGTCCTCGCTCTGCAGCCGGAGACATTCAGCGATGACACCACCGGAGTTTGCGGGAGGCAACTCGCCAAACATTCCGGCCATAAACCTGAACACCAATACGGCAGGCATGAAGCCGGCCCCAGCAGAAGCGTCCACGAAGGCAACCATGCACGCATGTGTCGTCACGAAAAACATTCTTCTGCAGTATATCTCGGAAAGTGGCGCCCACAACACGAGTCCGATGGCGAAGCCCAGGACGACTAACGACATACCGGGAGAAAAGAGCTCTTTCCTACATTGTAAGTCCGCCAGGACTTCGTCCGCATAGCCGGCATAGCTTGAGGAGGTGAGTGTAACAGCGAAGACGGAAACAGTTGCTATAAGGATGACTAACCATTTATTGAAAGAGGAAACAAAAATAAGTTTTCCGGGTCGCAATTGTAGGACTCAACAAGTTCTGGTTCGGATGTTGTGCCAGCCCCATCGTAGAATTTCGCCGCTGCGAGTTCTCCGTGGCCAGCAAGCTCAAGGTGCATTATCGTCATGGTAGTTCAAGACCAGCGTAGCCATAAAATACTCTTCGATAGGGACTGGAGTGCAAAACGTGGATTCGAGATAAGGAGTACAGTAGGGGCGACATTCAGACTGTGATCTGAGAGATCATACGGTTTGGGAACATTGATCAGCTGCGTTGCGTCCCAACATCCTCTTACTTCGACAGTACTCGGACAAGTGGTGACCAGAAAAACGCGGACCGCAAATCGAATATATACACCCTGAGCAGCATCAAGAGCACCAATTTTGGTGGACTAGTTGCAGATCTCATGTGTGTATAATTACTATCTTGTGTGTTCAATATCGCCCCAATCCGCGTTTTTCTGGTCACCGCTTGTCGGAACATATTCCGACAACCTTCAAGGTACCTCGCATCCCCCGAACCGTCTGCGTTGCGCCCGAGCCGGGATTACTCGGGTTCTCAAAAACGGGCCTACACACCGAGCGCTTACCCTAATATTCCACCGGCATCCCCGTGTCGAACCGCCTACACTTGACACACAGTGCAGTATTTCTCGAAAGAACGAATATTCGCACTTTACGTCGAATGATCAACAATGCTCGAACTTGACATCTGTCCTCTAGAATCAGTGTTTGAAGCCTGTCGGACTTGAGTAGACCATGTCATCACATGTGCAGCTCCATAAGGCCATATAAGTGGTCAAGGTGGACCTTTCTGATCAGTGCATACGAGTACTGATTGACATTTGATGCGCCTTAATACTTTTAGAGTACAGATATCATAATGCTCAACGAGTGATTACTCTGGAAAAAGTGACAAACATGAAGCTAGAATTCAAAGTCGCCAGGAGCCTGCCTAATCCTTCGTCACTCGGGCTTATTCCTCCTCTGGCCAAACGTTGTATCCAAACGTGTCCTTCATGTTGACAAATCTAGTATGTCTCCCCTTAGCAACCTGTTGAATCGCCTCAAAGTCTTCATCACTCAGCTCCGGAATGTTGAAGTTGCTTTCAATACGGCTTGGAGTTGAGCTCTTTGGGAGGACCACATATCCTCGCTTCAGGCCCCATGCCAATAGGATCTGGGCAAGGCTGTAGCCGCTTCGCTCGGCAACCGCTTTGAGTGTCGGGTTGTCGCGCACTCGCTCGCCGGTGCTTGGGACCTGGTTCTGCGAGCCCAGCGGCGAGTAGGCTTCGGGCAGGATCCCGTTCTCAAAGCAGAACGCCACAAGCTCTTCGTTTGGTAGGAATGGGTGAATCTCAATCTGGTTCACTGCCGGCTTGATCTTGGCGATCTGAAGGAGCTTCTTCAACCCCGGAATCGTCCAGTTGGATACTCCAATTGCCTTGACGAGGCCGCTTTCAACAAGCTCTTCCATGGCTCGCCATGTTGGCTCTGGGTTTTCCGTCAGGGCTTGGTTGATGACATACTTGCCATCGGGGCCCAGCTTGACGCTCCTGTCGCTGTTCTTCTCGGCCGCGATTGGCCAGTGGACGAGGAACAGGTCAATGTAATCGACCTTGAGGTTTTCGCACGAGTTCTTGGCGCTCCACTTGACGTCCTCTGGCTCATGCAGGTGGTTCCAAACTTTGGTGCAAATGAAGAGATCCTCGCGTTTCACGTCGGGTCGGCGGGCGAGAAAATCGCGTACCGCGTCACCAACCTCATCTTCGTTGTGGTAAAACCACGCGCAATCAAGGTGGCGGTATCCAACGTCCAGTGCCTTTGTAACAGCTGCGTATGTCTCGCCCTTGGCACCCTCATTGGCGAATGTGCCGAACCCGACCGCGGGTATCTTGGCACCGGTGTTCAGAGTGTACGTCTTGGAGGCCATTCTCTCAGAACGATTCCGTGGTTCGTGCCTTGTCTCCGGTGTGTAGGAAACTCGAGCTTTCGGCTGAGGGATTGTGGTGATGTTTGGCGTGGAATAGATAACGGGAATAAGTGTGACCTTTTGCTCTCGAATGGGAACACGGAAATGGATAAGCGTTCAGGGTGTTATGTATGTATGCCTTGACCAGAGATACGACGTATCGTGTTGTCTCATGCAAAGCGACTCGTGAGATTGCCGTTTCTTATACAGGGATATGATAGGTCTCGTTGCAGTACGCCGTCCAAATATCCAACGACTGAGGTGTCGAGATACTGCACAGAACTTATCCACCCAAGCCACCCTGATGACGCTCAATGGAGCCCACAATCTTGATTCCCTTGCGGTGGAATCCCCTTCTGCAGCTAGAGGGATTTTCGCCTACGTGAAGTCTCACAAAATGACGCAAGAGGCGGGTAACCTTCATCATTCCCCGACCAGTTTTCATGAAGATCTGCGAAATCTTGACCGAGTTTCGCCTCCTGGCCCCCCCTTGACGGATGTCAATGGCCGGAGTCACTATGCTTCCGCATTCCTTGGCGTGACATCGTATCAGGATTCATTGGGCGAATCTCATCGTCTAAATCCGCCACTACAGGCCCGCTTTCTCCATCTTTCTGGATATTTCCTTACGGCTTCCATCGACTTAGGCACCTTTCAGGCCGGCGCCGGCTAATCCGACTGGCTCATCCACCGGCCCCATAATTCACAATCTCTTACACCGGCGACGAGTATCCTGTGGAATCGTGTCCACAGCGAGTGCGGACGGCGGTCAGAAACGTGGGACTGCTGCCGACGCATTGCCGCAGATGGCGATATTCTCAAGGAACAACGAGGCTTATCAGGCCACGATTGGATTGAGCGGGTGGGTTTGGTCCCTGAAAGTGGCTCCGGCGGGCACGCAGTGTCCAGGGAGAGTAAGGGGAGAGAGTGGATAATGAGGTAGTTGGCGTCTTGAAGCCTAGGACAGCGATGACATCAGGGCTGAATCACGGGCAAAACCTTCTTCTGCCGGTGTCATCGCATGTGTATCAGCTTCGAAACCGTTGGAATAATGGCTCTTCTGGATCCACTTCTCTCCCATGGATGTGATTCCAAGTCTAGGACTTGATGGCTTGCTGACCCCGAGAGAGAATGATGGAAGTACTAGGTATATATGAAGGAGGCCCTCTGCTGCCAACAGCAGATTACGAGACCTCACTTTCTGACAAACCATTACCCCTACTGCACCCATTTCACCGCAATCATGGCAACCTTTGACGATGCTGACTTCGGCGTGGAAACGCCAACGCGTCCTCCGGAGAGCCAACCTAGCGCTGGCGATGGCTCAACGGCCAATGCCCCTCACGAGGGAGCTCTTGCTATTCCCATGTCACCCACGTCAACAACCCACGATGCCATCGAGGTTCCCGCCACGAGGTCTCCCCATGCCGATGCCTCCAAGTACATGCACAACCTGTCTCTCTCCCCCTCAATGAGAGATAGGAGGGCTTCTCGAAACTCATTTGGCGCCTCCCTCCCCATTCCCCGCTCCAAGCGACAGTCCCGCCTCAGCTCAGTTCACTATCCCGATCGAGATGCCATCATGGGCAAGGGGGTTATCCCCCCCCAGAAGACTCGAGATATCCTGGCTGCTCAGGTCCAGGACATTTCTGCAGACAAGGCAAAGAAAGCCAAGAACATGGCGTTCGTCTTTGACATTGACGGTGTCCTGGTGCATGGCGATCGACTGATTCCAGAGGGAAAGAGGGCGCTGGAAATCTTGAACGGCGACAACGAACTCGGCATCAAGATTCCACACATCTTCCTGACCAACGGATCTGGCAAGCCGGAGCTGGCCCGCACGGAGCAGCTGTCCAAGATCCTTCAGAACCCCGTGAGCACAGAACAGTTCATCCAGTCTCACACACCAATGCGAGCACTCGCCGAATACTACAACACGGTGCTTGTCGTCGGCGGTGAGGGTTACCGCTGCCGCGAGGTGGCGGAGCAGTACGGATTCCGCGACATCGTCGTGCCCAACGACATTGTGGCCTGGGACCCCACGATCGCGCCGTATCGCGTCTTCACGGAGGAAGAACGCGCCAGTTCGCGGCCCCGCGACTTCTCCAAGACGAACATTGAGGCTATTCTCGTCTTTTCCGACTCGCGTGACTACGCTACCGACATGCAAATCATTGTCGATCTGCTACGATCCGAGAACGGCAGACTGCTCACTGTAGCCAAGGACCCCGTTTCTCAGAGGATCCCCATCTACTTTTCTCAGGGTGATATGCTGTGTCCCACAGAGCACCCCATTCCGCGTATGAGCCAAGGCGCGTTCCGAATCGGCCTTGAAGCGATGTACAAAGCGCTCACCGGCGTTGATCTCGAGCGTGTTGTCTACGGAAAGCCCGAGATGGCGACGTACAAGTACGCCGACGAGGTGCTGGCGTCCTGGATGGAGCAGCTTCACGGCGAGGAGCGCATTCCCGACAACATCTACATGGTTGGCGACAACCCGGCCTCAGACATCATCGGAGGCAACATGTATGGCTGGAACACTTGCCTGGTACGCACCGGTGTTTTCCAGGGTGGTGATAACGATGAGGCCAACCCGGCCAACTTTGGCGTCTTTGCCAATGTCCTCGAGGCTGTCAAAGCCGCATGCCGGAAAGAACTCGGAGAGTCTTTTGGATTTGAATGGGATGATCGTGTCAACCCCGTGCTTCACGGTGAGAAGCATGTTGCGTCGGCGATTGAGTAAAGAGAAGAATACACTTGCATGGCATATGGAAACATTTTGTTTGGGATCGCGGAATGCATTGGAGATTGTGGATATCAATTTGGCAGCCTTACATGGAATAGAAAATTGGAATAGAATCAACGACGTCGACGAGCCTCAGCAGAACTTTTGATCTCGATATGGAAGAGCGCAGCGCAACTAGTGCATGAAGTGACTGACCTCTGGTGCTATTTGGAAGTGCTGAACATTCTTGTGAAAGTCACGGTGTGACAGAGGGCTAATCTATTCTAACTACCTACCTAGGTAGCCACTGACCCTAGAAGCCAGCTACCCAGTGTTTTGACTACTTACTGTGTACCAACTTGAGATAACACTGCTGGTAGAGACCATTGTCCAAAACAATAGGCATCATACCTACGGTATGTTACTGATGAGTAAACGAAGCAGTCACGGGTGAGCAATCCTGACTGCTCCATAAATGGGAGGACCAACCGCGACAAGCTGATGGTAAAATGAGATTATATCCAAAACACTTTCAGGTTTGCTGCTGATGCCTCAATACTAACTATGATAACATATTCTAAAGGCTTTGAAGTGAAACGTAACGAAGGTAACCTAACACAGCGGAAAGCAGAGTTGCGGAAACATATGATGGCCGGCTTATATAGTTGAATACATACTGTCCCGAAGTTGCAGATTGTCTCCAACTTATTGCCGTCTCTATAAACTCCTCAGTCAAACCATCGAAGCAGAGGTATATACACACGATTACTATTCTTGCTATGACAGACGTCGGTTCTGTCATTTTGGTAACTGGAGCAGCGGGTCGAGCCGCCGGTGTTAGAAGGCGTCTTGTGGCATTACTTCGAGCGGCATCTACCAGTGCAAGCACAAGTGCGGCAGGGCGACCATCGGGCTGAACAATTACGCTCGCTGGGTGCGGAAGTTATGGTGGCTGATTTCCCGAAGCCAGATCAAGTCTTTCTAATTCCTCAGGGGTGTGAGAAGGTGTTCTTTTGCAGGAGTGTCTCGGCCAACTATCTCGAGGCGACAATGGTGATGGCTGCAGCCGCAAAGGCTGCGACCGGCATCCATCTTCTATTCAACATGTCTCAAATGACTGGCATAGAGATAGACCTTACCCAAACGACGGATTCGCACCAGCAGAGGCTACAATGGATGAGTGAACAAAGGCTCAACTGGTGTGGCCTACCAGTGACTCACCTACGACCAACTATGTTCCAAGGAAACACAATCTTCTGGAACCTGCCAGCGCTGGAAATCATGAGGTCGGCAATATTACGCATGCCTTTTGAAAGAGGCCGTAGCTCCCCGGTAGCTGCCAACGATGCCGCAGAGGTGGCAGTGCAGATTCTACTCCATCTGGATCAATATGTTGGCAAAAGCGTGGAGCTAACAGGGCCGAGTTCTGTCGATATGTTCAAACTTGTCAAGAATTATTCTACCGCAACAGGGAGCCCCGTTCAATATGCGCCTACGCAATTTAACACATAGACGGAGGAGATATTTTAAATAAGAAATTCGACGAAGCATGTGCATGACCATAATCGGGTCATGGTAAAGCTTATTGCGGCTGGACGGTATGATAGGCTTACAGACTCCATTCCAGCCATACTCTATCGACTGACAACGCCTATCTCGTCAACCATAAAACAAAACCCTCAACAATTCCAGTCATTCTGAGCAAACTTCTATCGAATCTACTATATAGAAGTAGTCTTATCAATACACGCTTACACCCCGTTCTTGCCAAAACCCCCGAGATGGCAGAACGAAACTAGTATACTGCGAGTTTCTCCACGATTGAATGAGCTGAACTGATGCCGTGTCGACTTTACGCTGGCAGCTTTGAGACATGGGTGGGACATATAGAGATCAACGTTGGAATATATGCGTTACGAGATGCTGATGCTTTGCATTGCAAAACCCACTAATAAAGCGTCCGAAAGGTGCCATCTCTAGCAAAAGCCGCTACAGCCAGAGTGTATAAGAAAGCGTGCCAGCTCATCGCCGATCATTTGGAGCTGGGCGTCATGCTACTAAAGGCGTGATCCTCGCGCATACCGTGACTCTTGGCCCCTCGCCTTGATGTCAATCGTGATAATGACGAGCAGTTGGTTGCTCATGTGGGCAGATGTGATGATGGCTCTTTAATAAGCATCCTGCGACAGAGCGAACTCCGTGAGCCATGTCAACAATGAAAAGACCTACGTTATATCGGGAACTAATTTCGAGATTCAATTAATCAAGCTTCCGTCAACGACATCATGTTGGGCGTACGCTAACAGAAGACGCCCTCCAGATCCTGATCTACCTCACCATTATGCAGGAGCTTCTCCGTTAGGAGGTTTAACCCTGTCGCCAATTTCGTACCCTGACGCAGTTTTTCCCAGCCAAACTCCAGCAATGCCGGCCATCCCATGCCTTAAATGAATTCATGAAACTGGCCTGTAGTAAGCATAAAGCTGTGGATGTTGATGCGACTGTCTTCATCTTGACCTCGACCTCTCAGTCTTGGCCTCTAAGCGATAGCAGGCACTTATCACAATCTGTATGATAGACGTGCCTAGTAATCTTGACCTTAGGCTGGATCGCTTACCCGAGGTAAGTCAATTCATCCCATTACATAGTCATTATACATGCCGTATCCAATTCCCCAAAGAGGCTATGTACTCGCAAATCGGGATGGAGAAGGTATATCGCCATTCAGTTGCCTTAAGCGTACACCAGCTTGCTATCCTACGACGCCAGAGTTGTTTTCACATACAGTAGTATCTCATGCATAAGACCTTGTTGGAAAGACTAATGCAGGATGCGTATTTTGGTTGCGATTGGGATCCAGGGACCCGAATGATACGGCCGGGTTATCTTGCTGGTTGGTCCTGATAAGCCGACGATCACACTGAAATCGGGAGTATCAGTGCATCTCCCAGTATCAGAGCGGTGAGCCACAGCGCCCAGGAGCCACTCCCACGGCCTCGATTCGATGAAGCAGTGGCTTGTGAGCCCCCACTTCGATGATGCCCGATATCCCATTGTAATCAGCGGTGTGACCATGCCGCAGCAAACCACCACACTCTGCACCACCTTGTTCTCCGACAGGTGTGATGGAAGCTAGTACGTACCTTAATAGGTTCGATGCCAAAGAATGGGGCTGATCAGCAGGGAGGTGGGAGATGGCTGTTTGATAACGATTGCATTTTGGGGAAGCCATGGATATCTTCTACAGCTATAAAGAGTATTAGTAAGGAATCTCATACTACCCTGAAGTTATTAAAGGACAGCAAATTGAAAACGGTGGCGCCTTGATTTAAGCGATGCCAAAGTGGTTATAGGAAATGCGAGATGCTCTTGAATCACATACTATGTATGCCAGCAGTAGACTTAATAAAACGACCGCTTTATGTAGGTCACATGTGCGCAATCCATTCCGCTGTCTATGGCTTAACTATGTCCTCTGAGGAGAGCATCCCGCTTGATCTCTAACACGCTTGGCTATATTTGCAACCATTATTTTATCCCACCTCATTGTATCGCTTGATTATTTTGCAAAGCATTATGCCTTCAGTACTTCTATCAAAAAAGGCCCTTGGGTAGCGTATATGCATCTATCTGAGTACCTAGGTTTCTGCATTAACCTAGGTGCTCTATCACCAGGCTCTCCTGTCCAGAGTGGCCATCTGTTCTGCATTCAACATTCTGGTGTAAATAAACAAAATGGAACTTAAAGTACGTTGCAATTACAGATTGAGGGATCCTTAAACATCCCACATCTAATTGCCGGTGACTCTCACACTACTTATCCAACATCATCATATACTCTCCCATTATCACAGATATCGCCAAAGGTATGGCAGTAAGTAGTACCAAGTTAACAGTGGTTGGCACATATAATGAGAAGAATGGCCTAACAAGGACGTTTTGGCTACTCTGATCTCGTCTATGGAGCCGATTTTCGATCACATGCTGTTGAATCAAAACTTCGAGGCGAGGTGGTTGTATCTATAACACTACGTATCTTTTGCAATGCCTGAAATCAGACGTTGCCAGACGCCGTCACTGGAGATGTCTATAGTGGTAAAGCTTCATAGGCGAGCAGGTAATGACCGGAGATCATAGAGCCATTTGGTTGATTTGACTCAATATAGCCGCACAATCCATCGTCAAGTCAAGCAACAGACGGCTACTATAACCACAAGACCTAATAGTAGATTAATATTGAGGTGATTCATGATATTCTTAAGAACAACAGTTGGCTCGATGTCTTTCGGAACTAGAAAGCTCTTTTATCACATATGACCAGAGGGTGAAAAACATGGGAATATCTTGTATTCTGTCTTATGGGTGCTTCCTATCATCTAGACGATGCTCTTCTGCCCATTCCCTGATAGCCTCGAAATCTTTACACACATGGACTGCTCCTGTGCCGTCTGTGCCGCTTATATTACTGTTGGGAATTTGTCCCTCTAACGCCGTATCCCCACAACACACCAGAGACTGGCGAAGATATCTGAAGCAGTGATTGATATGTCCGTGAGAGTCCTCGCTGATGTTGAGATGCACTTGTTGCATAGGATTTGTCTGCGTCTTCAATGCTGGGCTTGTCAAGTTATTGTACATATCCATGATAGCGTACTATAATATGCCTTTAGTTTGTATGCCTGTGACAATTCTGCTACAATCAAAGAACTTATCACTTACCAAACAATGTAGCTGGTGGAAAACAGCGATCGAATAAGCTTGTTTGCCCTCGAACAAGATTGGCTCCGGTAGGATATACTTGTCCGTATGATTCACGTCAATGAATCCGTTTCCTCCTGTTGTAATAGGCAATCAAGTCAGTGTACTCGCTTCTTCGAGGAATGTTTGAGAAAAAGCCTACTCGGCATATAAGAAAGCCAATTTTCCCGAGTCTTGTTTCTGGAGCTTTCGTCCTGCTGGCTAACTGTGGCGGATGAATCAGTTCGAAAGAGGACTTGGCGAGTGGGAACTGGATTTCGTATCTTATTAGCCATCTGCTCTCGTTCATTTGATGCAGTTACTACAAACATGTCGGAACCAAATGATTCAATTCGCTCAGTAGCGGCTGAATGTGATTTTGAAACCTGAGCTGCCCAAATATGATCGCGAGCACAATCAGCTCAATCGTTCCAATGACGGCGAGAATGGCCAAGGAAGCCAGAAGGAAACTCCATTGTCGAGGTGTCGTTTTCCCGGCTGGCTGGTGTTTGATTAGAAGTTGCTTCGACTCAGATTCGTCGTCAGTAAAGCTGGCTGGCATCTCCGCGGTACACTATTTCAGAAGCCTTGTATGTATAGCGAAGAGTGAGATCTAGGTTACAGAGGAAGGAACGAAGTCAAGAATGTCGGATCAACTGAATCGCTGAGGAGGGCAGCAGCAGCACTAATAAACAGTCCAGGCAATCTTGCACTAGCAGACCAGATGTACCTCATCAATTTCGATATGCATGTACACCTGCTTGCTGCTGAAGATATATCGATACTAACCGTCTGGATTGCCCTAAGAAGATATAGTTCCTTAACGTAATTGTATTCATCTTATTGTCACGAAAGGGGGCTGATGACTTTTAGCTAATTTGCAATCACAAGGGAGGTCGGTCGCCACTCACAAGCCCAAGCCAAGAGCCGCCGCCTGTAATCGAAAACATCAGCCTAGCCACTAGGAGACACAGCTTCGGACGATGCAGTACCGTACATAAATTCTATCGTGAGATTTGACCTCTGGTTCTCGGCTATGTCGAACTGCATACTAGGTCACATCATATCATCCAAGGGGAACGGTGCAAAGAAAGCGGGAAACCGTCGCCTGGATAACCAACTTTAACTTCAAATCACGGATATGGCACTATAGTGGGTGTGACACAGGCTTGAAAAGAAAGGGACGGCCAAGAACTAATGATGTTAGAGGATCAGATGATAATGCGATAACCAGATATAGAATATGTAGTACTGTATGTGAAGCCAATCGTTTATGGGGTTCTCATGTATCAGTGTTTAGAATTCTGGGCTTTTCCGGAGTAGCTCACAGCATTAGGTACGTGATCAGCACCTGACAAGAACAGCCAGCTTCATGCACTATGCAGCAAGCCACGCCATTGCTTTCTCTCTGCACAATATCTATCTTGTTTAACCCAGTCACCACAGCTTGAAGTATCCTGGCTGCAGTTGTTGCCAAACTTGTTGGGGATCATACTTTGCACTTATGGACCTCAACTTTGCAAGGTTCTCCTTCCCATAGCTCGCAAAGACATCCTGCTGGTATGAAGCATAATTCTGATAAAGGTAGGGATGATCTAGTCCCTGAGTACGCGCAGTTGTAGTAGACCGGTCAACGATATTCTGCGCGGCAGCCATGACACGCTTATCGTCAACAGCATTAGACCATGAGATGGCAATATTGACCACTGTATCCTTTTTTTAAGCATAATGATCTCCGCTCCGTGACAGTGAATGACCAGTACATACCATTCAAAGGACCCTGCCCATCAAGTCCCAGTGGGTTACCGCCGTCTCGGGAGAAATACTGAGACATATCGGTTGTGATGAGCTGGAAAACAACTGAAGGAACAATGCCCGCAACATCTTTGACAGACGCCACTTCTTCTAGGTAGATTTCGACTAATTCCGTCATGAGGCAAGCGCTGTTTTGGACGGTAAAAGTCCAGTAGGTTTGCCTGTAATACCCGCGTCAGCCCTTTAGTCTCACGCATGGAAACATTCTCCCTCTGTTGAGAGCATACCGGAAGCCACCCGGATTGCTGTTATTAAACTCGACGGTGAGAATCGCCAGATCAACAACGCGAAGTGTACTAGCGATGGCACCGGCTACAGAGGTAAAGTTTTGTAAAATTACTGGATTCGGTATTGGTTTCGCATACTGGAGATCCGACGCAATCACAAAGACATCCTGTGATTGCGCGTACGCGTAGGCGATTATGACCTGGGCATATGGATCAGAGGGCGCGTTGATGCCGAGGTAATAGAAAGCGCTGTTGATGGCAGCCGCAGTCTCGTTCGTGTACAGGAAAGTCTCCGAGCCCGCCCAGAGGTCACCTTGGGGATATGCCGCTAAATCGAATTGTGTTACAATCCCAAAGTTGTTTCCTCCGCCGCGAAGTGCCCATTACAGGTCAGAGTAGCGGGACGAGTAGCTGACTTCCCGGATCGACCCGTCTGCAAGCACAACCTGTCCCCGCGAGGCGTCAGCTCCATGGCAAGAGGCCTAACAAGGGGAGGAAACAACCTGGTAAGTGTTGACGTTGTCGCAAGCCCACCCGTGTTGGCTTGAGAAGAAAGACAGGCCGCCTCCGAGAGTCAAACCTCCGACGCCAATAGCAGATACTCTCCCCCCAATCACGGTAACGTTTTCGGGCTGCAGATATGCGTACACATCATACCAAACATTTCCAGCGCCAATTGACGCCTGAGTCTTGTCAGCTGAGAGAGCAAGTTGGTTGAGATGAATCAGATCGATTGTCACCCCGCCCTCAACATTGGAGGCGCCTGCGAAAGCAGCATGACCACCGCTCTTAACCGCAAACTTGCAATTGGTAACACGAAAAGTCAATACGGCGAGAGAGGTTTCTTCTGCTGATGCGGGAGAGAAGCGACATGTAGGTTTCGTGAGCTCTTGCTGTTGCGACCAATATCGCGACTCTTCGAACTCGTAGGTGGAGCTGTGCGGGTATGACACACGCCGCGCCAGGACAGATTCAAGGAAGCCACACTAAGGGAGAGATCAATTTGTTCTTTTCCGTCTCTGATGCTGTTGCGATTCAGTTCTTACTGCAAGGTGGCAGCCCGGTAGAGGACCAAATCGCCCCGCGTCAGTGCCATTCTGGTCCATGTACGACAAGATCTGGGACTTGACTTCCTTCAAAGTGTGGGTGGAACTGGTGACAACTGACTGCAAGAACAGCAGCAGAGCGATACTGACGCGACGCATTCTATTGCTTTCCACGTTTGCAGCGGCCAGATAAGAATATCGTATGCAAATTGTCGTCTCATCTCAATGACTGAAGGGTGCAGAACAAACACCGGGCGGCGATTCCATGATAAAGGGAGCAGTGCACCGCCCGATGTCACGCGTCCACTCCTACACGCATTATCGATCTCAGGCGCCAACACCAACTCAACATTATTGGCCAAGCAAGTCAACAATATCTTACAGCACGCCCTACGCGACTGGAGAAGTGCGAGCAAGCTTCAGCGCGTTGGGCGACTTGTACGAAGGTCAGGTCAATTGATGTCTCATGCTCGGTGCACAGCCGCATCGCCGCATGCTGAATCAGGAAATCGTGGCCGCCTGTAGGACAAAGCCGCTTCCATAGCGCCGGGGGAGATGCAGAAGGTCCAAGCTTGAACGGAAGCTCCAGGAATGGACGCAGCTTTGCACACTCTCTCCATCATGGAGAAGAAGTACTAGCATCGCCAACGAGTCAAAGGGTCCAATACCTCGGCATTTTGTTTAAATGCAACCACAGAGGCGTGACGAATCAGCACATTGGCATCGCGGAAGCCTATGTTTATGGCTTGCATATGTATTACCTTTTGCACCCTTGTTAAATTGACTGCGTGACATCGCCCGCCCAAGCATTGCCACTTTCACCTCGAGATTCTCCGACAACTTTTGATCCTTTCGGACATGCCAAGCTCGGGCGGTGTGGAGAGAGAAAAAGTACATGACAGAAAGTCAAGCATACGAGTTCGCTTGTGTATCTCCATCGCGATGATGTGATGCGCACCAGCGCTAATTTACTAATACCTACACTGTTTGAACGGGGTTATATTGCGTGCTGGCATGCATGTCCTGCAATCATGTCTGCTCTCGCCGGCCCCGTCGCCCTTTCTCGCCCTATAGCTCTACAAAAGGCTCGTATGAAGCCATCTCTCTCAACAGTTGGAGCTAATTTGCGACAAATTGCTTACTGGTGTGTTAGATGCTCTACCTTTCCTCCGACTTTTGCCGACGAGGTGTGTGCTTAAGTAATGTGTCGCAAAGTCTTCTGCGGTTGGTGCTTCTGTACTTCTGTATGCGTGTTGAGAGCTACCTACTTTACTGCAAAAATGGGATGAGAGAACACATGATAAGAGAGGTTTGGAAGTACCAAAGGCTAAGAGGCTGTAGAGCCCTGTTGAGCAGTGCCATCTTTTATCCCTTACCTGTACGTTTGCCTACACCATTTCCCTATTGAGGTTATTCATAGAGCCAGATTTGTCCTTCACCTGGGTCACACGTTAACCTGCCTAGCTCGGTAGCAGTATGTAGTGTTGCCTCATAAAACATGTCCCCTTGAAGACACCCCTGAATACGCGGGCGTCTATACCAAAATTCCAATGACTTTTCGAACTCTAGACCTGACTATGGGAATGACACTATATTCTGCAGCATATTAGCAGGACCTTGTATAGTGCTATCTCGCACAGTGTTGAAAACTCATGGCTGCTCAGATCGCCGTGCCTATAACGCCTCCAAGAGTTTGCCTCCAGAAGTTATAATAAGGACTGCTGCTGTCCTTCTATCTGCAAGTAAGAAGATAAGGCAAAGAGAGAAAAATGCTCTGAATACTAGGGTTAAGCTACTGAGTTATTCAGGAGATGCAAGTTATATTTCACTGTAAAGTGGAACGTTGTATAGCGCAGAGCTTTACCCACGCTTCTTGATTATTGCGTTTTACATCCTGATCCTGCAGATATGAACATAGACTATTGAGACCCCAGACGATAATGCATGGTATAGTCACACTCCAGCACACGTAGTATTATTAATAAACTGTTTAATCTTCTTTAGCATGCCCTAATGTTATTATACCTTAGTGGTGCCATATATAACGAGAGCCAGGAGCTGCAGACACTTGCGTATGCTTGTGACGCTTCCTTATATTGACAGCAGTAATACGTGCCGCATTTTACAGCATGGAAAGTGCACTGACATACGCCCATTAAACGCAATGACCTTTGAAAGGACTTGAACGAATCGTTGCGAATGTCCGTGGGAGAGAACCCAACAAACAGAACGTGATGAGGAGGATGCGAGGCCAAGTTCAACTATGGACTGAAACATGGAGTTATCCTGGTGCTTTAAGAAGAGATACCATGGCTCTATTAAAGCTGTGCCCCGAATACTTCAGATACAATATACAGAGTACAAGCTGAACGCCATCCCTTGTTTCTCTACTTTATCTCATGCGTAAACCTGCAATTACATGTGTAAAAGTTGGTATTTACTGCGTGGTTGTGATATGTCGTGCAATCGATAGATGCCTTCTTGTCGTCCATTCTAGAAGCCAAAGGGTAGCTGCGGTTTCGGCAGAAATGGGTCCTCACGCCCGAGGCAGTGGAGTACAAGTGGATGTCTGTCAAGGAGATGCCGATGAAAGTGGTCTGATTTCTCTTCCGCCACGTGTGTCGAATTGGCAACTCATCCAGTTTGGGACTTAGACGTACCGCCCCCTTATTTAGCAGCACCTTATGCTTATACAGTTTGGCAGACGAAACCTCCGCATTGCATACTGTGTACCTTGGGCCCAGGGATCGAGCTTTCTGAATATGGAAAGACATCACGCAGCAAATGAGTCTGCTTGGGATACGGGACAACCTTACTGTTTGTTGTCAGTATTCTACATATCTTGAATAGTATGCGATATACATATTCCCACGCTGAATGACAATTGAACTTGGTGGAGATGAAGGCAGAGGCTGGAGGCGAAGAGTATGCGCCGCAGTAACCCGGAGTACTCCGTAAGGAAGATCTATCAGGTGTCTAGGGCGTCTCAGTCACATGCGAGCAAAAAAATTAAATAAAGGTAATGGAGAATTTTCCCATTTATTTCCGTTCCTCTTCCCTTTGCTTTCCTTCTTTTTCCTTCCCCCTTCAGTTCTACCCAGCTATACTTATCATCTGTTTTCTGTTTTTGTCTGTGTGCATCTCGACTTGAAATACCCTCACGCTATAACCTCTACTGATACCCACTGACATCCGTGATCTCGTTCACTTGCTACCAACTCTACCGAACTCGAAAGCTGCCGAAAACCGCTCGCGTGGAAAGACAACGGGGCAGAAACTGCCACGAGACCGAAACCAAAGCACTACATTTCTCTCATACATCGCAAACGAACCTTCGATTCGGCCAGAACCGATAGAAATATGAAGCTCACCCGCGCTATTTCTCTGACCAACTTCATGGTCGCTACCTCTGCGCTTGGCTTCCAGGTTTTTGTTCTGTACCCGTGGCACAAAGAATTGGACAATGGATTCGAAGATCTCAAGAAGGAACACAAGAAAGTCCTCGATGCTGTGGGAAAGAGTGTAAGCGAACAGCAGCGAATGGCGTTCACAAACAAGCTTAATGAGCTCAAGGCGGAGAGCTCGCGCCGGTGGTGGTGGATGTAATACAGCATTGCGAATTGGACTTGGAGTTGGAGTTGGAAGGTTACCTTAATAAATATTGAGTTGTTCTTGTACCTATGGCTTAGCTGTATTCATTCCTGTATTTTGACTTATCCAGAGACGCACATAATGCGGGAACGAAAGATACGTAGCATTGCTGATCTCGTCCCAAGCTGTATTTGCCTAACGATGTGCATCAGCCTGACAAGCGTCCATCTCAAAGGCAATTAATAGCACCGTTTGCTTCTGTAATCTCCAGATACTCTTTCCACGCACGGTATCCGCCGTCCAAATCGGTCGCTCGCGACAGTCCCAACTTCTGCAATTCCCTCGCTGCCAAGGAACTTGTGTATCCTTCTGAACAGAAGACAACGATCCGCGTGTCATAGCCAAACTCGTCTACAATCTCCTTGATACGAGCATCGCTTTGCGGGTCCATGCGCCACTCAAGAACGTTCCGCTCGATGATGCTGATTGTGTGTTGTGTAGTGGATGCGTTAAATAGAGTGGCGCTTGGGAATGTGAAAGCGCCTTCCCGTTCGCGCTGTGCTGCTGGTCGAATGTCTATAATATGCGTTGGGCCGTGAGCTGTCGATAACTAAAGCTCTGCAAGTAGCTGCGCTAGGGAGATGCAAGACAGGTAGGTGCGAGCCTCTGTAAGTATCTCCTGGATGCTTTTCGCACCAGGCGGAGGGATATGCTGTAGCATTTTACTTAAGTAAAAAGAGAAGAATACCTTAGGCAGTAAAAAGAGTAAAAGCTTAAGGGATATTACTAAAGCTAGTTTTTATATACTAAGTAAAATAATATACTTTACTAATTTATTTAAGTTAAAAAAAATTACTTTATATAATTAAAAAAATTATAAAAGTATATTTTAATAAAACTAGTATTATATTATATAAAATATTAATATTATAAGGTAAAAACTAGTCTTATAAGTTTAAGTTAGAAATTCTTTACTTAAATAAAGATTTCTTACTTGCCTTAAATTCTTTACTTAAATAAAGATATTTAGCCTAACTTGCCTACCTTAAATTATTCTTTACCTAAATAAAGATTTCTCACCTAACTTAAATTCTTTACTTAAATAAAGATTTCTTACCTAACTTAAATTCTTTACTTAAATAAAGATTTCTTACCTAATTTAAATTCTTTACTTAAATAAAGATTTCTTACTTAACTTAAATTCTTTACTTAAATAAAGATATTTAGCTAAACTTAAATTCTTTACTTAAATAAAAATATTTAGCCTAACTTACCTGCCTTAAATTCTTTATTTAAATAAAAATTTCTTACCTAACTTAAATTCTTTACTTAAATAAAGATTTCTTACTAAACTTAATTTTTTTACTTAAATAAAAATATCTAGCCTAACTTACCTACTTTAAATTCTTTACCTAAATAAAGATTTCTTATTAAACTTAAATTCTTTACTTAAATAAAGATATCTAGCTTAACTTACCTGCCTTAAATTCTTTACTTAAATAAAGATCTTTAGCCTAACTTACCTGCCTTAAATTCTTTATTTAAATAAAGATTTCTTACTTAACTTAAATTTTTTACTTAAATAAAGATTTCTTATTTAACTTAAATTCTTTACTTAAATAAAAATATCTAGCTAAACTTAAATTCTTTACTTAAATAAAAATATCTAGCCTAACTTACTTACTTTAAATTCTTTACTTAAATAAAGATTTCTTACTTAACTTAAATTCTTTACTTAAATAAAGATTTCTTATTAAACTTAAATTCTTTACCTAAATAAAGATTTCTTATTAAACTTAAATTCTTTACTTAAATAAAAATATCTAGCCTAACTTACTTATTTTAAATTCTTTATTTAAATAAAAATATTTAGCCTAACTTACCTGCCTTAAATTCTTTACTTAAATAAAGATTTCTTACTTAACTTAAATTCTTTACTTAAATAAAGATTTCTTATTTAACTTAAATTCTTTACTTAAATAAAGATTTCTTACTTAACTTAAATTCTTTACCTATCTTATAGAAAGCAGTGTAATCTTATAGTTTAAGTAAAAAGTATAGTAAACCTTTAGTATAAAGCTAAAAATGCAGGGGGTAAATTATATAAGGTAGATTATATTAAAGGTTTCTGCTACTTTAATTAGCTAAAATTATTATATAAGTATAATTTATAAATTAAAGAGGCTAGGCTATAATTTATAAATTAAAGAGGCTAGGCTATAATTTATAAATTTAAAAGGCTAGGCTATAATTTATAAATTAAAAAGGCTAGGCTATAATTTATAAATTAAAGAGGCTAGGCTGTAATTTATAAATTAAAAAGGCTAGGCTATAATTTATAAATTAAAAAGGCCAGGCTATAATTTATAAATTAAAAAGGCTAAGCTATAATTTATAAATTAAAAAGACTAGGCTATAATTTATAAATTAAAAAGGTTAAACTATAACTTATAAATTAAAAAGGCTAGTTTATAATTTATAAATTAAAAAGGCTAGGCTATAATTTATAAATTAAAAAGGCTAGACTATAATTTATAAATTAAAAAGGCTAGGCTATAATTTATAAATTAAAAAGGCTAGGCTATAATTTATAAATTAAAAAGGCTAGGCTATAATTTATAAATTAAAAAGGCTAGGCTATAATTTATAAATTAAAAAGGCTAAATCTTTACTTTATATAATATATAAATTAAAAAGGTATTAAATATTAGCTGCTAACTTTACTTATAATAATATTAGCTACTAACCTAGCCTAGATTAAGGTTAAGGTATTATTCTTATTATTCTTATTATAAATAATATAAGTATATTAATTTATTAAGACCCTTAAAGGCTAGCCTTTAAATAAGGAAGATTATTAATATCCTTACTAGTAAGGTTTATAAAAAATATACTGCTTTTAGTAATATTAATAATATTAGTAAAATAGTTATTATAAAAGTAAAAAAAGTAATAATAGTATTAAAAAGCCTAGTATTTAAGGCTATAGCACTTATAGGTATTTAAAAAAGCACTTATTTAACTATAAGTTAAATAGCTTTAAGCTGCTTTTAGTAATATTAATAATATTAGTAAAATAGTTATTAAAAAAGTAAAGAAAGTAATAATAATATTAAAAGGCCTAGTATTTAAGGCTGCAGCGCTTATAAGCATTTAAAAAAGCACTTGCTTAACTATAGGTTAAATAGCTTTAAGTAGTAAAGAGCTTAAAAAGCTAGAAATAAAAAAGCTAGAAGCTAGTATTATTAAGCTAAAAAGGGAAATTCTTATAGCTGCTTTTTAAAAAGCAGTTATGCTTAAAGTAGTAAAACTAGCTTATAAGTAGGCTTATTTTAATATTAAAAAGCATTTATATACTAAAGTTATTAATACTAAAAATAAGGCTTTTTAATAAGCTATTATTAAATCTGCGCTTATTAAATTTATACTTATTAAGGCTGCTTTTACTAAAGCTACTTTAGCTAAAGCTACTCTGCCTTAGCTAAACTTAAAAAAGACTATAAAAGCTAAACTGCTAGCTAATATTAAAAGTTTTAATAAAGAGAACTTTTTAAAATTAAGATAAACTTAAGTTATATTTTTATAATAAGCTTTCTTTTTAATAAGCTAATATAAATATAAATATAAAGGTTTTCTCTTTTATTTTAAATATAAAAAGGTATTAGTAAATAGTATTAGTAGCTAGCTATTTTAAGTAATAAATATATATAAATATATATAAATATAAGTAAATATATATAAATATAAGTAAATATATATAAATATAAGTAAATATATATAAATATAAGTAAATATAAGTAAATATAAGTAAATATAAGTAAATATATATAAATATATATAAATATATATAAATATATATAAATATATATAAATATATATAAATATATATAAATATATATAAATAAAGTAAACTACTTTACTAATTTAATACCTTATAGTAAGTAATTAAAAACCTACCCTTTTAATTTATAAACTAAAAAGAGATAAAGTTATTAACTTTATATAATTTATAAATTAAAAAAGCTAGAAAATCTTATTATTAATATAAAATTAACTTTATTATCTTATTTATATATAATTTAATTAAATATATTTAATTAATAATTATACTTAATATATATAAACACTTTACTATATAATAACTATATTTTATAATTAAAATCAACCTTATCACTACCTTCCACCTCCATCTTATACCCTCTACCCAATTCCCCCTAAA